GAGCAATGGCATAAAAACTTTTATGCCATAGATTCGACGAATTTAAAGAAAATAATGTAATAATACAAATAGTTTTTAAAATAATACAAATAGTTTTTAAAAGAAATAGGAAGTAGTGTCTAATCATCCGCGTTACCAATACCATTTACGTAAGCTATTACTATTATACCTCCGACGACTACAAAGGCGGGGAGGGTTACTACTACTAATTATCTTGAAAACATTTAAAAAAAAAGACCCAAACATTAGGGGGTATGTATAATATGACGTATAATGTATACCCTTATATACAAACCTTTGATAGTTGATCTCTTGAATTGGGTCTACAGGCATACAAATAAAATCAGATCTTTTTGTGAAATTATATATTTTTTGTTACTTTACAATGGTTTTAACATAGAAATAAAAATTAATAAATGGAAAATTACAACAAATTTAAAAAGTATTTTCACTGCCACAGGACCAAATTTTTTATTTTATATTTATATGTAGATGATATACTACATAAAACATGAGGTTATATAATGTATATTTGTAATGCTTAAGTCATTTAAACCATTCACTTAGCCCTAGCACGTCAAGTAAAGTATAGCCTTCAGTATACGAATATGTATCAATATTTTAATTATGAAAGCTGTTGCAAAATATCAACACTCACGGAATTACGCAATTACGAAATATATTTTAATAATAAAATATCGTTATAATACTGTTATCTTGTTTTGCATCTGTATGATTGGTGTAATTATTAGATAATACGTTTTATTATATTCATTTTTGTTTACATCATTATATAACATATTATGCAAAAAATATGTAAAAAAGTGTAACTGACTTCTAAATTATAAAAAGCGTTTTTATGGTTCGACTAAACTGTGCTTTCAGATACACTCAGGTACAGGATCTCTTTGATCAATTCTGCAGCTTTTTTTGATGTACATATTCTTTAGCGAATCAATTTTACACGACGCGACGTTACTTAGTTTATATTAAAATATTTGCAGAGAAACTAATATTTTTATTTTATATCGCTCTTTTTCTAATAATTTGATAACACGATGTACACAACTAACCAACCTTAAATATTCTCACTAAGTGAATCTTTAAGAAATAAAGTATCTTTGGACTGAGATATGATTTTTTAATCAATTTTACATCATTTTAAAGGAAATAATGTAAAAATAATCAAATCGCTTCCAGCCTAGACGATTTTAAAACATTCCTTGATTTTGATCCAATTTTATTCTTGAATGACAGTTTTGCTTTGGCTGGATCTGATGATCGTAGGACCACATTGTGAGACGGAAGTATGTTGAATTAGCAAGTATTTTCCAAATAGTTACAGCCGTCTTAAAAAAAGGACATAAAATATCGATTGTTATTTCCGTTTTTTTTTCATATTTGTTTGTTTGTACTTATTTTGTCCAAGGCAAATAAACACCGACTTTCAATTATATTGTCACGTGGTTACTTAATAAGGTAACGGTATTTAAAAAAATATTGTGGCCAGTATATAAACAAGATATTATTGACTGGTCACAATCTATTTTTATTCTCTTCGTAGGCTCAGGCCTTAAATACCTGTACAGCGAGAATTTAGTTTATTTTTCAAAACCTTTACATAACCTTGAATATTAAAGTTAACCGAACAGTCCATCGCACATATTATGACGGTGTGATTTTTCCTGGCAAATACTCGTTTCAATAATTTGTGTGATCTTCGTATTAACCCAAAGCAAATAACTAAATTTTGTTAGCTTGCCAAGGGTACTGCATAGAAAAATACATGTGTGTGTACTTATGTACACGCGTTGGAAGTTATACTTCTTTGGCGTACAAGATAAAAAAATTTTTTTTACCTTTCGCCTTATTCTACGTTTGTAGAAAAAATTACAGTAACAATAGAAAAAAGGTATTTAATACATTGATAGTTTTATTATAACGCATTATCTAGTTAAATAAAGTTTATTTAAATATCACGATTTGATAAAATCGTAATCGTAAAAATTTACTCTCATAATTTTTCCCTAACGCGCCAAAAGAAGGATGACTTCAAAAAGCTCAAAACGGAGCCTCAATTTTTTTGTATTCTATTGAATCACTTCGCTGGATCTGTGGCCCAAAATCACTTTTGAAACAAGAAACTTCCATCCATCCAAACAGCTGCTGGCTTTGAGCTTCAGCACTATTAAATAAATTATTCTAACACATACAATGGACGTTATTCGTGATAAATTTCTTTTACATATACATCGAATATAAAACGCAGTGGTCCTCGTGTCGAAGCGGTTTCGTAAAGGGAACGGGGATCAGGACTTGAGGTTTGATGTCGCTAAGAGCAGAAATTATAATCAAATCTATTATTTTGTCTCCAGCTTTGAATGGCTGTCAGAACTGAATGGTCAATACGAAAATGGCGAGTCTGAGGTGATCTCGTCAAAAATATATATATCGTATCGTATATATCGACGGATGATGATACCTAAAAAGTGTTGAGAAGAATGTCTTCTGAAAAAGCTGGCTGATTCTCTTATAGGATATCTATCTAAAATACAAAATTCTCATGTATTTTTTTTTTATTTCAATGTTTGTTCCCATACTACTCCGAAACGGTTCGACCGATTCTTATGAAATTTTTTATGCATATTCAGTCAGTTTGAGAATCGGCTACTATCTCTCTTTCAAACCCCTAATCCTCTCATCTCTTAAGATAAGGGGTGTCCAGCCCAAAAAATTTTTTTTTGACTATTTTTTTTTTTTTTTTTGTATGATACAGCATATAAAAATATATAAGTACAACCCTTAATTTTCATCTACCCTCTACGATCAACCCCTATTCTTAATTGTTAGTTAAGAACTTATAACTGAGGTTTTTATAGAGAAAAATTCATAGAAAAACCTAAAAAGTTTTAGTAGAACAGTATCTAGGGTAGCATAGCAAAATGTTCCATGTTGGTATGTACTAAAAAGGTAGGCTAAGTAAAATCACATTAAGGAGAAACGAAGTTCGCGGGGGCAGCTAGTATATATATATAAAATATATAAGTACAACCCTTAATTTTCATCTACCCTCTACGATCAACCCCTATTTTTAATTGTTAGTTAAGAACTTATAACTGAGGTTTTTATAGAGAAAAATTCATAGAAAAACCTAAAAAGTTTTAGTAGAACAGTCTCTAGGATAGCATAGCAAAATGTTCCATGTTGGTATGTACTAAAAAGGTAGGCTAAGTAAAATCACATTAAGGACAAATGAAGTTCGCGGGGGCAGCTAGTAACTTATATGTATATTAAATGCTATTTCAGAAATGCATTTAGTAATAATAATTATTATTCTAATCAAAACGGCGGTTACATACATACATATTAGGTTAGATACATCGGATTAAGGCCTTGATCATCATTTACTTTCACTTTACAAAGTAGTTTAACAACTGCAGAACTACATTTTAATATTTTATTTTTATTACCTGCATACAATTACAATATATTATGTTTATGTTAATTTATTTATAAGTTATAAAACCACATGCATTTTTAAAAATATGACGTTACAAATAGACACTTCAATAACAAACTAGGAAGGAATAAAACACATGCAAACAACAAGAAAAACGCAAATTTAAATCAAACCTTAAAAGTTCAACCTCATTAAGAGCGTTTAAAAAACTTTTAAAGATTGGTGTGAAATATGTAAATATTTTTATTAATGTTAGTAATAAAATAGTAAGAACGCGATAGCCTATTCACTGGACCATTAAAAATAGCAGATAAGCGAGCCGTAGGAACATAAAAAAATATTTTTTTCTAGTAATTCCGTAAACTAATATTTAGCAAGAAGATCGTTATCGTGACAAAGAATGCGTAAATTTGTAAATCATAACAATACCAATAGTATACAGCTAAGTTTGTTTGTTCAAATGCGCTAATCTCAGGAAATACTGGTTATTATATTTTTGTATTGTATTGTCCATTTATCGAGGATAGGTATGACCCAAAGAAATATGTTACAAAAACTGGAAAAAATGTAACCTTATTGCGAAAATTTTCATGAAAGAGGAATTCATTAATATCATAATAGCTCAGCTCTATTTAATTATTACGCGTTTACGATGTTCATTTTAACTCGATAGAAACCGCGGAATAGCTAGTATTAATTATAGTTTCATTATGCAATATAAAAAGTCTAATTTTTTACTAAATATTTATATTATAATGGATATTATAACAATTACGATTATAAGACTGTGAATTGTTACTTGAAGTTTGCAATGTATCAGCGAGAGACTTCTCTTCACTTCACTCATAACATATTCAATAATATTTCTATAGCTATAGGCTTTGGGAGGCTTTGGTTTCACTCTCTACCGCATGGTATTACAAGAGGTCGTTGACTTTCACTTTCTTTTGAGCGTCCACCATCGCGTGAGACCTTTCGTTTTGATAAAGCGATAACTAATAGTCGCAATAATTTAGCCTGACGGTTTTATCACGCATTTATTATTTTTGGTTTAAATATCGATTATTAATTTCACGCCCTCAGTTGAGAAACTTAAAATAGAATGTGAATTAAATTGAACAAGTGTTTATCAATTTATTATGTCACTGTAGTGGTGGTGTGTTATATATTATTATCTATATGCAAACTTGCTATGACGAAAAACATCGACATACATACGCTATGTATGAGGGGTTTAGAATTCCATATGGAAAAAAATCTCTTCGACAAAAGACTTCAATCTACCTGGTTTTTTAATAGTTGACTTAATCATTCATAACTGGATGACATTTGCATTCCCAAACGACGATACCCAATTTCTATGTTATATTTAAAAGATACAAAAAACGCTGTATTAGAATGGTATTAAAGTTCCCCATAGGTTGGTCTATAGCGGTTAAGTTATATTAATTGGCATTTTCTTTTCAGAATTGGTGAACAAAATGTATGAATAGTGATACCTGAATTTTAATTTTGACAATAACTCATTGAAGCCTCGAGGATGTCGAACAACGGTGTTGATAATAACATGAATAAGACTGATAAGAATAATAAATTAGATGTAAGTATTTAATTGAATAAATAATTAATGATATAAACATCATGTATTGATAAAAAATAGAGCCGATTTAAAAATAATAGATGTATTAAACAAATGGTCGCAAAGATGTTTCCTATATTAAAATGATTCAGCATGTGACATTAGACAAAATATTTCCTATAGATTATACGATTACCAGACATTTATAGGACGATTTTATCTGCTTTATAATTGTAATAAAAAGTTTCTCGACGTTTCTCGTGACCATGTAGTTATTTTAGATGGAAAATCCCATTCAGTATTTTCAGGTATAAAATTTCCTAAAAGGGAGATCAACAACTATGTAACTGAATTTGTATGTACATTACGTATGCGCAAGAAATTGTTTCTATTTGTGTAGTTGATTTGAGCCATCGGACCATGCCGTAGGGCAATTTTTTCCCCATTATACATATGCAATTACGAAATCGTTTTAATGACTGTAATGATTTAAATACATTTATACCAAAATACGAATCCACCATATTATTTCTTCTGATTTCGTAATAATTTCCCATGTTTACTATTATAGGGAAAATGAGAAACACTAATAACGTCTAAGTATTATGAAAGTCTCGGCTTCTGTTAGAAAGTGCATCAAGACCGTTGAAAGTTTACAACGTTGAACTGAAATATTAGAAATCAATATTTGTGAAATTTCACATCATCACGTACATAAAGTGCCTTATCATTGACGCTTATAAGATCATTAATTAAGTGTTGCATTAATATAGCTTTTAATTTGTATTCATAATCTTCTGAATATTCGAAATTTCTTGGTTTTACATAAAAACGTCGAGGGCCTTAAATGAAATCCAATACTGCTTGCTAATGGTGCTTAGTATCGACTCTAAACCGCAAGTTTAAACAGACCAACGGCCCTACAAGTTACAACCCTTGGCCCTCAGATTTCTGCATCTGTTTCGTGATCATTGGTTTTTATAATAGGCAAGTAGATGATCAGCCTTCTGTGTCTGACGCACACCGTGAACTTATTGCGTCTAGCAAGCCGGTTTCCCTTAGGTTATTTTCCATCACTGAGAGACTAAAACTGCGCACGTACACGACGTTCATTGGTGCATTGCCAGGGTTCGAATTTACGACCTAAGGGATGAGAGCGCTAAAGCGACTACTCCAACACTCCTTTACCAAACTAAGATCAGTAATCAAGGTCCAAATATCTGTAATTCTAAATAAAAGAATATATTTTTATGTTTTATTTATTAAAAATTGACAAGAGTGCACAATAAGTGAATAAAATTTACAGACGAAACAAAAAAAATCAAACATCGAAATTAATTAAGAAAAACAAAATGACTTAATAAAAAATACAAGAAATTAACTGACTACTATAGGCACTAACAAATAATAGAACTTTTGCCAGTTCACTCAACGGACAATGAAAAAGGCCCGTTAACCTATGTAATTCGTTAACTAAATTAATACAACGAATCATATGTGCCCTTTTCAGAAGATTAGTCATAGCTGTGGGCACATGAAGTAATAGCGGACGATGTCGCTTTCTGACGTACCCATCAGGCACATTGAAGGCACATATCTTATATATGTTATACTATACGCCCAACGGACTAAATGGGCGTCTAAGTGTGGAAACTGAGTCCACACTACTATCTTTCCATCAACTCATACAATTTGTCCGATACCTTTATCTTATCAACCCGATACAATATTTCAACTAATGTTATTTTCGCAGATACCATATGTACATAGGGATATTGAGAAGGGTACCCGTGGAGGGAGTTCTGGTATATCCTGGGCCAAGGTCTTCGTTATGGTTGTGGCGCTGGCTGTGCTGGCCGCAGCATGTGCTGTAACAATTGTGTTTGTGGACTGGCAGACTGGTCTCATAGTGCTGGCTGTGTTCGTACCAGTATATGTGATTTTATATTTCTGGCGGTTCCTATATATTGTTGTGAAAACTGGGCCAAGGGATATGAGGTAAGTTTTGAAGATATATAAACTTTTAATTAACACGTGAACAATTAATTTAATCTGACAAGTTTAGATTTTTAAATGCTTCGAAATAAAGAACAAAGATACGTAAATTACATTATAATTTACGAATTACCTTGAAATTCTATTGACATAGACATGGAATTTGTTTTACGAGTTAGCAAGTGCACAATCTAATAGTTTAATATATAGGAATTTAAGGTATTAATGAATTGACGTTCCTTTGAATAAGATGTCCTCAAGTAGAATTGATCAAATTCTCGTCTGCATTCTAGCAGTAATGACTAATGAACCGATACCATATATATTATTTCATTTCGTTCCGTGAGCCCCTTCACAGGATGTATCCTACCTTGGATTCTGCCACTAACATTGACCCTTTTTCGCACTCCTCTACTGCTTCATTTTTTTTTTTTTTTTTTAATGGCTCTGGCACGATTTGTGCATTAGCCAGCGTCAAGTATAGGATTTTTTTATAATTCGTACTTGTCTTTAGAAATTCGACCGTGTCCTTCATGTACGGTTTAAGCACTCGCCCGGTACCGCACAACCCTCCAAAAGGCCGAAAACAAATTTAAATTAAATTAAAACTTGCCCTCGAACCGGGAATCGAAGCCGGTACCCCTCACCTAGCTGCCACTTAATAAGACCGCTAGGCTATGAGGCCCCCACTGCTTCATTTAAGAATAAGTTAAAACTCTTAATGTCTTAAGCCTTGTATCTTCCTGTTTTTTTAAAGATGCTAGTTTGTTTGTCGTTCTCCTAATTTATAAATTTTCTGCATTTGTGTATTTTTGTGTGTTGTAAAAGTTTTAGTGGATATGTCCAATGCGTTTATTTTATGTTTTACTGTATAGAGATGTATCTGTTTAGTTTCCTTAATAAATAAATAAATAAATATACGATATAGGCTGGTAATACATACACAGTACCGTTTAAAAAATATATGTGGGAGGTAAACGGATAGAGAAAGAAGTTCGTAATAGCCATACTGCAGAGATCCCATATGTACCAATTCTTAAAAGGCCGGCAACGCACTCGCGAATACTCTGGCATTGAGTGTCCGTGGAGGGTAATACTTAACATCGGATGAGCAGCCGTTTGCATCCTGTTCTATTTTTTTTTAATATTCGGGAAGAATGGAAGATTTGTGTGATTTCAAGTATGTATACATCTTTCGGAAAAGAGCAGACTATGAACTGTAAATTATATTTTCACTGCTATAAAAAAATCAAAAGATTATTTTATTAAAATGTACATACCTAGTCAAATATAATTGTTTTCGTCGAAGTAAAATATATTTTTTGATCGAAAATTTAGCAAAAGCATATTGATTTTATATTAATTTTAGGGCATTATATTGCTATGTTAAAATATTGAGGCTCACGAATAATTTCTCAAAAAGAGATTGGACGATGCCGGATATCTTTCACGAGAATGTCAAGAGACATCCGAACAAACCGTGCTTCTTGTTCGAAGACGAGACGTGGACTTTCAAACAGGTATTACATAAGTGTTATATAATTTTATTATAATATAATTTATTTCCAACACACAAATATCTACAATATTCCTAACCTACATAGTAATAATAATTAATGTTTTTTGATTGTATTTCTATACTTAAAGATAAAAATGATGTGCAAATAAAGTTCCATACAAAAACTACGAACTAGTACAAACCTTAATCCCTCAGTGATCTCATACAGACAATGCTAGGATTTCTGGGAAATAACATTTTTAAAGCCGTCTATTGTTAAGGTATTGATATGTCAAATCATGAATTATTCAATCATAATGACACAAGATATATAACACAAAAAGCATAACTAGAATCATCAGTTTTAAGTTCATTTTAAGGCTAAACCAAGAACAGATATTTTGGAATTATGTATAATGCTTATTGAGAGAGAAGTGCAAAAGCTCGGAAGTCTAGACTAGAATGAGGACTTATTATGTACAATAACTGATTACTTATACTTACTTACATCTAAACAAAAGGTTTGCGAAAATCAATGATTGCAGCCCTGCGATTCTGTAACTCACTTTTCGAACTCACACAGCGGTTTTCACAGCGGCGGTTGCGCTCAAATCAGTCGTAAAGCAGTCATTTTACGATTTGGCATTCTGATAAACAATAAACTACAAGGAGGGACCTTATCAGAATGCCAAATCATAAAATGACTGCTTCACGACTGATTTGAGCGCGACCGCCGCTGCGAAAACCGCTGTGTGAGTTCGAAAAGTGAGTTACAGAATCGCAAGGCAGTTCTCAGCGATGGCTACGTGTTGCCTGATTTAGATGCTAATTTAGAAATAGTGAATCCAGCTAAATAAGGATTTTGAAACTCATTGCTGAATATTGTAATTACATATTTATTTAAACTTCGTTACATTAAAATACACGTTACAAAAAAAAGAAATACATGCAAAGTGCAAGAAGTGCATAAACAAATCAACAGAATTGATCTAAATTAAAAAATTAAAAACAAAAGCTAATCTCACGCTTCATGAATTAGAATGCAATTTTAACTGTTGTTTTCAGGTTGAAGATTTCAGTCTTCGCGTATCAGCTGTTCTGAAAGCGCAAGGTGTTAAAAAGGGTGATACAGTTGGTGTGATGGCCAGTAATTATCCCGAAATGCCTTCAATTTGGCTTGGGACCGCCAGGATTGGTGGTGTTTCACCACTTATTAACACCAATCAAACAGGAAACACACTACTACATTCGATAAATGTAGCAAAATGCGATGTTCTTATATATGGAAGTGAATTTGAAACTGGTGAGAAACTTTTTGTTTGTCTCGTGTGAACATACTTTCATATATCACAGATAATGAAACAATGTGACAATGATCGCGGAAATATAGTGGATATAAAGCGACGAGATTACATATTGTGTAGGTAATTGCAGGTTTATTTGTGGGAAGTAATCTTTCAAACGCTATATGTAATCATATATGAAAAAAGCCAGTGCCGCTACAACCTTATATGTCTCAGATTTGTGTATGTTTCGTGATAATTTATCTTAGAAGAAAGTGAGCCTTCTATGCCTTACATGTCTCCTTTTTGGATCTAAGGTATGCCGGTTTCCACCCATTTTTTCCTCCATACGAGTGTTAGATGCGAACAATAGAATGTCCATTAATGCACAGCCGGAGATCGAACCTACGACCTCAGGGATGAAAGTCGCACGCTGAAGCCACTCAGCCAACACTGCTCGGCAAATATGAATTAATTGATGTTTACATGCATCTAATAACTGCTAGCCTACTAAAGAAAATTTATCCTTCTCTCACAGCGCACGGTGCAGACTAAAATGAATATTTTAGGTTATTATATTGATTTTGTATTTAAATGGCGTGTCGGCAACGTTTGTTCGGTCCGAATTTTATTAGTGGCCGCTTTCCAGCTACTATATATATAACAGGCACGTGCCTGTTATATATACTAATTAGAACAGCAGTTATAACCTGTTAAAATTAAACTTTAGGAAAAGTGAATCAAGCTAATTAAATAAGGATATTGAAACATATTGCTGAATATTTTATTTATTTATTTATACTTCATCACTAAAATAAAAATAAATAATATAAATTATTGGGATAATTGAATTGAAAAATTGAAGGGATGCAACGGGCGGTTATTATATTGTTTATACCTACATATGGTAGGTAGTATGTATATTGTATTTAAATGGCGTGTCATTGTATCTGTTTTAAAAATGCTTTCTAAGTTGCATTTTGTTAATTCCAATTTGAATCATCCATCAGAAGCTTTTCTACGTAGTAATTTAAGGAATAAATTGAACATTATTTGTTATTTATTTTTATTATTGTAAGATTAGTGTCTACGTAATATGTAAACCATGATTACCAATTATAACAAATTCAATCATAGATTTGAACGTAGGAAACACCTACTTAATTAAATACTAAATTAAAACTTGCAGCGATACAAGAAGTCAAAAAGGAGCTCAATTCATCACTACGTTTACTTAAATTCACCCGTCGACCACTGAACACAAATGACAGTTCCAAAATGGCCGAATCTGATAATGATTTTACGCATATGTTGGAGACGACAGCACCTGCGACCTGGAGCAAGGCCGATAGTGATGGATTTAATGGTCGACTGCTCTATATATACACATCTGGAACGACGGGTCTGCCTAAGGCTGCTGTTATTTCGCCTTCAAGGTAATATTGGCATGTTCCCAATATGGCCATGAAAATATACCATAATATAGAATTCTAATCGTGTTCCAGTATTTCTGGAGCTTATTTAATACAAATGAAAAACAATCAATTTATAATATAAGTGTAGAAAAAAAATGACCGGCGGTGTGAAACCTGTAAATAAATAATTCTATATTACAATTTTGGGGTATTAAATACCCATCGCTCACAATAGATAAGAACATTACTCCAATCTTTCAGAATGTGCTTCATGGCATCCGGTGTACATTTCCTCGGAAGCCTGAACAAGAATGACGTCATATACTGTCCCATGCCCCTATACCACTCCGCTGGAGGAGTGATAACTGTCGGCCAGGCCTTTATCTTTGGATGCACTGTTGCATTGAGGATGAAATTCTCAGCCACTTCCTATTTCCCAGACTGCATTAAGTATAAAGCTACTGTAAGTACCATATCGGATTGCAAACAATTATTTTATACTAAATTATTTTGGCAATAATGCAAAAGGTACGAGCCAAGGCTGTACATTTTCCTCAATCAGGCTTTCTTAGTTTTATAAGTATGGCGATTTCGATCTTCGGTGTTACGCCCCGAGAGTATAGCCAGTCGTGGGCACTCTCTTCAACTGTTACATTGCATTCATTCGTTACTCAGTAATTAACATTTCATCATTTCGCTTATATTCTATTGTTGTACGCGAGTGGTCAATATAGAGTAAAACTAAAATTATTTAAAGCACCCCGATGGCCCAGGAAACGTAAAGTCACACTTATAGGAGCAGGAAAAAGCGACATATTTTTAGATTAAAATGAGACGAAACCAATTAACATGAATTAAAAGTTGTGTAGTTTGAGAAGTTTTTGTTTTGAAGGTTGTCCAATGGAAAAATCAGACGATTTTGGTATTTAATAGTTTTGTTAATTTTTGAAGTATAAAATATAAACAATATTGACGAGTTCGAACAGTCGGCAAGTGTTTCTAGGCAACATGTTTTTTTAGAACAGAATGAAAGGGGAACAGCTAGTAAACAACGATTGCTATTTTATTTTTAATTACAAATTACAGGCTGCACATTACATAGGCGAAATGTGTCGCTACATATTAGCAACGCCATCAGCGGCAACCGACAGACAACACAAAGTCCGCACTGTGTATGGAAACGGAATGCGACCAACGGTAACTATTCGTATACATACTAGATTAAGTTTTTTTTTATAGTACATTGCGCAAACGAGTAGCAGGCTCATCTGATGTTAAGTAAGACCACCGCCCATGGACACTCAATGGCAGAGGGCTCGCGAGTACGTTGCCGGACTTTTAAGAGTTGGTACGCTCTTTTCTTGAAGGACCCTAAGTCGAATTGGTGCGGAAATACTTCAGTGGGCAGCTGGTTCCACATAGTGGTGGTGCGCGGCAAAAACTGCCTTAAAAAACGCTCAGTTGTGGAACGACGGCCGCTAGTTGAACGGCGTTGTTTAGTAAAGAGACTAGGCAGTTAATTGAAAGTAAAAAGAAGTAAAACAAGAAAGTAAAAACTAGGCAACTAATTAAATTAGTTGGCTGCGACATATACATGACATTTACTTATAAATACCCCATACTTTGATTAATGTTTATATTATGTATTTATTTAATTAGAATATTCGTTTTGTTTCAGGTTTGGAATGAGTTTATAAATCGTTTTGGAATCAAAAAGGTCGTGGAATTCTACGGCGCCACAGAAGGAAATGCTAACATATGTAAGTGTAGATTAGGATTAAAAGTCAATACTATTCATTTGTGATATTCTTATAAATAGACAAAGTAGTATTAGTTATAATTGTATGTTGCATGAACAACCTCGCAGGTACTGGTATTTTTTACAATGTTCAATTCATTTTTACTGAATAACTTTAAGTTTTTATCTTGTTTGCCCCCACTTAGTTTAGTTTGCCAGCGCAGTAATTTCAGGTTGGATTGACATCTGCAAATTACCTTTTCCTCTTTCATGTTTAAAATTATTGATAGATGGTCTATGCCCTATGGATAATGTGAATTCAATTGTTTTTTTCTAGTAAACATCGATAATAAGCCAGGTGCAATAGGTTTCGTATCCCGAATCATTCCTGCAGTGTATCCTATAGCTATTATAAAGGTTGACGAAGAAGGAGAGCCGATAAGGGATTCAAAGGGACTTTGTCAGGTGAGAATCAACACATACATCAACACGTACATAAATAATAAGTTTATATTTATTATTACAATTTATTATTACAATCTAATATACAGTATTTACAACATTCTTAACCTTCATAGTAATAATAAATATAATTAAAAGAAAAAAGTTTGGCCCATTACTTATATTCAAACCGAATATTTAATACTTGTGGAGAAAAGTTCTACTGTTCCCTCCTTAAGTTAGGACCCTTGACCAGTCTAACCACTACCCCAGCCCCAGTGGCTGTGGTCAAGAAGGTGTACGTATATTAGGTGGTCGGAATAACTTTGTTAGCGCAATTCTGCGTATGACGTCATTGCAGTGGTTGTAGCTTGAAGATCGTCGCTACATACTCATTGTCTAAAAAAAATAATCAGAATGTAGCGACACTTACCATCGACTTAGGCATACGTTTAAGATCTTACACATCCCAGTTAGAGTGACTTTAATATATTTAAAAAAACACAAGCGTACCATGGCTCGATCTGAACCACCGTCGTACTCTCGAAATTAAACTCGAAGTGGAGTTATAAATGTTCCGGTTATTGGTCGAACGTTAGCGATGGTCAAATAAAATTACAAAGCGAAGCTAGCTTATGACTAACGTCCGTCCGGTACGGCTGCGTAAAACTATCTAACTAAGAATACAAATAATAGCTTAAACTAAGGCCTAAACTATTCGAATACCAGATTTAAAACTACATTGTTTGATGTTAATTGAGATAATTTCTTTTGTTTTCCTCACACACAAGCTTCAACCATTGCGTATCGAACAATTTGAGGTACTTTTGAACAATTATTGACAACGTCTAATAATTCGATGAACGCCTGCTGCACGTACAAAAAAGCATGACTCATAGTCCCGTTACGCTCATTGTACGCTTGCGCCGGATCTATCTCTCTTCCACTCGAAAACTTAGTATGCAATCATTTCATTATTTTTGAAGTGAAACTTCTTTATCGAGGTTGGAAAAAAATTTAGTGTAACATTTTTACGTTACGCGTCACATTTTTCGGTTACGCGCCATGTTGCTTTTTGAAGTCAAACTTCTTTATCGGCGTTGGAATGAAACTTCTTTATCGACGTATGGGAGAAATTTTGTGGCAAATCGTCACGTTTTTCAATGATAGTAATAATTCTATTACAATTAATGAAATTCTATAATAATCTTCGTAGTAATAAGGTAAAATGAAATATTTGTATTCATGTCTATGATAATAAAAGCCTTTTGTTAAACTTTTTCTAATTTAACGAATTTCTGTAAAGTTGCATATAGTAGATCATTTTTCGAAAAATAAGATCATAAAGAAGTTTCACTTCTTACGTGTGTACACCTAGTACACGCACAATTTATTTTGTTATTATGACGTCGTCACGTTAAGCCCCATCCACACGCTTGACAAACAATGGCAAACAGCCAACAGCAATCAGCATACACGAACGTGTGGATGGGTGTTCGTCGTTGTTTGCCTGTTTGTGTTTGTGTTGGGCAGTGTTCGGCATCGGTGTCGGTTTTAGTTGCCAGATCAAAGGATGTTTGGCAAACAGTTTGCTACGTATCCACACGTTTGGCAGCGATCAGTATGCGCGCGAGCTTGCGGGAGGCGGACGTATTTACTTGCTTCACTTTCGTTGGCGCGCAAAGCGTAAAAAATGTCTGATTGGAGCACCTACGATTCTGACATTTTTAAGTAACTTTTAAGTAAAATTAAAAAAAAACACGGCAAAGTAAAGCTCAAATAATAGGTCTAAAGCCTTGTACGCTTTCTATGTATTTTAATCATCCACCATCGTCTTTGCTTTCTTCTTTTTTCCTTTTTTTCTTTCTGTTGCTTTAATTTATAATAAAAATATGTCAACCCGAAAGTAATAGCTGCAACAAGCTCGTCGTCCGCCATGTTTGCCGATTCGGAATGTTATGAACGTTCGCCAAGCATGTGGATGGCTGTTTGTGTTGGGTGATTGTGGTTGGTGTTTGGGACTTCGTTTGCTTTTTGCGGTGTTTGTGACAAACAGCCAGCGTGTGGATGCCCCATTAAACTATCGTCCGTAAACCAACTTTACAGACAACCATTTTTTTTAATATTTAAGAAATTTACATTAATATTTTCAGGTCGCCAAAGCAAATGAACCGGGCGTCTTTATAGGTAAAATAAAGCCTAATAATCCATCAAGGGCTTTCCTGGGTTATGTGAGCAAAGAGGACTCAGACAAGAAGATAGTTAGGAATGTATTCAATCACGGCGACTCAGCGTTTATATCAGGTATAATACTTAAATAATTGTATCATTTTTTAACTAGCTTTAATATCTAGAATGTGGTGGCGTGTAAAAACGATTTCTAATAATTGTAATCGTAATTCAATGTAAAAATACTATATTTATGGGTATGTAATTGGATTAAAATTAGTTATAATTAGATTTATAGATGTGGTAATGGGTATTTAGAGTAACAGAGCAATGTTGGCTTCGACTCTCGTAGTAGGTGGTGCTGGTTGGGCACTAATGAACTTTCTAGATGTACATTAAATATTTGCTCGTTCGGTAAAGGAAAACTTCGTGAGGAAACCGGTTTGCCTTAGACCCAAGAAGTCGACGGCTCGTGTCAGGCACAAATGACTGATCGCTGAAAAAAATTATCAAACAGATACAGAAATCTAAGGCCAAGGTTAGGCCTCTCTGATTGGTTTTATTAAGAGTTTCTGTGATTAAGACTTATTCATGAAATACCCGCCAAAAAGAGCTGCGGTCTTGCGTTAATTCTAGTAATATGTTCTATGATGAATGCTTATTTAAACATTGTAGGAGACATATTAATATCGGATGAACTCGGTTATCTTTACTTCCGGGATCGCACGGGCGACACCTTCCGGTGGCGTGGAGAAAATGTCAGTACCACAGAAGTGGAGGCTGCTATATCCAGGGTTGCTGACCAGAGAGACGCTGTTGTATATGGAGTAGAGGTACATATTTCATTTGTTTCTATATTTCGGTATCATCACCTTTATCTGGTTAACATTATGATATACTTTCAATAAGATATATAATTTTACTTCAGTTCAGAGAACAAGTTATAAAGGTTAGTTTTTATCGTATGTTGTTTGATCGAAAATTCTGTTTTCTCAAATTCAAAACAAATCTTATTTTTATATTTGTTAAATAATGAAGCAGATTGCCTTCGACACATTATGATAAAGTGGCTTCTTTGGCTTAAAATGAAGAAATGGTTTGAAATGAAAATGAATTAAAATAAAATGCGCAGTCTAAATAAATCTAAATCTATTTTTGACATCTCCCGTATTACAGATTACTTAGCACTCAGTCTAGACCAATCACTCCCAACGTTGGGCCCACGCCCCACAGGGTGGCAAATTGATTATAAAGGGAAAATGTCATAAAATATTTGGAATTTAAATGCAGATTTCCAATATACGTTTTGAAAACTGACTTACTGTGTTTCGTTAACAATTTCCTAGTAATTTCTTGCTAAAAGATATCATTTAAGTTTCATAGGTAAACAATTGATTTTTGAAAGGTTAAGGTGGGGCATGGTATAAAAAAGGATTAGAAACACTGGTCTAGACTCTGAATCTTACAATACATCAATTAATTAGGATATAGAAATTGTATGGTTATCTATTATATTGTTTAAATATTTTAGATTCCTAGTAACGAGGGTAGAGCGGGCATGTGCGGTATAGTTGACAGTGACGGATCCTTGGATTTGGAGAAACTCGCTAAAGATATGGCAAAGGATTTGCCGAAATACGCCAGGCCAGTTTTCTTACGAGTAATGAAATCATTGGATATGACTGGTGAGATATTGATTTAATAAAACCATTCACTATTGTTTTGTTTCCTTAGGATCCTGAATTTCGGGAAAACAAATTGAAACATATTGGTTATGCGTATTTAAGGCAACCGAATTTCCCGTTCTAGACAGTAGGCCGAGTAATTCGATGTTTGATCTTTTAAAACAATATAAAACTGGTATTTACTTGACATATTTTATAGGACATACCTATAAGATTACTTATATTTTAAAATGCACATAAGGTTTCTCATCAATATCGTTACGTGAGCTATGGCGGTAGATTTAGTTATAAATAAAATAGAGCTTTTAATTAAGCATTTAAATTAACGCCATCTACTGGCTAATTTCATTGGCGGTAGTGGGTTACGCCTGTAATAAAGAGACTTTGTCTACAGCCCCTGTTCACTAAGAAGTTGTTGAGTTGTGTCGAGAATGTGTCGCTTCTGTGTTACTATTTATGGGCCTTTAACAATACTTAGTAGATTGTAATCATATGTTTTCTATTACAGCTACTTTCAAAATTAGGAAGGTGGACTTACAAAAGGAAGGCTACAATCATTCAATTATAACAGACAAACTTTACTACTTCGACCCAAAACAAAATAAATACGTAAGTTTAGGACCGGAAGAGTATGAAAAAATTATTTCCGGACAAATAAGACTGTAAACAAGTGTGTATATTATATTTGAATTATGATTTAAGTAGTGCGGAAATGTGTTTGAAGATAATTGGAGGATATTATAAAATTTGCTCAAAATATCTGTAGTAATAATAATATTTATTTGAAATTAAAGTCGCCCTTTTTGGAAATATATACGCCATAAGTGCCTTTGCCGTCACCACCGTAAAATAATATAGGAAACGTATTACTAGAGCTACCCTGGGGCTTGAGACAAAATCAAACAAAATTTGTATGTAAATGGTCATCACGTTACAATCTTCGTTTAGCGTTAGTGGGTTATGCCTGTCGAAAAGTCATTCTGACTCAAGCCCCTGAATAAATTGTAACTCGTATTAACACAGAGTAATAAAATGTATATCAAATTACACAACAGTTACTGCTGGAAAAAAGTTATGTCCTATACCGGTATCCTACATAGTTTTACGGAAATATTTGATATTTTATATTATTGATGATTATAGTCACACAACCTTTGCTTGTTTTATTAGAGCAAGCTTTTGTATTAAAACGTTTAGTTGATAAATAGTAAAGTAAATTCAATTTGGAATTGACGGATGAGATTGTTGTTATAAATTTATACTATTTCTAATAAAATGTTTAGTTTATATTTAAATGCATTTTATAATTTAGGACGGGCTTTTAATGATTGCTTATATACCTAAGTGAGATATTATGTGTTATAGTATAAGTTATCGGAAAATATAAAAAAATATTTTTTATGGACATTTTATTATTTTCCCTTTATATTTAGTATTAATTCTTAAACACAAAGCTGCTATTATTTTTATATGGATTACGTAACCAAATTTTAACGTATAATATTACCATCAGTAAAAGATGGTAATATTATATACACTATTATTATATTATATATAATATATTATTATATACTTTCAAAAGTAAGTCAAAGGACAGATCACAGATTAGCAATTATACAAGAAGAAACTTGATAATGTTAATAATTTAGTAAATCCAATAATTAACTTGATTTAGTTACTTCTAAATCATGAATAAGAACTTTATAAGAAATTTTTATTGAAAAGAGAGTTGTTTTATTATATTTTAGTACTTTATAACCATTTTGAATTAAAGAGTTTATTCAAGTAATTTGGACATAGTACATAAAAAAATATAAGATTACATTTTTTTGGCTGTTTTTAGGGTTTTACTGATCAAAATTTACAATATACATATTTGTATTTTATATTATTATATTATGTACTCGATGGGAGCAGTGTTGGCCTAGTGGCTCTCATACCTGAAGTCGTAGGTTCGATCCCCGGCTGTGCACCAATGGACTTTCTATGTGCACATTTAACATTAGATCAAACGGTGAAGGGAACTGACTTGTCTTAGACCCAAAAAATCGACGGCGTGTGGCAGGCACTGGAGGCTGATCACCTTCTTGCCTATTAGATTTAAAAATGATCATGAAACAGATTCAGAAATCTGAGGCCCAGAAAAAAGACCCAAAGAGGTTGTAGTGCCACTGATTTTTTTTTAAATGTACTAGATATTGGATGCTAATTTTAAAAAAGTGTACAGCAGAATATTAAGAAATTTACTTTTATTATAAATATATGTTCGTTAATAAATTTGTTTTCCTCGGAAGCTTCGTGGCTGAAACTGGAGGAAACTTAAGAGACTATAGAAGAAGACTTAAGAGATTACTTCACGCATTGTCAAGGCTCGTGCAACCTTCGCACAACTTCGGCCTGTATGGCTGTCACGGATGTTGACGTGTCGAATCAAAGATAAAATATTCGATTCCAACGTCAAATCTATGCTGCTGTACGGGTGTGAAACGTAGGTCACTAAAGACATCTCGCACCGACTCCGAGTCTTCGTCAACCACTGTCTTCGCCGTATTCTGACTATCTACTGGCCCAAGATGATCTCTAACGAGCACAAGGAACCCAAGTGGAAATGGTCAAGCCATACACTACGAAGAGATTCCAATTTTATCCCTAAGAAAGTGCTTGGTTGGAACCCGCAAGGAAAGCGGAAGCGTGGCCGTCCCAAGCCAACCTTCGTCGTATAGATGCAGATGAGGCAACGAAAAACGGAAAGTCGTGGACTAAACGCGATGGAGACCCACTGTGGACGCCTTCTGCCCTGGCTGCTCGAGTTATAGGACATTAAGTCAAATCATTCATAAATATGTATAAAAAGGATATTACAAATTTATATCCTAAACGGAATTGCCGTAAATTCCCTAAACATTTATTTAATTTGACAAACGGGAGCTAAAGCTCATTTATGACATTCGTCCGTTTGCTGTTTAATGTTCTAACTTCTATAATTCACAAGGAGTTTAACACGGTATTAAGCTATAGTCTCTGGATTCTAGGCGGCCCGCGGCCATATTTGTATACCTTCTGTGCCATTTAAAAAAATATACTGTCGGTAAATCATGTTGAAAAAAAACTTACATTATTATTTATTATACCATGTGATTATTGCAAAGCTGAGATTTCCAGTCATTGAAAAATAGTTTAAAATATAATTATCATAATATAGCGGGATCTGAACGTCAAGAAGTAATGTAATCTCAAAATTATTTTCAAAAAAAAGATACATGCCAAGGAAAATTAAAGAACGAAGAATCTGAATTATTTTTCAAACGCCTTGGATATTATTTAATGCAGAACGTACGCAGTTGATTGTTGTATGATTTTAAATAAGCATTGATTTCCTGCAATCACGGTGATCCGGCGACTACGATATATCCGCGGTTCAGTTAACCGTGTGTCGTGGCGAAAATCAGTCGCAATGTTTTTGGCGCTCGGTGCTGTAGTGGCGTTCATCGCTGTGTACCAATATCTTGGATTGTTATTCACAGCTGTAGTGTTTATTACTTCTGGATTGTTGTACCTGTTGATATTCCATACGAGATGGTGCTATGTCGCCCTGAAAACTGCGCCGAGAGATGTAAGGTAACGTAAGCCGTAGTATATCAGACCAGTAATTTATTGCTGTTGGGTGGTACGATAATTATTATAAACATGCCAATTCAATTAATACAAGTTTTTTTTTAAAAGTGTGGTGAATATATTTTGACCTATTTGTGTTATCATACCACCACACACCATTGATGTTGATGAATTAACAGAATTTTTCATTGTGTTGCAATCATTAATTTTACAAAAGTAAAATAGATTTGTTTTAACCAATATTTTATCATAAAAATGACAGGTTCTTAAATAAAAAGCACCTTATAATAATTTAATGTAAAGTAATATAATGTAATTAGATGTTCTTGTTAGGATATAGGTAAATAGGTCACTTTTAAATATCTATTTAGCTTAGCTTTATTATCTATTTAAACATGTTTGAGCATGTTGCTATTGCACTTTCCTATTAAGTTAATTAGGTAGAAATACGCCTCTTAAATAGAAAGACGCCTCTTAAATAGAAAATAAGAAACTAACTTTCTGTTATTGCTTATTTTTTGACATGACTGACTATATCAAAATTCAAACTATTCCTTGCTTTAATTACTGATGCAGATCTCTAGGACTAAAGTTATATATCTGATGGGAAATCAAATCTAAACGGCAATTGTATTTTTTTTTACTATGTTTTCAATTGTAGCCCTTAGTAAGAAGAAGTTACCTGTATTTTATCTTTCCCAAGCCTGATGAGCATGTAAAGCTAACAGTCCTGTGCCTGATTGATTTTGATGAGTTTATCGCATACATCTGTCCCATGGGCGAATCAAAGTTATGTATACCTGTGACCTACCTGTACCATATGTAGAACATATTCATGGGACACACTGAATGAGACTAAGCGATATTCAGTGAGATGACATATTAGTAATTTACCTATTCATATAAATTGTTTCAGAGCTCTCTGTTGTTATGTAAAAGTATTACTTATAGCTTGGAAGTGCAGTAGACAAAATGCAACAGTACCTGATATATTTCATGAAGTTGTACAGAGAAATCCGAATAAAAAATGCTTTTTATTCCAAGAAGAAGAGTGGACTTTTAAGGAGGTTGGTGAATGTTTTTTTAAACATTATTGGATGCACACAAACACCTTAAATTTTTTAGGTACATTTAGGCTTGACACTGTAGTTTTTGTGTTTCTACTTTTGAAGATAAAGAAAAACCAGTTATGGTTTAGAATAATGAGTTATTACTTAGAATCAATAAATAAGATTTAAAGTTATTTTTAATATTCAAATTTAGTATGACCTATGGTTCAAAGTAATATATCCAAACAATAGGTCTGCCGTCTACATCTGTTTATAAACTGTTTAAAACAAACATGTTAAAAGCATTATAACACTTTAGTATATATAATGTTGCCAACTATCAGATTCATTCCCTTGTTATACTGGGGACATACATATTGTTTACCAAAGCCAGAGAGTCATTCTATTAAATGAAAATAGCTCTATTAAACCCTGAAAAAAGGATGTTATAAGGTTGAGGTGCCTCCGGCATCGTAGCTCTGTAGTACCCCCTAGCTATGTATAGTAAGGCCTACAGGTTTTCACGGGTTTATTAAAGTCTTAAATCAATGTTATTATATGTCTAGGTAGAAGATTACAGTCTGCGCGTGACAGCAGTTTTAAAGAACCAAGGCATCAAGAAGGGCAATATAGTCGGTCTGTTGACTAACAATTGTCCCCAAATGCCTGCAATATGGTTGGGTGCAACACGTTTGGGCGCAGTTTGCCCACTCATAAATATAAACCAGCGAGGCAATGCTTTAATACATTCAATTAACGTGGCTAAATGCGATGCCCTCATATTTTCCGATGAATACCTGTCAGGTGAGTTTATTACGTAGTTATCATTTATTACTTAAGCTGCGCGAAAACGATTTTCCGTATTGATTTCCATAGAATTAATTGATTTTTACGAATGGATTTTACTGTATAACAAGTTTTGCCCAGCACCAATATAAGTTTTCATATATCATCGGAATATAAATAATTTATTTTAAAGACTTTTGCCTGGTAAATTCTTATATATAGTACTGACTCTACAATTGTATAGAAATAGACTACTATGATCGATTTCTTTGTTTGTCTTTTGTTTCTATATAAATATTTAGTTTATTTCATATCAGACGCGGCTGTTATCATCTTATTTGACATACCTAAATAAAAATGAATCACAAAATCTGTTGCTAAGCGCAAAACTCGAAGACGGCTGGACAATGTACATTAATATTTTTTTATTTATTCCTTGAACTCTGAGAATGGTTTCTATGGAGAAAAACTTGCAAAATATACCATAAAAAAATTCAAAAGTTTCTTTTATTTAGTACTCAGGTATTTATTCCGGAAAAACGAACAGTTTATACGAAGTATCATAGCAAAATGTTCCATACGATGGTATGTAGCTACTAAAAAGGGAGGCCGAGTCAAAAAATCACTGTACTGTGTAATCATATAGTATAATTACTTTTGTTTTAAGATTTGTTTAACATTATAAGTAATAACATCCACAGTCAATTTATTAGGTAGATGTAATTAAAACTCAAATATTGACGAGTGTCGACATTATTTATTCACGTTGCTGCTCATGCGTCGACAGAGTATTAAAAATATCTTTGGCCTTTAGTTCTTTTTCTCATATTATATTCGTACGTTTTCCTTATTTGCGTCAGTAAGAAAAAACTGGAATCTAAAGCATATTTAAAAGTGTATTTGCTTTTAAACTTATTGCAATGCTTAGCAAGGGCTTCACCAGCAGCAAGGACAAAAAATGTCAATTTAAATATTAATGGGTTTCTTTAGGAAAAATAAAAATATTTTTCTTCTGCCCCCCACTGGTGATATACTTGGTGCTTACTACGTTTTATTACCATAAAAAAAACTTGCACGTTAAGCATAAAACCAATTACATAATTAACATTAACATAATTAATTTATTTTAATAATCTAAATTGTTATTACTGCTACTCTGGTCTTAGGGTAAAAGAGCAACACATGACGTTGTAGGACCTGGATTCAATTCCCGGCGACAAAATAATACTTTCGGTAGGAATAGAAAGTTGCTTTGATTGATTATCTACTAGCCTTTTTTACCCCGTTCATTTCTCATCCCAAGTTTACACAAAGTTGTTAGTTACACAAAAAATATTTAACTTTACTAATGAGTTCAGTTAAAAATTAGTCATATTCAAAATCATTTATTCATATAGGTAACACAGTGTACACTTATGGACGTCAATAAAGAAATATTAAATGCTTCTTATTTTACATTTACTGCCAGTTCTCAAATCAAGGGCGTTGAAAGGACTAGAAGAACTGGCAATAAACTCTCCGCCACTCTTTTTAATCGCCAAGTTTTTTATTTTACAAAAATAGTTTAAGTTTACTTTATAACGAAAACATTTTTTGCAGCCATCCATGATGTGTCCAGCCAGTTAGATCCAAAATTAAAACTTTACAAATTTTCCCACCGTCCATTAAAGTCGCCTAAATCTGAGAAGGCCAGTGGTGATGGTATTCCTGACTTTATCGACCTTCTGGAGGTCACCCCACCTGCCCCATGGACCAAGGCGGACGGCTTCGGCTTTCAGGGAAAACTTCTATACATATACACTTCTGGAACAACTGGATTGCCGAAAGCAGCGGTTATAACTACTTCTAGGTGAGTTTTTGTTAAAAAATATGGCCATATTTTAATTTTAAAAAATTATAAGTAAAGTACTTGTTTTTAATACCAATTTTAAAACCTAAACACACACAAAAATAATATTTTTAATTCATTTCGGGCGCTCATATAATCTGTACGTCGTACACATCTGGAACATTTGATATGAAATATATAAATATACATTTCTCTGCGATACGAGGCGGCGCGCAATGCATCGTACATTCGCTTTCACTTTTGACCCTTTTCTTATTTACCGGTACATAACTTTCGCTGTATTATTATTGAATACTAGATAAAAGGTTGAGTATACGATGTCTTTGTTCATTATACCTCTTAGGGGCAGTTGAAGTATTACGTCAGCAGATTTACTGCAATTTATTCAAATTATTTAGGAAAAACAACCCCCCCACTCCTATAGTTGTTACTTAATACTTAAATATGTATGATTAATTATGTATTGAGAATAATCCACTTTTCTAAAGCCATGCCAGCCATCTTTTATAAATCGAGAAAAATAAGTTGTAAATAATAATTTATCTAAAAATCCATCGTTAAAAATATTATTTTTTATATACTCGGTCACGTTACACAAAACCGTCACAGATTAGTCGACGATGATGTATGTTTGTCACGTTTGTCTTTGCCTGTCCAATCTTAATAGTGTAGTTTAATTTCATTGGAGACTGGTCTAAATAAATGTGTATTTGCGTAATTATAAAATGATAATGAACTCGTAAACAACTGTTGTTTACAAGCATGACGCCATCTGCAAGAAACTGTTTTAACGGGTTCTTGTAATTATGATTGTGTAATTTAATTTTTAAAGCCAATGCTTAATCGAGTTTAAAATTTAAAAAAAATTATAGGTACTATAGTTACTAATAAATTATTTGAAAATAAAATCTTGTCTATTGCCATTGTGACGGAAATAGAAAAGGTTCATAGAGAAATCAACGATTTACTGAAATTAAGAAATCGCGAAAATTCATCCGCGTTTTTTATTATGGCAATTTCAATTACACACAAAAAATATATATGCAAATGATTGTTAATGTCTTCAAACAGAAATAAATATTTCTGTCAAAGATTATCCTGTTTTTGTCATAGTACACATACTGGTGTGTAACAGATTAAAAATGAGCAATGTAAGCATTGATTAACCGTGTGCTTAACCTTGAGAACGTCCGCTCAAATCCCAATTGTACACAACACTAAGGATTTTTTGTCTGACGTTATTGACCGCTAAAAAACACATCGTGATGATTGCCCATTTGGGCATGAGCTCTATGACTCCTGTTAATCAAGACTTAGATCCTTTTTTTTGACACACATGAGTTTGTTGTTCATTCACGCTATGTTGACTCTTACCCAAAAATCTAACTTCATTACAAGAAATAGAATTACTTAATTTTACATAATTTTATATGATAATTAAATTCATACATTTACTGATTATACAAACGAATATTATTATGTTTATTAGTACATACATCGAGCTCTAACTATGACTCCTGTTAATCAAGACTTTATCCTTGTTTTTCACACACCTGAGTTATAATTCACGCTGTGAATTCTTACCCAAAAACCTGACTTCATTACAAGAAATAGAATTACTTAATTTTAGTTAAATTAATCATTTTTACATGTAATGCACATGATAATTTTACATAATTTTATATGATAATTAAATTCATACATTTACTGATTATACAAACGAATATTATTATGTTTATTAGTAGATACATTGCGTTGCTATGCGATAGGTCAATGTTTTGAGCTTTGAAATATTGTTAATAAAATTCATTCAAAAAGGGGTTAAAAAAACCTCGGTTATTTCCATTAACCATTCATCGCCAGTCTATGTTATGACATAACTTAATGGAAAGTTACTAATTCAATATTTAAATTTATGTAATACGAAACTATTTTGTTCAAAATTGTTTTAATTTAATTACTTTATGTACTCATTTTAGTTTGTGTCAGTTTAAGTATGTTAAAGCAATGTTATAATACACTAGTAGACTCGGCCAAGCGTTGCTGTGGCTAAGATTTTTGTTATATTACATAGTAGTAAAGTATTCAAGAGAAACGGCAGAATAACACCAATCCACCATGCTTTTTTGGTGGTTATGCCATTAAATTGTAGCTTATGTGAAATGTTGGTATTTATTTTGATAAGGATCAATACCTAGGTACGAATAAAGAGCCTTTTCTAGCGGTGGTATTTTAATTTAAATAAAAATTAATAAAAGGATGCTTATTGTGACGTAACTATAAAAGATAGAGACATGCTGTCGCCACATTTTTTATAGATAGTGATGTGTCCTGAAAAATTGTAATACATCATTTTGTTCTATCATTAATAGTTTTCGTAGCGCACGCGATTGAAGGAAGTTTTTTGTTTATTTTTTTACACCTTGGGTTAGATTATTCAAGTTTTAGTAAGCATCCCTAGCCAGAAACATAGCCTATGTCACTCGGGAATAGTGTAGCTTGCCAACGGTGAAAGAATTTTTGAAATCGGTCCAGTAGTTTCGGAGCCTATTCATTTCATACAAACAAAAAATCAAATCTTTCCTCTTTATAAAGAACAACTAATATTAATAACAACTAATATTAATATTAGTATAGAAAAGCAGTGGTCTAGTGTTTTAAGCGTGCGACTCTCGACTCTGATGTTACGGCAGTGTACTAAGTTAGTACATTGAAAGCATATCCGTTAGTAGTACTAACGGATTATTATTTCTATGTGCAGTTGTTTTCACAAAGGCAAACATTCTGACGATAGCGTTGGACCCAAAAATCAATCAGCCACTATCAATGGTTAATCTATTTGGCTACATAGGGTACAGCGTCACTGGATTATTATTTGATAACCATGATGCATATTCATAGTTCAAGGACAATGATACATGTTGAATATTTAATGTACGCCTCCGGTTGGTGCCTGGGACCCGGTGTTCAGGCCAATTTCCGGCGAAATATTTTTTGATCGGCCCCCTCTGTAAGACAACGATTGAAATATTGCCTAATATACATTACAAAGTATACTAGTGCCTAAGATACAATAAAAGCAAAAGAGAAAGAAAACAAAGCTTTTGAATCATTTTGTTTTCTACAACTGAGACCAAACTGCCTCGTTAAAGATACTACCGTGCATGCCTACCATGCTTGGTTACCATGGTAACCGTGTTAACAAGGAAGACATCATTACTCAACATGAATAAGGCCGACTCGTTTCATGACCGTTAGGTATATGTAAATGATATAAATAATAAAAACTATATTCATGTGACAAAATTTATCTATCGCTAGTCCCCACACTAGGACACTAAGCCCCTGGTACTTGGTGCATGTTTTAAACAATCTTTTTAAGAAAACTTAGTCTTAGTATTACATCTTATTAAACACAAGTCGTATAAGACCTAAAGTATGCGTGAACGTATGAGTATGTGAATGGGTGTGCGTGCGTATGTATTTGATAGTGTAGAATCTACACTGTAGATGATAGTTGTTAAATGCGTGTGTTGTGTTAGAACCTCTAGAGGCATGCCAAAATACGTAGTAGGGCCTCTGTAGAATCGAAATCCAATTCGGCTACCGTAATTTGTGTGCTTCGTGTGTTTATATCTGGATAGTTTGACTATCTCAGAATCCATACACTGGGAGGTTTTATTATATACGAATAGGTGAATTATCTTAGTAGAGCATCACCCACAATTCCCACAGTTTAATTGAATTTCCAGGTTCATATTCATGGTAGCAGGTCTTCATCACATGCGTCTTAATTCATCTGATGTGGTCTATTGCTCTTTGCCACTGTATCACACGGCTGGAGGCGTTGTTAGCGTTGGGCAGGCGCTGGTCTTTGGTTGCACAGTTATATTGAAACCGAAATTCTCAGCATCGCAGTTTTTCCCTGACTGCGCTAAGTATAAAGCAACGGTAAGTTTTATCAGTAACAAGATTTGGTATACGTTTTGAAATTCATCGGAGTTGCGACTGTAATGCTAATATTAACTGGATTGTATTATTTATAATTGGGATGGTATGACCCAATGGCGCTCAATATATCGTCCTACAACAATTAAATAAATGGTTAATAAGCTAAATGAGTAAAATAGATTTTTTAGATGTGATAATAATAGGTTTTTTGACATCTCCGCCGCTGCGCAGCAGCCCCTCCACCCTTGCGTACCAAAGCACAGGCATTTTATTCAAGCCTCCCCGCCTAAGGATTTAAAATAACACTCGGGGTAGAACAGACAGTTTAGAAGCGGTGACTTATTTCTTAATCCAACCCCAGGATTTCAGTTAATTTGAAAAAAAATCCGGTCCCTTGAAAAATAGTAGATAAATTGAATAAAAATGTTAATTGGCCCCCTTGGTAATTCGAAATTGTAGGAATAGTATATTGCTAACCAACATGCGATAAATTGAGGACCAGGTTTCCCCACTCTCTATAATTAGAAGTGTTCATACACAGACCTGGCAAAACCTACGACTTAAGGGATGTGAGTTGAACGTTGAAGCCACTAGGCCAACACTGATTCTGCCACTCGTCTTTCAGGTCGAAGATTGTATGATAATAATATCAAAGATACTTTATTTCTCAAAGAATTATATTCACTTAGTGAGAATATTTAAATTTAAGGTTTAAGGAATATTTTAAATAAAGGCAGGATAGTTGTGTACATCGTTTTATGAAATGATTAGATAGTCTAAATAAAAATATTAGTTGGTCTGCAACTTTTAAAATATAAACTATTTAACTTTGTGTGAAATTTATACGCTAAAGTAAAGAAACAAAAATATGAATATGTACAATATTTCTTATAAAAGTGCTGGAGATCGCATCGATGTTACAACAGGCATTGTGTGATTAATGAGAAAAGGGAAACGAAAAAAACAAACTATTGAAATAATGTTTAATTATATGCGATTAGAACATTAAAAACACGTTAAATCATTTCAATTTTTGTTGGATATTGACTCACACATGAGTCTTGCGCTATTTCATTGAATATCTGTTAATTTATAATACATAAACGCCTTTGTTGTTATATTGTGTTTAAAATCGATATATTTTTGTTACGTACCAATTTGCAATTATATGTATTAGCGTACTATTAAACGTATATTTTGGTGTGAATAATTTAGTATCTGCGTGTTCCACGAGAATGCAAGTGCTTGCTCCTATTTCACCATGCCTCCTGCTGATAGAGGACAAATCTTTGTTTTTAATTTATTTTATTATTATTAATTACTTAAGATGTCATGTGGAACATGGTGTAATGGTTGCGGCTCCGTACAAACATTGTGTAATACAAAAAACTAAAAAGAGTGGCGGAGAGTTTATTGCCAGTTCTTCTCTTACGTTCTTCGCCCTTGTTTGAGAACTGGCAGTAAATGTAAAATTAGAAGCATTTAATATATATTTCTTTTTTGACGTTCATAATGTACATTGTCTAAATGAATAAATGATTTTGATTGATTTGATTGATTGATTATCTTTCTAGGCAGCTCATTACATTGGAGAGATGTGCCGGTACATACTAGCCACGCCCCCGTCGCCGGTGGACAAACAGCATAACGTACGGGTTATCTTCGGGAATGGGCTTAGACCTCAGGTAATATCATTTTTGTATGTATGTTTGTATGTAAGACTCTGAGTACTAACTCAGTATTCAAGATAAAAACTTAAACACAATGATTAATTAATGTAACTTCTGATTAAATATATGTGTATTGTTATCACTTACATTGAGTAATGCGCTAAGTATTCGCGATAATATTATTAATTGAACCACTAGTAAAATAGTACAAACTAAAAAATGATCATAGAAGACCGTAAGAGAAGAAAAGGGAACTTAAATCTATATAGAAACATTTTATGTTTGATTTATTATAATAAATGTCTCTAAGAATTATTACTAGGTGTAATGGCAAACTAAAACCGATATTATGAGTAAACAAAAATGTTAATATGATCACGTGACTTACAAAGAGCTAATTTAATAAGCCATAATTGGTTTTATCTCCGTTTATTTACTTAATATTTTTACAATATAATAATACAAGTTTATTTAATCTGTCTATACGAATAATATAAAGAGAAAAAATGTTGTAACAAATAACTCAAAAGCTTGGACCGATTTTTTTCTCTTTCATAATTTATAGTGCTCATGTATCATATTCGTTTATTCCTAAATATTTATGTTAAGCCGAGCGAGGCGCTCAGAAGTCAGAACTATTTAATCATAGCGTATACTAATACCTGCATAGTTCAATAATCAATATCACTCTGTGACGTAAAACGACAAGACACGATCGCATACATTTCCATAACAATTTGAAGTGGTATTTCACACATAGGTAATGTAAATTATCCTTACCTATTCGAGGCCGTGTTTGAGATATTTTCAATAGTTGCTACGATATTTAAATTTAAAATTTATTTTGGGTTACGCAAGGAAAAATCTTTAATCGACTTAGGAATTACGTTGCGACTGTAGTTTGTGAATAGGTTGATTGTAGTCCCATTATATACTTATTGATTTTTATATATATGGCGTCGACAAAGTGTGGGCTACATAGGTGGCAGATGAGCCGTGAAACTTCTTCTCTGTCCTCCCGTGCCATCTCTCAAAAGGGTTCTTATCCTGCGCTATCTCTCTTTCTCTGCAGACTTCTGTAGCATTATTTGCTCGCGGAAGGACACCACCGCAATATATATTCGCCACGTGTCATAAGGGAGCGTTCAAGTATTACGTCACGCAATTTTTGGATTATTGACCCCCCCCCCATGTAACGCGCCGTTACGTTTTTCGGTTCCCAAGTATAGTATAGTAAAACGTTTTTTACCACCTAGTGACGACTCTTTATACCTAAAAGTTACCAGTATATGGTGTGAAGTACTGGAAACTCGAAAATAATATTAACAATAAGGCGTAATTCAATCCCCACCCCCCATCGTAACGTTTTATAAAAGGACAAAAAAATTCGTTACGTAATACTTTAACGCTCCCTTAAAGGGTGACAAAAATATCTCCTGTGATCCTATCCCTATGGAATAACTGTTTTGTTTGTTTTTATAAATAAGGTTTATGAACAAGAATGATGGTTTGTCACTACACTTTCGTTAATCAAGCAAAATATGCTTCAATACATTATTTCGTTGTCATGTTTATCTATATAACAAAATGAGACATTTGACGATTGATAAAAAATATAACAATGGGTATCCGCTTATTTACTGACGATAATATTTAAATAAATACGTATGAATTTTTTTTAACAAATTCAGTAGTATTCATGCGGGGTCAAACTCGGGTCACGTTTCGCAACGCGTTCGTGATTATAATTGCGTTGAAAATATGACAAAGCAGTTTGTAAATAATTACCAAAACGACAATTAACCGTATTATAATTTAAAAACGGGTATTGTAATAAATTACAATTTCATTAATAAATATTGTTCGTATAAAAATAAATTAGAAAGTATGAATGAGCTGCTGCGAGTACAATACAAGGCAACCGTGGATGGTGAAGAAGTAGTAGATTTCGGTGTTGAACAAATGAAACAAAGAATAATTAAACGAGATAAATGGTGCAGTCAAGGATTTTTGTTAGTTTAAGCGCGACAATAGATATTATATCAACATATATTTTACTAGGTTTTACTATATATATGTATACTAGCTGACCCGGCAAACGTCGTTTTGCCATGTATATTATTTCTAGAAAAAAAAATTTTAGTTCTATAAAAATAGGGGTTGATCGTAGAGGGGTGAAAATTTAGGATTGTATGTATTTTTAATGGCACATTATAAAAAAAAATTAATTAGGGGTGGACAACCCTTATCACTTAGGGGTATGAAAAATAGATAGTAGCCGATTCTCAGACCTACTGAATATGCATATAAAATTCGATAAAAGTCGGTCAAGCCGTTTTGGAGGCGTATGGTAACTAATATTGTGACACGAGAATTTTATATATAAGATACAAAATAAATAATGTGGTGGTGAAGTCGGGTTAAATAGGCCTTGTCCAAACCAAATCCAGGATACTAGAGAAGGGATAAGTTAAAAGTACCCATAACCGACGAGTATGCATGAAAGTGGTTGAAGCGAGAGAGGTATGTTAAAACCGTTGCAAGTAGAGACCCGTGGTATCTGCCTACCCCTTAGGGAAAAGACATAAGGATATAAATAAATAAAAAAAAACGTAAAAAACCAAGACAAATGAATAAATCTCATTATAAATTGTTTCAATGATAATACAAAGTAATATAAGTAAATAAAGATACTTTATTTCTCAAATAATTACATTCACTTAGCGAGAAAATTTAAAGTAAGTTAGTTATGTACATCGTGTTATGAAATTATTTGAAAATACACTATATAAAATAAAAATATTAGTTTCTAACAATATGTACCATATTTGTTACAAAAGTGCAGGCAGGTCGCATCGATGTTACAACAGGCATTATGTGACAATGAATATTAATAATTTCGTTCGCAGACATAAGTAAATGCTAGAATAGCCTTTTTGATGTTTTGTAAATACATACATTAATTCATATTAAACTTTTACGATTGTTACAGACACAGATATAGAATATGGTTGTTTTTATTTTTGTTATTTTATAGGTATGTTGTTAATTATATGTACTTTTAAAAGTTTTTTAAATTTGTAAAAAGGTTTTATTTCTTTTAATCTGGGTGGCAATGTATTAAATATTTGTGCGCCTTGATACATAATATTAAGTTTTCCGTAATTAGTCCTTGGTTGTATTAAACATAATGTATCAATATTTCTTAATGAATATTTTGTATCTGATTTTTGTGTAAAGGATAGATTTGTATGAATTAATTTGTTAATAATTTTGTATATTAAAATTGAGGTATTGTAAACGTATGTCTGGTTTATACTCATAAATTTGGTATCACTGTATAGTTTTTCAGTTGGAGTCAAATAATCGTAATAGAATAATGTCTTCAATAATTTATTTTGCATAATTTGTATTTTATAACGATTTGTAGGCGCTGCAGTGCCCCATAGTTCGATTAAGTAATCTATATGTGGCTTTACCATAATATTATATAGAATGAGTCGGACTGACTTTGGGAAGCAACTTTTGGAAGGGAACAGTAAATCCTTAATTAAATCTCATTGTTTCGAGTACATTACGTCGTAATCAGAGACTGCAACCTCCTCAGGCTTCTTATTTCTTCGACAAACAGTCGTGTTATGCAAAAATTACATAGTCTTTCCAATAATTTTGTAGCTTATATAATAGTAATAATTAACTAATCACATTTTGTTGTACTTTCTTGTGAAATTTTAAAGATAAGAGGTAGCCCAATCTTCATTTGGTTTAACCTTGGCAATTAAAAGAGTGACGGAGTTTATTGTTACAGTTTTTCTCGTCCGTTCTACGCTCTTGATTTGAGAACTGGCTGTATGTTCAGTTTTTACTGACGTTTATAAGTGTACACTGTACATACCTACATGATAATTTAATTTGAATAAAATAAAGACGTTGTTTTTGCTGTAATTGTCTGAACTTATCATTATAAATATTTATTTTATAAATAGAGACAAAGATAATGATGTACCGGTTTCTTAAGTATACGAGATAAAATTGTTTAAGACACGCGATTATTAAATTCCCATTAACATACGAAGGAGTATTTTTAAACCATATAATTTGATTATACAGTAACTTCATTCTTCTAATTATTCGGTTCAAGGAAGGTCTTAGGTGCTAGTCTCGGCGAAGCATAATGGAATGGAAAATCTTCAGTTAAACATATATGTATAATTTAACTGAAGAAACATAAATGACCTTATAAATAATGATTACATATAATAATAAATACTTTAGTAAAATCACGAACAATATCACAAAACAGTTAAAAATACACAATGTATGGGCGGCGGTACAAATCAGGAGTTTCTTCCAGAAATATACATTTAATATTTTCATAAATGCAATATAATGACTTATGAACGCCAATAAATAAAATATATTTTTTTAATACGTGTAAGATCCTGCAACCAACGTTTTTAAGAAGACAAATCATTCTCGAAGTATTGTCTCAAAGATTGCTTTTTTTTTCAGATTTGGACAGAGTTCGTAACGCGTTTTAATATCAAATACGTGACCGAATTTTATGGAGCAACTGAAGGAAATGCTAATATTGGTAAGATATGAAATATTATTACGTTGCGCTTACTGATTGCTGTAGACACTATCAACATCTTTATATATTCGCAGGGTGAGTTCACAGTAGCGATATTGTGTACCTTATGTACTTAATCATATAATTTTTCTTTTGTTTTCGACATGTATGGTATGTATTTTTTTAAATAAATAAGTAAATGATCAGCCATCTGTGTCTGGACATCCGGGTACCTGGAAAAGGCAATATTTTTGAAGTGAAACTTCTTTAGGCGCATGAGGGTAAATTTTTACGGAACCGTCACGATGATGTGCAGCGTTTTTGTCGAAGAAAAGGGAGAAAGCCATTGAGACCGATTGAGAGAGAGTGAGAAGGGCGAATTACCTTATAGAAATTCTATCTTAAAAATTAAAAGTTCGTAAAGAGAATTTATGAAATATTAGTATTTAATATTTTATATTATTATGTATTATTTTTTTTAAAATACCACGTGATTTTACTATCGAAGAAATAAATTAAATTTATTATTTGTTATTGTTATTAATTTTCGAATATTTTAATGACAATTAAAATCATTAAATTCGTAACATATTATCCTTTTTCCCTCCCTCTAAGTCTCGGAAATCTAAAGTTTGAGATTTGTAAAAATATGAACAAGACTTAAAAATTATTTTGCCAAATAAGTTTCACTTCTGACATGTGTACTTTGTACGCACGCACTTTTTTTTGTATTTTTTTTAACAATTGGTCCTGTAATGTGTGCTACTTAAATGTATTGTTGCAAAAATAATTCTATATATGTATATATTTTTTTGGTCACATAAAGTATTTTTTACAGCAAATACTGATGGTACCCCGGGAGCAATTGGCTTCCTATCTCGTATCTTTCCGAGCGTATATCCCATCGCCATAATAAAAGTTGATCAAGAAACTGGTGAACCAGTCAGGGACTCGCAAGGGTTGTGTCAGGTATTGAAAATTTATTGACCTAATATATATGCACTTAAATCCCACCAATAAATACTTAAATAAGGTTTATAGGTATTGTTGGCTTTACTCAATTATATTTAAATACTCGTTAAATAAACGTGCTAACAAAGCTAATTTATTTTATAGACATAAGTGGTATATGTCTTACATAATGTATTTCCATTAATAACACTAAGATCTCAAGAAAAATATGAAAGTTCTAAAAAATATCATTGTGGAATAATGATACATATTAGTTGGGTTTTGTATATAACAGGGGCAAGCAGGCAGGAGGCTCATCTGGACAATGGCATTGCCAGGGGGCTCGCGAGTGTGTTGTCGGCCTTTTAAGAATTGGTACGGTCTTCTTGAAGAAAAGTCGTTTCCAAGTCGAATTGTAGTTCCACATAGTGGTGGCGCGTGGCAAAAACAGCCTTAAGAAACGCTCAGTTGTGGAATGTCTGTCTTAGCTAACATAAAAGTCAATTTACCGATGTACCGAAGGATTTGTAGGATTGCCTTTTGTTAATTTGATTTGACGACCATGCTTCGTCAAAAGTAGTTCATCAAATTCGTTTTGCCAAAAAACCGTTGCAGTATGTTGAACGTGTCCATTATTGCTATTCTCCTATTTACAGTACAGTGTGTGTAGTCGGATTAGGTATCATTGCATAGTGTAAAGAATCCATAAAAATCTATATTACGTATCAGCCCGGTTCAATGGTATTGACAGTGAATGATGAAACCTTACATCACCGCGAAAATAGCGTACTGTAACGAGAATTAAGTATTATTTGTTCATGTAAAACTCTATAATTGTTTCCGGGGCTTATATAATACAATTTAAACTTTGAACGTACATACAAGTTCGTGATTTCGTGTCTTTGTCGTAAATAACGTGTTGGCACTTGGAGACCAACGTCTTCGAATCATAGCTAAAGCGCAAGCGCAATAGTTGGTGCGAGAGCCAATCATGTGACAGCAGTTTTCGAGCAAAGGATTTTTTAATCGGATAGATGTTTCTAGCACGCTGGGACACAATGTGGGATAAACTTTTATTTTTAGACATAGGTCCTGTCACGTGTTAGGGAGAGTTTAAGTATTACGTAACGAATTATGGGGGGGGTCCTTTTGTAAAACGTAACGATGCGGGCGGGGATTTAACTACGTGTTATTGTTAATATTATTTTCGACTTTCCAGTACTTTAAATAAAATAAAAAAATATGTTTATTATGGAACATAAGATACATGTATCACTTATTCCTCGTCATTAAATTTCAATTTGTAGGCATCCCTACTCATCGGCAAAGAAGACAAGCGGTGTAAGCCGAGAGAAAAAGCCGGCGTAAAAAACTCGTAAAAAACTTTACACGACATAATGGTAACTTTTAGGTATAAATAGTCACTAGGTGGTCACGAAACGTTGTACTATACTTGGGTACAGAAAAACGTTACAGCGCGTTACAGGAGTGGGGGGGGGTCAATAATCTCCAGAAATTGCGTGACGTAATACTTGAACGCTATGTGGAGGATTTAGCATGGTTCACTTCAACCATAATTTAAATTGTTAAAAAAAATATGAAAAATAAATACTTGTTTGTTCGTAGATGGCGGGTCCGGATGAGCCGGGCGTTTTCATTGGAAAGATATCGGCAAATAACCCGTCTCGGGAGTACCACGGTTACGTTGATAAGGCGGCCTCAGATAAGAAGGTTGTGAAGGATGTCTTTGTGAAAGGAGATTCCGCTTTTATATCGGGTGAGGCATTGTTCTGTAAATTAATGAGTATGAGTATGTCCTTAGTTCCTTTCAAGTGGCAGTCTCTGCGGAAAGAGAATCGTGTTTATTATATTTTACTAATACAATTATTAGGAGCAGTGTTGGCCTAGTGGCTTCAGCGTGCGACTCTCATACCTGAGGTCGTAGGTTCGATCCCCGATTTAACATTTGCTCGAACGGTGATGGAAAACATCATCAGGAAACCGACATGTCTTAGACCCAAAAAGTCGATGGCGTGTGTCGGGCACTGGAGGCTGATCACCTACTTGCCTATTAGATTAAAAAAATGATCATGAAGCAGATTCAGCCACTGATTTATTATTAATACAATTATCATTAATTACACGTCATTTTATTTATTTACGAGAATTATATATTTTTTAATATTTTAACAGAATTAATAATAACAATGTATAGGTTCTGTAGTCACTAATAAATAACCTGATTTGGTTTTTAAAATTGGTTCTTTGAATTTACGATTGATAGCAAATACATATTTGATTACAGGTGATATTTTAGTAGCTGACGAATTCGGTTATCTTTACTTCCGGGATCGCACAGGCGACACCTTCCGGTGGCGAGGTGAAAACGTCAGTACCAGCGAAGTGGAGGCAGCAATTTCAAGGGTTGCTAGCCATAGAGATGCAGTTGTTTATGGTGTACTGGTAAGAGATATTTTCGATGTAATAATGGAGACCATTACAAAATAATGCAAATACTTCATGAATAGAAAAGTTATGTTTATAGTAAACGTGATTTGGAACTTAACAGAAGCACATCGTCAGTGTAGAATTATAACCTCGTATGTCAAAAAACCATTTATTTTTTATTCTTAGACTCTTATGGGAGCGTTCAAGTATTACGTCACGCAATTTGTGGAGATTATTGAACCCCCCATGTAACGCGCCGTAACGTTTTTCTGTACCCAATAGTAAAACGTTTCGTGACCACCCAGTGACTCTTTTTACCTAAAAGTTACCATTATGTGGTGTAAAGTACTGGAAAGTCGGAAATAATATTAACAATAAGGCGTGATTCAATCCCCGCCCCGCATCGTAACGTTTTACAAAAGGAAAAAAAATCGTTACGTAATACTTGAACGATCCGTATGTCATTTAACTGGTCATTTAATCTTCTTTACGTTACGTTTAATTTCTCACTTATTATCTAAAGTAATCAAAAAATTACATACAGTAAAAAGCACTTCTGTATTATTATTAAATTAAAATTACAAATGAACGAAGAGTCTTACCTTAGAAAAGAGAAATAATTAAAAAGAAATTAATAATAATAATAAAAAATATTATTAATATCTTTTGTAATTTTTAGGTTCCTAACACAGAGGGCAGAGCTGGTATGTGCGGTATAGTAGATCCTGACGGAAGTCTAGATTTAGAGCAACTAGCCCGTGACCTAGCTCGGGATTTGCCTCCCTACGCCAGACCTATCTTTGTGAGAGTCATGTCTAGTATGGATATGACCGGTAAGCATTTCATATTGGTTTTGGGTTTTCTTTTAAATATATTATTCCGACTTTAAAGATACTGTTCCGGTGTTTTTGAGTCATATAGGCAATTTACAGTGATGGCCTAGTGGCTTCTATCATCCCTGAGGTCGTAGGTTCGATTCCCGGCTGTGCACCAATAGACTTTCTGTCGAACGGTGAACCGACATGTCTTAGACCCAAAAAGTCGATTGCGTGTGTCAGGAACAGAAGGCTGATCACCTACTTGTCTATTAGATTTAAAAATTATCATAAAACAGATTCAGAAATCTGGGGCCCAGACCAAAAGAGGTTGTAGCGCCACTGATTTATTTATTTTAAAGGCAATTTGCAGGTGTTCATGAACATTTTTTTGTATCTTATAGGACTATTATTTTCTGTGGATCGTTTTTATTAGGTAATATATATATTGATAAGCTAATTGTGTACCTTTGATGTTCGTAAAATAAATTACAAATAAATTAGGAATCAGTAAATAATATTATTCCTGGTAAATAGGACGCTTAGGTATCTGGGTTAGTTACCTACTCGGGGTCCCTTTAACACCACATTGGCTACATTCCTTATTTATTTAAAAAGGTTTGTCAATGAACATTACAAGAATTTACATCTTCACATAAAAATTCAACTAACGGTGCTTTAAGAAAAAAGCGTACCAATTTCTTAAAAGTTGTCTGACGTTGAGAGTGCCCATGGGCGCCGATCACTTAACATCAGATGCGCCTCTTGCCCATTTGCCCCCGAGCATCTATATAAAAAAAAATAACACAAAAATCTACTCTTTTTTTTTTCAGGAACATTCAAAATGAAGAAGACAGATCTACAAAAAGAAGGTTTCGATCCAAGTTTAACGAAAGGTGACAAAGTCTATTATCTGGATATGAAACAGAATAAATACATTCCTTTAGGACCTCAAGAGTATGAATGTATAAACAACGGAAAGATTCGATTGTGATTAAATATTTTAATGCGTTGGACATGTATCAAATTGGTTAAAGTTAACTGTGATCGGTTGGAGCTGGTATTTAAACCAATCTCTTTGGGAATATTTTTTATTTTGCAAACAATCTCTTGCTAATACTCAATTGGCTTGTACCTTATAAAATTGTGATAAAGAGTCCACATTGCCGCGTAAATGCCATAGCTTGTAGTATTCCTACATTTGTTATAAATTATTAACACATGTGTTAAACACTCGAATAATATGAAACTAATAATTAATATATTTTATTTATAAAATGTTATCGAATATGTATTTAAATTATGAACCTCAACATTGATCTTATGGAGCGATCGTTAAATTACGCTACGACACGTGTACGGGGGTCTGCGTATACGTCTCCAATGACTAAAGTTTTGTCTTTATCACTCCGAATGCTTATATTGAAACTCCTATAAGTAAAATTGATTGTACTGTTTTATTCAGAGCTGAGAAATCTATTGACAATTGAACTGCTTAAGCCCTGACCGCATTTTGGAGTACGCGTTTATTTACAATAATTTTGTGAAGTTGATACAACTTTTGTATGAATATTCATAGTAATTGTTATGTAATTTTATCGAGTGAATTATTTAGAGTTCTTATAGTGGAAGGGGTAGAGTTAGCTAATATGAGTGTTCAATGTGCATTATAGGGTTTATTCAACCATAGATTTTAAAGGGGACCTTCACCCAGGAATACATTGAATTGGGATCATGCTTCATAAATTTTGCCGGTTTCTAGAACAAAATTCAACTATTGTCCCACCTAAACTTATCTATTTATAATAAAAATTTAGATTCAGAAGCATAATTGTATTTTGTTATTTTATTCTAAACGTGCATGCCTTTTTCATCGACATTCTGAAATGTGCCTCAAAATTTCTGTTTTTGTACAATGACTTGTTGTTGATGTAGTTAGATAAAATCTAGTTTAATAAAGCTTATGGTGGGCTTAGGTGCTAATATCAGAACATACTAAAGGTCGCATGGCTACGGAGTCCGTAAACTGTTAGGAATTGATTTTTAGAAAAATTGCATACATTCAAGACAACAGTATAGAAACAGTATTTCGAATCAAAAGCTAGGTATGTTAAATTCAATATGTTCTTCTTTTGTTTTCCAGTCTATAATTGTAAGACTGACGCAATCATTTATTTAGGTAGTAAGGTTTAGGGTACTGTTATACTAGTATTAAAATTTATATTTTTTAATTGTGTTTTATTTATAAATCCTTTATATGTTAGTATCGCTAGCAGGCGGACCTCGGATCCTTAAAAAATTATTGACTGCAATCGTTTCACTGGTGCGAATGAAGCCGTTGAAAAACTACACCGGTTTTTAATTGTGGAACCAAATTTGCTTGGAGTACCTACTAAAGAGTGTCCATACTCCATAACACCATACCAAAAATTATGACGTCATCTTACTACAAATAGTACTTTTAACATTCCTAAAAAGAAACTTAGTGTTGCAAACTTATTGTGATTTATAAAAACTTAATATTTATCTCGCGATGGGGCTATGCGATATGGGTGTGCTAGAACTTGTAACGTGATGAATTCCAATTGGAAGTTAGAGTGCCTGATACTATAAAACAATCAATTGTTGTTATTGCGCAGGCATTGCTAAATTGGTAGGCGCATAGTTTTATGAATGTTTCGCTGATCAATCGCTTTCGATTCAAAGTTGGGTAATCTTTTTATTTTAAAGGAAAAGGTTGACTATACATATTAGAAAGTTTTGCCCTCAACCTGCGTTAAATAGACTATAAAACTACAAACACAGATAATTAATTTCTTTGAGAATTGAAAGAAAGACATGAAGAAATTTGACACGTGTTAATAATGAAAAGGCTGTAAATAAATTCTATAGATACTACCATAAATATTATGTAGAAAAAATATTTAAATAAAGAAGTATCATAGTGTCAAGCCAAACTGCGAAAGTGAAGCGCAATAGGCGTGTTTTTATTTTAAATTTTTTACATGTCATAGTCACCGGTTCAAAAGCGATCCCTTCGGGGATCAGCTGTTCGCGCATGTGCATCTGGCGCTGAGGGGAAACAAACCATTGACGCGGCGAACGTTCGCTGGGCGCACGTCCTTGGCGCATTTAGGAAAAAACATTCAACGCCGGCAGACGCGGTCGGCGCGTTGTTCATTGTTTAGGTCTCAGTGTAGTTATTCGCGTGTCCCACTGGGCTCGTCGCCAGCATGGACGCTCTGCTGGCAGCGCTCGTCGCGCTAATGGCACTAGCTGCCGCGATGGCCGCCGTGCTGAGCACGCTATCCAAGGCGGCGATTTTCGCCATACTCGCGATCGCACCTTGTGTTTATCGATACAGGAAGAAGATTTATGTGATCGTGAAAACATTACCAAGGGATCTCAAGTGAGTTACGATTCATTCTTTAATGTTAAATTTAACATGCCCACGATTAATGTACACAGCCCGCTATGCGTCACGAAAATCGTTAAAATCGTTGTAGTTAACAGCGAAGTAATAATTTGTCAGTGTAAATATATGAATAATGTTACCTTTGTTAACTACACTTATGTTAAGTATTCACATTCTCTTATATTCCCATAGTTATATAATTTACTGACGTAGGCTAGAGACGGTTTAATTGTGTAAGTAACCAGATAAAAATAGTTTAGTATTTGTCTGTTACATTTTAGGGTCTTAACGTTGAGCGATAATGTTGTTAGTTGTTGCTTACATTACAAAAGGTTTTTGCTACCTGCTACTAAAATTGGTAAGCCAAAAAGTTAGACTAGTACGCATAAAGAACTGCCTCTCCGAGCATATTATAAATTACTTACTATATATGAGAGTATTTTATTACGTTTCGACTATAAAACACTTCCTGCATATTTATTAGTGATTAGCTTTATTTTTTGGATATGTACTGTCAGGCTACAATTATTGTGGTCAAACTACTTGGACATGTAAATAACAGAATGGGCAGGGGATATTTTTACATAACACAAAAACTCGTATCTTCACAGAATTAGAAGTACGTATAGGAAAAAATTATGAAACAGGACGTTGCAAATAACAAATGATAACAATATATGTCAGAATTTTTGTTAACGCAGTTTAACCTACTTTTTAATAGATACTTAGGATATCCTTAGTGGAACTGTACTAGCGCATATAATGCGGCATGAAGTGGGCAATATTCCAACGATCGAAAATCAACCCTTACTTGTCCAGCCAAAAGTGAAAGCTATTTACACATAGAAATCAAAACTTAACTTAAATAAATTGATATTTCGGGGCCACAAAACATTATAAAAATTTCGAATAAACACCGTTTTCACTTGCATGAATGAATCATATAATAATCTTAACGGTTAACCTACCTTTCTCAAATATGCTTTCCAATACAATATTTTGCCATTATGTAATTAAATTTTATCTTGAGGCTAAATAATTTCCTAACGCTTAATAATTTTATTATATTATCTTACATAATTAACATGTTAGTGGATATTTACGAATGTTTTCATTGTAAATGTAAATCCTTTATTTGCCAAGATAGTGGTACAAAATAAAAAATCGAACAACAAGAAAAATCCGCACAATCAGCCATATTTAAATAGGCATACAAATGTCATAATAAGAAGTCAAGTCATTTATAAGTAATTGTTAAACTTATGTTCTAAATATTCGGTCACGCTATAAAAGCACATTCAACGTAGTGTTTAAGAATTTAGTTTTATTTGCCGCAATTCGTATTTTAATTATATTTTTATAAATTGTAATGGCCTAAATCATTTGAAATTTTCGGATCGCGCTCTGTCGGTCAGTTTCTATTTGTTTTAGAATTTAAATGATTTACACGATAATTAGATACCAGTTTTGAAATACAAATGTCAGTGACCTTTGATTGTCTTACCAGCAAAGACAAAAGAATTGGGGATTTCAAAACAATAGTGAATCCATTAATTTAAATAAACGAAATTAGTTTAACTGCAAAGGATCAATAATGTTGATGCGGTAGAAGAATGTCATTTCGTATACTGTAGAAGTTTTTGTAGGTAACATACATAAACTGATTACAGGCATTTTTCTTTCTTTTGCGTATAATTATGACTATGGAAAGTCGTTAAAGTGAAATATATGAAACCACGTGTTAATTTTACATTGGAGCATCGGTCAAGACCTTGTATCCGACTATTTATAAAGTCAAGGTCTAAATGTAAAAAAGTATACCCGTCCTGATCGCCTGGTGCTCATTTCTGCTTATAATGCTAAGAAAAGCAACAATTAATAGATATCACATTATTTATTACTAACGATACACAAAATAATAACAATCAAAAATAAAAAAGAATGAAAAATATTTTTTTCTTTTAAAGAACAAGGTACATTTTGAGTGTGTAATGCGTGTGTGTTGTGGTTTTAACTGGCCCTGGTTCAGCATTATGCTGAGGAGCAGACTGTTCCACAGCGCTGGTCATTCTGCCAGAGACCACAGCAGCTAACTAGCTGCTAGCTGCGCATCAGTCGCAAAAATAGAAAAAATAATGTAATAATAATAATACTTTACTAAAATTATGAGAAAGAATTTACAATTTGTGCTATTTATTCTAAAGTATATCTTATCTCTGCTGAGATTGGAGACAATGTACCAAGATAAATTAAATGTGTATGAAAAGATGTTAAGTACCAACACGATATATACAGTGGGCGAGTTATTTTTGAATGAACTTTACTCAATCGATCCGTCAGTCACCTCTCTGAGCTATAAAGTTACATTAAAATAAGATACATAAGTTTTACAGCCTTTGCATTGTAACTCTAATGGGTGATTTATTATTTAAAAATTTTTTTAAGGAGGACTAGCATAGACAGTGAAAACCCTTTTAGCTTTCAATATATGGAGAAAGTTTAATTAAATACCTATATCTTTATCAACTTGTGCGACCAGCTTACGACCGGCTCAAAACGACATTAAATATCGCAGTCATTGCAAAGAACATCTTACAAAAATTCCATTATGACGGTATTTTAGCCTTTTCAGCTAAATAAAGTAACCTAATTATTTGTGTACATTGCATCGATGTTATCATAAACAATTAGGCGGATAGGCGACATAAATTGTATTAATGGCTTAAAATATGTACTAAAGGGCAATATCTAATATGATTAATAGTTTAAAAAAAACGATGCAACTCAACTACGAAATTTAATATCAATTATTTAACGACTTGACATGTGTGTCAATTTCCGTTATATTCGAGAATTTTGGTATGAAATCTTTATTTCTTCTTATTCTTATAATATCAAAAATACAAGTTATAAGATAAGGTCTTATCTATAACATTGCGAAGACCTACTTTAATATTATGAAGTATTAGTCGAAATACCGTAGAACCACTTTGAGAGTCTTCGTTAATTTACGGAAAACCGTTAGGTAATAATCTCCCGTTTTGGTTGAAATAAGAAATTAATGTTTATAATTATTTGGTAGGTTCTAGTAGTCTTGTCCTTGAAAATAAGCAAGTAAATATTTCAATGCTAAGAATCAAGATAGCGCGTGTTTTCTATCGATTGGTAAAATCGATAATTTTTATCACTAACATGAACTTTATTTCTATGCACGTAAGAGCCAAGATTATAGAGAAAGAATCGTTCAACACGTGACACATTTCACATATAAATATTTTAAAGACGCACCTTGTCCTATATAAGTACAGCGGTAAGATCGGCAAAAACAATATTCACGTTTTGCATGCTTAAAAAGCACATTAAATGAATGATGTAAAAAACTGTTGCCTAGCACTAAATTTTTTTGTCCAAATTAAATTCTGAAAAACCTGTTTGTATTATCACATGACAGTTAAGTTACGCTACGGCTATTTAATTTTTTATTAGAATGATAATAAAATGAAACGTCCTCAAATTATTAATAAATAACCGCCGAAAATAATATAGAAATATACTATTTATTAGTAAAAAGGTTTTATATTGCATAATTCCGTACTTGTGTAGGACATATTAGGATATACGTGAAATGTGTCGTGTTGAACAGTTCTTTAATCGGTAATATTGGTTCTTGTATTCATAGAAATTAAGTTCATGTCACAAATACAAATTGTTTCTAAATATTTTAAGGTTCCTATGGCGGTACGCAAATGCGATGATTCGTACGGCAATATATGCACGAAACAACTGCTCCGTTGCGGAGTTGTTTACGAAGAGAGCCCTCAAACAGCCCGATGCACCGTGCTTCTTTGTCGTCGACGATCGCACATGGACATTCAGAGAGGTAAAAACTTTTTATTATAAATTGTCCTACCCACCACCTATGACCCACATACATACATAGGGCTTCGACTATTCGAATAGTCGAAAGGATAAACTAAATTTTGTGGTTTTTGCATCCTGTCTAAGCTAGAATGATATCTCATAGGTGTATAAAACAATAGAATCGTTTTGAGTTACATTTAGTCCGATGAATTTTTTCCTTAATTTGCGCCGTGTTACCTCGTTGTATGTATGTTTATATAGGATAAAATGCTAGTGTTTAAGCGAGGTAGGTGGAATATTCGTGTAGTTTTTCAAACTGGTGTCAGTGGCGTAACTATACCATCTGGGGCCCGTGGCAAATTCTTTTGATGAGTCAGTAAAAATCGTCACGTTGTACTCAGTTTAATTTTAATAAACTTTGAGATTTTCAGAGTACTTAATTACACGTTGTACCTATATGTCCCCCACTAATGGCCATAGGCCTCCTCTCTTAGGCGAGAGGGAATGGTCTGTAGTCCCCACTCTAGCCGTTGGGCTAGCGTGGAGACTTCACATTCATCCATAGAACATAGTATCTCTTAGTCAGGGTCCCTCTTAAGTCGGGGGCCCGTGGCATTTTGCCAGCCCTGCCACCCTATTGTTACGCCACTGGTAGGTGTAGACAGTTTGTGATGAGATTAACGTAACGTGTCAATGCAAGACTTCAGTTTTATCGACGTTATTACGTAATACTTTGAAGGCTTTAAGCAAGTAAATGCCAGGCCTGGACACCTGCTTGTTTCCTTGTTTTGTAATGGACAATAGATGTTTTACCATAATATTTTATACCCATATCTAGCTTGCAATTAGTCAAGAAACACTTGTTAAAATATGTAGGTGACAAAAAAGGAAGAAGGAAAAAACAAGTATAGTATAGTAAGGAAGTTATGTGATTACATAACTTGTTTTTTCCTATAAATATTCCTATATATGTAATTAAATTTATTATAACAATTCAAATGTTGTTCATGACTCATAAATTCTTTGGTTTACGCCATGGATACGAAATCTTATCATTGCGTATTTCCGGCAGATGGCAGAAAAATCGAACCAAGTGGCTCGGGTAATGCAGGAGATGGGGCTGAAGCGTGGTGACGTGGTGTGTATCTTCATGCCTAACTGTGCGGAATATGTTTACATGTGGCTGGGTATGGCCAAGCTGGGTGTGGTCTCTGCTCTCATCAACAGTAATCTGCGACACAAACCTTTGTTACATTGTATCCAGGTCGCAAAAGCTAAAGCTATTATATACTCTGATTGTTTGGTTGGTGGTAAGTGAACTTTTTTGTTTAAACTTAAGTTTCATACGCAGTAATGATTGCTTATTCAAAGTTAAATCCATTATGAACAAGTTTCAAAACATCAGTTATGATACTGACATATCAATGTCTATGGCTTCTCTCTGAAGGTTCAATTCACATTGGATTAGACTAAAGATTTCGAAGGAAAAAAGAAATAATTCTAAGTGTATTTTTGCAGCCGTGGCCGATATAAATGCGGACCTCTCCGCGGATATAAAGCAATTTCAGTTATATGGCGACTGTGCACCAGGAGTCACGGATATGCGCTCTGAGATGGAGAAGCAGTCTCCAGATTATCCAAACGTGGTTGATAAGCCTCAGTACAATGATACACTTCTATACATCTACACGTCAGGCACAACGGGAATGCCAAAGGCAGCTGTCATGAAGAACTCAAAGTTAGTTCTGCACTATTTTTCCTAATATAACTACAAATAATGCCTATGTTTATCAAGTTCATTGTCCCTTGTATATTCCAAATTTCGCCGAATTGATTTTTATTACTGGATACAATGAGCAAACGAGCCTACGGAACAGCCATAAAAGGCAGTCACTTCAGCGCATGGGGGACACATAGGGTTTTAGGTGGAGTGTGTTATCGGCCTTCCGATTGCATTTACCAGGGATGACCTCCACCGGGAGCCGATTCCTCATAGTAAACCGTGTCATCAGGGGTTAAATAATATTAATAAAATTTAGATGATATATTCTATTTAATAGAGCAGTGTTTGCCTAGTGGCTTCAGCGTGCGACTCTCATACCTGAGGTCGTAGGTTCGATCCCCGACTGTGCACCAATGGACTTTCTTTCTACGGTGAAGGAGAACATCGTGAGGAAACCGACATGTCTTAGATCCAAAAAGTCGACGGCGTGTGTCAGGCACTGGAAGCTGATCACCTACTTGCCTATTAGATTTAAAAATTATCATGAAACAGATTCAAAAATCTGAGGCCAAGACCAAAAGAGATTGTAGCGCTACTGATTCTATTTAATGTCAATTTTATTTTTAGTTGGAAACTTATATTCTATATGAGTTCAAGAATGCGTAAGAAATAATATCTTCTTTCATTACTGACATAGCGAATCTTATCAGGTACTTGATTGTGGTGGTAGCAACAGTTCACATGCTGGGTCTGAAAAGCAGTGACCGCATGTACAACCCCCTACCGCTCTACCATCTCGCTGGCGGGCTGGTAGGGACAGCGGCTGCTTTAGTTGATGGTATACCCTCGGTACTTCGGAGCAAATTCTCAGCATCCAATTACTGGAGTGATTGTATCAAGTACGAGTGCACGGTACGTTAGATTTATTATACTTGATTGATTTTTAGGATATTATTATTTACGTTTACGTTATTGTGATATAAATTTTACAAGTACATTTAATAATTGCAAATAATAAAAAAACCTTTTGTTTCTTGTAATTACAAAGTACAAATTTAAACGTAGAACCTCTGTTAGAACAATCTTATTTATTATTTATTTACACTTCGTTACCCTATACAAAAACATACATAAAAAAGCAGGTTACATAAGTTATAAACTTATAAGGCAACGGGCGGCCTTATCGCTAACAAGCGTTTTTTGCAGGCAACCCTACTATGGGACAATAAAAAAGAAACACCTACAGAGGGCAAAGCACAAGAAGTGCTTAAATAATTAACAAAAAAGAACATAAAATACATGTACACAAACTAAAATAAAGTAAAATGTAACAAGAAATAATATAAACAAAAATTTTTAAAGCTAATCCAATGGTTAATGAGTTGCAATTAATTTATATAAGTAGCTGAATTACGAGGCAGAAGATAAATGATAAAAAAGATGATTTTAAAATAAATTAAATAAATTATTCAAATAGTTTGAGGAAAAATATACTAAAATTGATTTAATTTAAATGTTTATTGTGTGTAGATGATATATGCGATGTGATATGCTTATTGTTTTGTAAATATAATAAACTTGCTTTCAAATCTAAGTAAACAAACCATATCAATGAAATATTTGATCAAAATCATCGATGTATTTGGTAATTGAACACAATCTTATTATAGGTTTCTCAGTACATCGGAGAGATGTGCCGATACCTGCTGGCCCAGCCTTCGAAGCCTACTGACACTCAGCACGGAGTGCGGATTATGGTTGGAAATGGAATGAGACCTGCCATATGGCAGCAGATTGTTGACAGGTCAGTTACGAGTACAATTTAGCGCTTTCATCGCTATATCTAGCGAAATTTAGGGTCTGTTTCACAATGTACGGATAAGTTCCAAATTAGCTATTTATTACTTATTGGTAGGATAAACACTATTGTTGCGTTTCACGACTGTCAGATAGCGCTATTCGTCACATAAAGTCCATCATAAGTTATGAGTCCGATGAAGTGTCAAATAGCCCAATTTATCTTCCAAATAATTTATGTGTTGCATAGCTATTTGGTAGTTTATCCATACATTGTGAAACAGACCCTTAGATTGTCAATAAATTAGGGCGAACGTAATCTTATCTAGCACCCAATCTAGAACTAGATTAGAATTTTGTTTGTTTTGTATGTTGCCAGAAAAGGGTCATGGATAGGGCTGAAATATTGGAAATAAGGAAAAATATAAAAATGTTTTTATTTGATATAATAATAGCCTTTTACATTTAAATTCGTTTCTATCTCAATATATTTTTAGGTATCTGTGTGCCCTTTTTTGGCAAAAACCTCCTCCAATTCCCGCCATTTCTCATTTATAATGTCTCACTGACATAGAACTCCCTCACTTTAAAGGTACTAATGTGGGGTGTTACTTTGTAAGTCTATAAGAGATACTTAAATATATTTAATAAAAAAACGTGTGTGTACTTATGTACACGCGTTAGAAGTCATACTTCTTTGGCGTAACAAGATAAAGATCTTTTCAACAATTTTATCTTTCGCCTTATTCTACGTTTGTAGAAAAAACGTCATTAATGGTAGAAAAAAATACTCTCATCATTTTTCCCTAACGCGCCAAAAGAAGTATACCTTCAAAAAAAGTAAAATGTTGACTATGGCTAACTTCAGGGTTTCGGTTTTTTGTGACGATGTGCGCGCGCGCGCATCGTAAACAATTTACCTACTCTCATAATTTTTCCTTAACGCGCCAAAAATTAAAACAATACAAATAGCCTGTATTCATGTAATGCATAATCTTGATTGCATTAAGTCTATGTCATTATGTTTAACAATAGTACACGACCTCCGACGGAGTGAAGGCCTTCTCCAAACTCTTCCATTTGTCTCTCATCCTCACCACTATTTTCCAATCCTTCGCCGCTATCCCTTTTATGCTAACATAGAATATAAAATAATAAATTTAGTGCTATTAATTTTGTATTGTGCTTTTTTTTTAATTCATCGAACATAATATGTACCCTTTATAAAGGATTTGTTTAATTAATGATCGTTCACGATATACTCGTAAAAATCAAAGACGCTACATTACAATTATTTGATGAGTCAATATTTAATTTGGCAGGTTCAAAGTACCGCAGATAAATGAGATATATGGAGCGACCGAGGGCAACGCAAACATAAGTAAGTTTCTTTTGTTTCTGCTTACAATAGTGATAACAGAAGTACTTTGTACTACATTAATTGTGTTACGATTAATGCATATAAACAAAAATTAATTGCTGTTTGAACAAAATGGACCGATTTGGCTAATTATGATATTGAAATATTTGTGGAAGTTCAGGGAATGTTAATAAATAAAGAAAAATAATAAAAGCTACAATTAAATACAATAAAAACTGTTCCAGCTAGGAAATATTTGATGTCTTTTTAGAAAGAATTTTTTTTCACTTGGTTGTCAATAGATGCCTTTAGAAATTTGTGTTTCATAGCTGTAGAAGAGCTCCGATCAGTTTGGAACGTTTAAAAAAATTTGTATTAATTATAAAACAAATATGTACTAGGTCACCTAGTTAATAATAAACTCAACTCAAGTAATCAAAGCTATTTTCAACCATTTTTAATATACATAGTGGTTTCAACGAGGAGAATGGCATAATAGTTACAGATTATATTAAAACTAAGTTGGCTTTTAAAAGGCGGATTTATGTTTTAATTTTTTATTCACAATAAGTGTGCTCCTATACAATAGAATTTATATTTGGTTTGACTACGTTCAATTTTTCCCGAACTCTGTCAAATTTACTAAGGGAATTGCCACGAATCATTAAGTTAATTTAGAACGCGTTCAATAGCTGTATAAATCAACGCTTAGATGATTATTTTTTATCAAGTAGAGGTTTAAAAACACTCCAGGGATAACACGTTGTGATTCACTGGTTTTATAATTGATAAGTATTATTGTTTTCTTGTTACGGTGCCTTGGTGTCTAGACGCCAGCGACGCGACGCATGGACAAAATCAGTGATGCCAACTCCTACAGAAAGCCACTTCAAATACCCCTAAATATCGATTATAAACCCCCTTAAGATTTTGTTGTACACTCGGCATGAGAGGTGTTTTCAAATATTCATTCAAGTTTATAGTTAGATTTTTGTTTTGGAGTATTATACCTTTTTATATTTAAGTTATAGATAGCCACGCTTGGAGTTAAGTTTGGTGGTTGGGTTTTTATCCTTAAAATAAATTGTATATATATATATAGTGCCTTTATTAACAAAAAAAATCTTGTTATAAAGTACCCCATAAAAATCCGTCTAAATAAATGTACCTCCTAAAAACCCAAGACATCTTGATTCCCCCTAAATTTGGGAGGAAAACCCCTAAGTTGGCATCACTGCTTACCGCAAAGTTCTCGGACAAATTGTCTGACGCTGAGTCAAACGCAACTGCGCAACAACAAAGACATTTACCTATATTAATTTTACAAAAAGATGAATTGTGACTTCGTTCGCTTTAATAGGTTGCTTGGCAACACCTTGAATTCATTTTTCCCGCGTTATTTTTAATTTTGCAATAATTCTATAATAAACTGTATTGTGTAAATATCTTTTATAATGTGCACATAATAAAGTACCTTCTACATATTGAATTTAATAAAGGTTATAAAAAATCTGTCGAATTGCACCGTTTCAGTCATCTTTCTCTTTTCATCACAGCATAAACAGCATTTGCAAGAAAGAGACGAAAGAGTACGTTAGCAATTGTTTTTATGTATTTATGGGTAATACTGTTAGATATATTAAACTGTTAAAGTGGCCATTATTTAGAAATGGTATAACCTTAAATATAGAGCGTAAAATTTGCCAGAAATTTTAATAAATTGTTATATGTATAATGTATATACGATATCATTTTTGGAGTGCGCTTAAGTTGCGGCGGAAGGTATTTTCCGATGGAGTTCATTGTCATTTCCGGTGCAATATCATATTTATAATAACACGCAATTTATACGGTATGCTCTTTTTACGCTTCGCTAAATTATAAAATTTAACGTATGGTACATCTTATAACCTTAATTAATTTTATTTTGTCTCTGATTTTTATACAAGAAACAAAGGTTCGAACTATATAGGGACGCGTTCTGACTCTTGTGTGTGGGCTTTCATTAGAATACATATTATCTAAATTTTATATTGTCTGATTTTAAACAAGAAACAAAAGATGAACCCGAACGCGTGTTGTGACTCACCTTCAGTGGGATTATGATTTATTAACAGCATAAGAAAAATTCTTTGGAATAAAAATTCCAAAGAATTTTTTTCTGCAGATCTTTATTAGCTGTTTTTGTTAATTGTTAATTATCTTAATGAAATTCTTAAATTATTGCTTAACCGTAAAAGTTCATATTAAACGTTATATTTTATTACATTACTCGTAACTAACTGCTTTATAACTTCAGTTGTGTGAGACACTGTCTCATCAAGTTGAGTACATGATATCATGAGTAGAGTAAACCTAAATATTGCCCTACTAACGCCATCTATTGCCACGAAGTTGGTATTTGCAATATACTGAATAGTTTCACACGATTTACTTGTCCCCTCTTTTCAGTCTTACCGAGAGTTGTAACTAACAACCGTGATAGAACCGAGGCGTGGTTGATCTATCACACACACACACACACACACACATAAGTTACAAGAAATATGAAGGTGCAGATGGAAAGGCCCGCAACGCACCGTTTGCCTCCTTTTAAATAAAAAAACAGACGGAGACAGACTTAGCGCGATGTATCTGAATGTTATCCTAGGCTCGTTAGTTTCACTTGGTTCATATCATAGTAACAAATACTTCATGTATAAACACAGTATTAACACTAGGGACACCACTGTGTTGTGGCTGTGTTAGAGTTAGAGCCAACTGTAATCAATTAAGGATTATCCTGAACATATTTCCTTTTGACAGTTAACGTGGACAACACGGTGGGAGCGGTCGGTTTCCTTCCCAAGTTGGTGCCAACCAGACTTCACCCGATTGCACTGGTCAAGATCGACGAGCTTGGAAATGTCATTCGTGGTCCAGATGGTTATTGCATACGCTGTCAGCCCAGTAAGTACGATTGATTAAACATTAAACTCCATTTTTTATTAGGAATAAACCTTAACTTATAAATTGGAATTTTTTAATTCTGTTATTTAGAAAGTAATAAATAATTTGAAATGGTTTTTAAGTTTGTAGTATTAGGTTATGTTTGAATAATTAACAAATAGAAAGGCAAAGGTCTTAAATAAGAAGTATTTATTTAATTTCGTGGGGGCTTTGCACAGGTACATATACAGATTATTTCGTATTAATTAGACTCAAGACGACGCTAAGGTAAGATTTAGAGACGAGACTAAGCTAAATGTATGCCGTATGAAAAAATGTAGACATAATTCTCAGTGTCGACTGTGAATCTTGCCATAGAATTTACCATAAGTCTGATAATAAATTCTGTAAAAAATATTTAACTAAAAATAAGCACTGATAAGAGTTGATTGCTTTTTCGTGTGGTATTAATTATAAATGTCTGTAGAATATATTAGATTATTTAGTTTCGTTTAGAAAGTTGTTTTAATTTTTTTATTAATTTATTAAAATTATCTAAAAAAATACATCGACTAAACTGTTTAAATTATATAATTAAAACAGTTTTATAACGATGTATAGTAACTAAAATTAACCACTTTCATGGTTTAGTGGTTACGTACCATATTTAATGGTTCAGCGAAATTATAGGCCGGTTAGTAGGCACAGCCATATCACGTACTTGCTGCTATAAATGAGCTATAGATGCAGAAATGTCTGCCCTCTAGTGTTAAACACGTAAAATAAACTGCATATGTAAGCTGGCAATAAAGCTATTGAATAATATAATATATTTTAGTACGCTATGATTCAGTACAGTAATGAATAATTTATAACACGGCAGACCCTCTGAATACATAATAACTGTACAAAGCAGATACAGGCCAGTTAGATTGTTTATGAATATTCAGTTTACGCTTAGTTTATTTTAATTAATAGTTAATTATTTTTCTTTTAATATTTAATTTTTCAAGTGCCGTAATGCGGCTTGGTCCATTTATTTATGCTCTCAAACATCCCACATGATAAAACGAGGTCATTCAAAGAATAATAAAATATAATTGTTTGATTGTCCTGGTTTTAAATAATAATATATACAAATTATTATTAAAATTTAACTTAACTAACACTTTTTATATTTGAATACATTAGTTAAAAAGCATCAAATACAGAACAATTTGCATAGCATATGTTAACAAAGCTACAAACAGTAAACGTCAATTAAACGTATTTAAAAAATAATATAGACTGTTCGCACGCGCTGTAGAAAGCGTGCCGTATCACGCATGATTAATAATCTGTAGATTTTAAAAATGGAACGGTCAAACGATACGGTAAAAAAGTTTTTTTAATACAGTTGCTTAAAAAGTGGCGTATTGCAGGGACGTATAGCGTTCGGGATGTGGGCTATTACACACTCGTGCTTTTTTTTACCTTTTCCGAACTAGTGCGTTTTCTTTCCCAACTGTCAAAATAATGTCTATTAAAAAGAAAAAAACCAACCACGAAGTTTTTACTAAAAAAAATTCATAGAAATTTTTATGATTCATGCAAATATTTCTAAAAAGAAGCTACTGCTTTGTTTCAATATAAGATTTAATGATTTGATTCAATGAGTTAGGTTAGATTTCATTTCATCTCCTTAAATTTCATTTCATATCAATAAAAAATTGTACTGAAGACTTGGCTGTATGGGCATAGTTCCCTTTGCTTACCCAGAATGGGTGAAGAAAAAAAAATATCTGCTTATATTCTTTTACGGTTGGCGCCATTTTCCAAAAATGTTCTTTGCGCGTTTAGTTGTTTGTTATATTATATATTAAATATACATGAAAACCCATACGAAATAAATAATAGTTTGTCTCAAACAGTAAATAAATATGCAACCTAAAACTTCTCCAGTTAGTATAAAAAACTGTACCAATGTATATGTGAACAATAATTTGTATAAGAAATAAATGATTAGTGAGTTGAGTTTATTGTTTTTTTATTGTTTTTATTAAATTGCATAATTTTTTCGCAACTGTATTAAAAATATGTAGTTGTTCAGTACACGTGCGGAACCGTCATTGCAACTTGTTCCGACCCTCACCTTCGGCTGCGCCTCGGCTCGGGTAGACATTTGTCGAAACTCTTTGCAATGACAGGCTTTCCGCACTTGTAATGAAATATACTATTCCTTTATTATTTATTTGACGCCATTCCTTAACTGTCAAACTATTCTATTGAGCACTGCAGATGATTTCCACGTGATACGTTTTCTAATATGTTTATATTCTAATTCTGTTTTTATTTTCAGATGAACCAGGAATGTTTATTGGACTAATTTCTCAACGCAACGCAGCCCGTGCGTACCACGGATACGTTGATAAGGTTCGTCGAATACAATTTCGGGAATTTAAAAACACTTAAAAATATCAGTTCTATCTATCCCCTATTTGCGTTTCATCCACGACTTTTTAACCACCCTGTATATTTATTATATCCGAACGAGTACTATAAAAAATGAAATTAGGTTTAATTTAATTTAAATTTTTTAATTGCTATTAATAATTAAACTGATTGAATCTCGTGACTCGCCACTGATCATTAAAAATTTAATAAAATTATATTTTCTATTTTCCAGAGCGCCAGTAACAAGAAAGTAGAGACGGATGTCTTCAGCAAGGGTGACGCTGCGTTTGTGAGTGGTGACATTCTGGTGGCTGACGATTATGGCTACCTCTTCTTCCGGGACCGCACCGGTGACACATACAAGTGGAAAGGCGAGAACGTAGCCACGGCTGAAGTGGAGGATGCACTAGGCCCAGTTCTTGATCGACGGGATTGTGTTGTCTATGGGGTTTCGGTAAGTAAATCTAAAACAGACTTAAAATTTACTAAGGAAGTATAGTTTGAAATAACTCCTATCTGTTAGTTGAAACCTTTTTTAATAATCACTTACGCAATAGTGAATATTATAAATAACTATAGCGTGGTTTATTAATTATTTTACTTTTAAAGAACTAAAACTAGGGATAGTTTAATTTTTTGGATAATTTTAAAATTAACAAAAAAAGTTAAATTAATGAATTTCTGTTCAAAACATCTCGGACATAAAATCATCTGTCTCTGCAAATTTATTAACCTTTATATGTATATCTACATAATTATTGTTTCATTTAGTTGAAGGTTAGAAAGAGACCAATTTACTGTATATGATATATACAGTAAATTGTTATGGTATTAGAACGGACGTTAATATTTTTTTCATAATTAAATTTGGTTGAAATATTTTTTGAATCAACTCAAGCATAATAAATTTGGTTATTAAAAACGACTTCTCAATAAGTTTCCATATATCCTTATTTACTAAAGATTCTTTACACCGGAAAAAATGAAACCTAAATTTACACGAATAATAGGTCGGCCATTGCAAAAGAATAACTTTTCTAACTTGTAATTCATCGATAATGTAATTTTTAATAGCTGTTTTCGATTTTTAAAGATGCTTTATCCATTCGGAGATAATGTTCGCGATAAACGCGGATACTACAGGGACAACTGTAGTACCTTTGAACTAACATAACTTTTTAGAATAATTTAAGTCCAGGCAACAAAATAAGATACCAGTACTTTAGGTACTTATTGTCATTGGAAATAACTATATATTATATTTATTTAGTCAAAAGTCAATATACATTTATTTATATAGGTAACACAATGTACACTTATGAACGTCAAAAAGGAAATATGTAACATTAAATGCTTCTAGTTTTACATTTACCGCCAGTTCTCAAATCAAGGGGGAAGAACGGAAGAGAAGAACTGGCAATAAACTCTCCGGCACTATTTTTAATCGCCAAGTTTTTTGTTCTACACAACGTTTGTAAGGAGCTGCAACCATTACATCATGTTCGACATGACATCTTAAGTAATTTAGCTATTGGTATTTACTTATGAGCTAGATTAAAATATAAATTTCTATGTAGATACCCCAAACGGAGGGACGGGCCGGCATGGCTGCCATTGCGGACCCTGAGCGGACATTGGATCTGAGCAAATTGGCTGCACATCTCGATCATTCTCTGCCATCTTTCGCACGGCCACTGTTCCTGCGCCTCACCAAGGACATTGAAATCACTAGTATGTGTATATCTTAATTACTCTTTATTAAGTAAATTCACTTTATAGTAGTACTTATGAGCATATTTATGTGTTATAACAAATTAATAAGGATGGAAAGTATTTTTTTACTAAAACTTTTACCGTTTCTCAAGGTTTCATTATGTATATTTTTATAACGTCGTGTACGATTCTTGATAGAAAAAAAGCTGGTATTTTTAATGAATGTATTACAGAAATGCCTATTAATTGATAAGGTTGGGTATTTTGTGGTACTCACGTCATATATCGATAGTAATTTGTATACGGAAATTGTTCACAAAATTGGAACTTAATCTAACTGTTAACTCTCGTATTTCATAAACGTATTGGATTTGATTTGATTTTATTTTTTTTTATTTCTACATTTTTGGTACAGAAACACAAAACAGATTGATTAAATACATACAGTTATTACACACTACACACTAAACAACATTTGTAAACCTGAAGTCCAATTAAATCTGTACACAGTATTTTAGTGGCATCTTCAGTGCTGGTTTATTAAATATTAACAATTACATACAGTATATATGTACATATATTAAATTTAATGACAAAAAACAACTTTGACTTACTGATAAATTATTGTATTAAATTATAGGCACTTTTGAGACCATATTTAAGTAATTATATTTATCAGTTGAGGTCACAGATTTGAAATTAATATTTGACACGTCTACCTGAAGCCAGATTCACCAACCCTACATTAAAGTTAGGCGGTTTTTGGCATTTCGTTAGAACAAGAAAGTAGTACGTTAATACATGTAGTTTTTCCATTTCAGGCACCTTTAAACTAAAGAAATTGCAGTATCAAAAGGAAGGTGTCGACCCGGACGTGATCAAAGATCCGCTGTACTTCCGCTCGGGCGCCGGCTTCGTGCCCATCAACACTCCGCTCTTCAATGACATTTCCAACGGAAAGGTCAAACTCTAGGCACCAATTGCATTTTCGCTCAGCCCCAAGGGACGACGATTAGATAATTTAGAAATTTGTTGTGATTTATTTCGCTCTTTTGTTAGACATTGTAAAATTTGTCTGTGATGTTTGAACGCGTTTTTAACGCGGGTTTAATGACATTGTCAATGTCTTGTGTCACTAAGTACATTGTCAATGTATGGTGTGTTTGAGGTGAATGTGGTGTTTTTGTCGCGAAAGTCGCATTTCTTACAGAAAATGTAAAAGTTTTTGCTGTATTATTTTATACATAATATTATGTAGTTATTAATTTTAGCGGGTTCGGTGACGTATGTTACGTTTTGATTTTGGACAATAAATCCTGAGAGCTTATGGGCATTAATGGTGGTAAATGAAAATAGATCTCGCATTGTAACAATTGTAGTTTTGATCAATAGCTATTTTAATATTGCTAGCACCATAGGGAACATTTGTAGGTAACATTCCGATTCTAGTCTATTAGTGTTCCTAACGATTCATTTCTTACAGATTTCATCTTAATAGTTTGGCACTATGCTAGTTTGAATTTTATTGAACAGACAATTGTGCCTTGCAACAAGGACCGCAATGTTATACAAACTGCTCTTTGAAATTGTCATGTAAAATTGTAAATAAAATCTTTAAAGTAAAATCGTGTTTTATTTCTCTACCTACCCTCAAGGTAAATCTAATACGTATATAGTAGAGTATGTGAAATACTTTGCGCTAAGTATCGTCTCTGAGGCTGATTTCCGAGAATGTTATCTGAACTGCAGCCAAGCCAAGTTTACATAATCATATTCAGAAATATTGTTCTTGTCACACTTCGCTTGTATTCTTCTTATGGCGCGTCTAAACGGGCCATGTTTTGCTGCAATTGATGGCTGCAACACTGTGGCCGGCAACATTGCAAACAATAGCAGCCACACTATGCAATATTGCAGTAATGTCCCGGCCATATAGCCAAACATGTTTTGTATAGCCACATATGGCCGATGTTGCCCCGATGGGTGGCCGGACGATCGCTAGGCTATCGAATTCAACTGCAATATTGCACAGCCAGTTCTCTTGTTGTTTCAGTCACTCTCTTTGTTATGGCATAGTGTATCCTTTTCTACGCGACATGACGTTTGCTTTGAGTGAAGTGTGCCTGTTGCTTTATTCTGTGTTTTGCGATCAGCTGTATTTGACGTTAGATTACTACGTAAAAATGACTACTTTTGACATTCTAGTTCTTGAATAATTTATTATCGAGACTTATTTCTAGACTCAAATTGTCTACAGTTTCACGCCTATTTAAGTTAGGTCGAATCCACAATCTCTTCTTTTTCTGTTTCTTTTTTAAAACAATATAAGCTGCTGCGACAAGTGTGATTTCGTCAGCCATTGTTGCCGGTTTGTGTAGCCCGTTTAGGAGTCAGCATCATGGGCCATACTATTGCAACACATTGCCCAGCCATAGATTGTTCGGCCATCAGCTGCATTAAAATATTTTTGGAATGGCCGGGCAATTAGTGGCCAACAGTGCAGCCATCAATTGCAGCAAAACATGGCCCGTTTAGACGCGCCATTATGAATACAGAAAATTTACTAAACCAGATACAATTTTTACAAATTATTAATTGGATAATAATCATCTATTTGAGTGTTTAGAGCTAAGATAAAAAAAAATTCAAGTTAAAAAGTAATTTTTTACGCCAATAAGAAGTGCGTTATTATTTTTAAACTTGTATCTGGCCATCAGCCCCAAGCCGAGCCTCGCTGCCGACTTAGGAGTTTAGCTTGCATACTTGACTTAGTTCTTGGGTAAACATTTTGCAGCCTAATTGAACGTTATGTAGAATTTTTTTTTAATATAAAAAGGCCGATTGTGAAACATTCGTCGTGAACGTATCATATTTGACTGGCCTATCCCGGCTTTGCGCGACTGGACATTTCAGGCTTAGAAAAGCTTGACTATTTAAGATAAACATTTCCATCATACATTACATATCCGTAACTCTAGCGGTTTTGGCAGCGCACGCCAGAATAGCTCGCAGATGGTAGATTTTTTCCTACTTACTTAATATTTAGACAATTCACATAATATCTTTATTAATTGTAGCCTATGTGTTATTCTGATGTATAAGCTATATTATTGTAAAGTTTCATTACAATCCATTCAGTAGTTTTTATGTGATAGATAACAAACATCCATACATACTTACAAACTGTCGCGTTTATAATTTTAGTAGGATATAGAAAGTGTAAATTGTTGCAACGTTTTATTGTATTTACGTAAAGTTAGCTCCGTTATCAGGAGGCTGAAACATTTTTTCAGGCCATATTTGAGGAAGGTTAGATGATGGAAGATTGTACTTTTCTAGGTGTGGGATATAGGCGGAATGATGCGTGAAAGATAGGGGAGATCAGACTCTTTTCGAACAGAACATTCTCAACATCTGAATTGTTGAATAAAGATAAAACACTACTGCCCAGAACGTTCTCGAACGAATCGTTTCAAGGGCGGACCAGAGCGCGACCAGTCAATTCAGTTTTTAATGCGATACCGATTAATTAGTTACAGAGTTTATTTTTTTCCGCTTTGTGTATTTGTAGTGCAATTAAATTGCCCATCAACTATTTTCAAATATACCCTTTGCAGTATACGACTTAGCTATCCAATGCTCGTATAATGCTGCCCATTTTGTATCCGCGATGAAAAGCCGTTACCGCGGTACTTCTAGTCGTATTGTACTCGTAGCTACCAACCCCTCAAATAGATATAATACCTGTGTTAAGTAAACTCGTCAAGAAATGAGTGCCATATTATAACTGAATAGTCATAAACTGAGACAACGCATTTCTGATCTACATGTTTTTGTAGACTACTTAAAATTATTTCGTTACTGAAGAGAACTGACGTTGAATTCAATTAACATATCTTTATTCACCTTGAAAGTCAAATTAACTTGGATGAATTGAATTCGATTAACAGCCTAGCATCTTAACTAAACAACGCGTTCCCAAAGCGGCCAGATATATTCAGCCATTTGATGAAACAGATAGGCAAATAACATGGATCGATGACGTTTCATTACTTGCATAACATGTTGACTGTTAATTTAAATTTAGTTCCACTTTCAAACTCAAAACGAAACTCTTCAAACTGTCAATATGGCGTCGGCAAACCACAACTTTGATGGTGTTTTCCAAAGTTTAATGAAAAACGACAAGTACAATGAAAGAGTGTAGTGACAATAAAAATGTGAAGTTACCTGTGACTGACTCAAGCAATTTAATTTTTAAAGAAATATTTTTATGTCATATGTTTCATCTTTTATTTCCGCCACGTGGTCACTAACGTACAAATGGCTTAAACATTATTAATTTATTAAATGTTGTTACAAATGCTACGGCTGAATATAATTAGTTGGCTGCGACATCCAAGTATTTAAAACCTTCTCCTTCAAAGTATTACTCTGTTCTGTAACCTCTGGGAATGTGATTGAATAGTTTTATTTCCATTGCGCACAAATTTTTTTTAATACAGCGTGGTGCTAGATGTTGGTCACAGCCTTGTTGGATATTTCAGTAGGTACAAGCAACTATCTTAAAATGTTTTGAATATATTTGGATACAAATTTGCAGTCATAACTGATTATACTATATAAATACTGTCTGTCGGTACTGTCAAAATACTGGGTCGAAAAAAAAATATCTTCAGCATACAAGGAGTTATCTTTTGATTAAAATAACTTTTACGCTACAATCGGTTCACGCTAAATAAAACACGTTCAAAGTGATATTCATTTATTGATATTGACTACGTAATAAATGTATATAAAATTAAAAACACCAAAACTTCCAAAAAAAACAATGAAATAAACGACTAGACATACTGAAAATTTCCAACAGATCTAAGCATTTCTTACAAATATTATAACAGTGATATTTCATTCACTTAAATCTAAGTCCGTTAAAGTTAAATCTCTTAACATGCCTCGGTTCTCCTAAGTTAACTTCGATGATTAGCCAAATACCAAAATTGCCGTTTTTAAGTTATTTATAGGCAAATAGGGAAACAGTCTTATATGCCTGACACATATCAAAAACAAACTGGATTGTGACACTATTGTTAAAGTTCGAGCCAAGTCTGGACTTTCCATTTCAATCATAATACCTAATTGTTAATTGCACATAGAAAGGAAAATGGCACAGCCGGGATTTGAACGCACGACCCTTAAGGTTTACCGAGAATTTAGCCTATGGGCAGTGTTAATAATTTCTATTTTATGTGTACTACATTGTGTTAATAATCTTATGTACATTTAATAATATTCACAAAATTATATTACGTTTTTTTTAATTTAAATCCAGGCAACCCAGGCTTTGTCCGTTGGACAGGACTTAAAAAGCTAAGATAAAATATAATTTCCGGAAATAAAGTTTTAAACCAGCCGCCATTTTCATAAATATAAATAATTAAAAATGTTGTAAATAAATGCCTTAAAAATAATCTTCAGTATAATTAACCTACAAAAATATCATTTACAAACTAATATTCGATCTAAACAATACTATCTGACTATCAAAAGATTTGGTTTAATTTAAAATATTTTTAGTAACCAATTTCTTTAAAAAAAATCGCCCTTTTCGTTCTAATACTAAAATGCTATTAAATGTTTTGCTTTATCACTCTTGCGTAATTGAAAAAAAAAGCGTGGCAAAACATTCCATAAATTTTTATCAACTTTTGAAAATGGAATTGGAATTCTTGTTCTTTTTTTAAATCAACAAATGCGACACCAGATCTAGGTTATGGCCTCATGTTATTGTTTTAAACTTTCAAAAATGGAATTTCAAATATTATTTTTTTTAATTTACATAATCCAAATGAGATCTGTTTCACATGTTTGTAATCTTTGTTCCTCCGAAAACTAATGTAAAACAATATAATATACGCTTAACAAAATCAGGTAATCTATAAACATAATATGAATCATTGACACGGCAATTAAAAATATACCATAAGTTACGGCACTAATTGTACTCTGAAATTGAAAAGCTGTCATAATTATAAGGATATTTTGCGTGTCAGTTCGCTTTCAGCAGTAGGCTCAGAAGAAAGTCTGAGGTGTGGTTGTCTATGAGTAATGTCTTTTTTTTTTAAAGCTATATCAATAATACCATGACACGTGTAATTTGTCAGTCAACACAAATGTGGACATAATGGAATGCCTAAAAATTATATAAAATCTCTACAATATACACGAGATAACGCCACATAGATAAAACCAAAATTCCAGTTTAATTATGGTTTCAAATGTTATCATTCTGGTTTGATTCTGTTAAAGAGAAAAATATCGCTTAAAAATTGTATAGTTTAGGTTTTGTCTGGAATTTCTATGTCTAAACAGCACTCCGTGGCCGTATTTGAAACTAATCGAAAGCACTCACTATTTAATAGAATTCGGTGCACGAAGTTTACAATAACTACATTAAAACATTGACCATTGTACTAAAACCAATTTATCAGTTTCCGAATATAAATAAAATTAAAAAAAAAATACCTGTCGATCACAATTCCTACATAACAGAAACTATACAATTCACGCGTTAAGGGCAGGAAACCAGGTGGAAATACCAGATCGGGCGGGTAAGGCCGCCCTCAACAGAGCCTCTTCGTGTGCAGATAATCGTAACAGCACTGAAAGAGCACGCGTCAGCTGTCGCGCTTCTAACTCACGCGCAGTTAAAAATCGTAGCACTACGTGTTTTAAATACCTGTAAAAGATAAAAACAGATAAATTGTACTTTAAAAATATTTTAGAATCCCCTATCTCATGTTATCATAGCGTAAACCAAATTTGACAGATAGAGACGAAAAACACAAATTACACTTACAAAATTTAATTTTTAAAATACTTCTGTCTCACAGCGTAAACAAAATTTGACAGAAAGAACTTTGGTTAATATTATTTGAGTTTTTTAATATAGTGTCCATTCTTATTTTACGGCCTGATAAATAATCCAATTGCCCGGGTCGTTGGTCTATGTTGCATTTTTCTTTGAACTTTTTATATTTTTAGGTTCTTCTGCCGGTTATGCCCGACTCGGCTTCTATTTGGTTGGTTTGGTGAAAAAATCAAGGGTTTAAACTACAAACGCACAAAATGAATCGTACGCTCGCAACTGATTTCAAATTAAAACTAAAGAAATTCATGTGAGACAACGTACCTTCAAAGTTGTAATATTAAAACTTTCTAAGGACAATCTGGGTTCAAAAAACAGTATGCTGAAGAGGCGAGCACCATATAATAATAATGTTATTTACATTTTAATCAGCAGGTAAGCAAGGAAACATTCATCACCAAAAACAACAACAAATACTGTTACAAAACCAAAGATTAAAAATGAAGAGATAAATACAAAAAAGAAATAATTTAGCTAAAGGTCGAAGGTCATTCAGACAGGTCCTTTGCACCAGTTTCACATTTAATACGTTGGCGTGAACTGTATGCTCGCGCTGAGACTCCAAGCTCCGCCCACTGGGCCTGTTCGTATACGTAATGGTTACACCAGACACAAAGATTGTTTTTTTTTAATGCCGTCTTTTGCGGACTTGGTAGGCTCTTTTCTTGACCCTAAATCGAATTGGTTAATACTTAAGGGGCAACTGTTTTTTGTACTCACCGTCTACTTATATCCTGTTCTTCGGCCGTGGTTAGATCCGACTTGCTGCTTTGCAATTCACGCTGAAGGGTTTTCTTCATATCCGATATTCTATTATCTAAGGTTTTTATTTTCTGAAAAAACACATACAATGTTCTTTTATTTTGGTATTAAAAAACACTAATCACTGATCAATAAATTTTACGATTGAGTAGAATTTAAATATTTACAGTTTCATAGCAAGAACGGGTTGATGTGTAAGAAAAAAGTCTAGACACAGCAGCCAAGATTATTAGCAATACTATTTCATTATTACTATTCTCGTGACTGGTAATGGCGTTAATGAACTTAGATATGCGTAATTAAAAATGCACAAAAATTTAATGATAATATATACAATAACTATAAATATACCTTGATACGTAAATAATTTATCGTCGTAAAAACAATATAATATATGTAAGTTAGACAACACTGATAACGTAAAAATATACATTTCCCATATATAAAAATGTTTCGTAATCTGTGACTTGGTTGTGTCTCTTCCTTCACCGTATAATTTTAAATGTGCACATATAAAGGGTTTCGAACCTACGACCTCAGGAATGATCCATTAGACAGTGCTATGCTTATACAAAACAATTACTATATAAATAATAATAAAAAAAATCAGTGGCGCTACAACTTTTACGCATAGGCCTCAGATTTCTGTATCTGTTTCATGATGATTTGTCAATATAATGGGCAAGAAGGTGATCACTGATCAGCCACACTACACACGCCGTCGACTATTTGGGTCTAAGGCAAGCCGGTTTCCTCACGATGTTTTCCTTCACTGTTATTAATATGATAATGCAAAACGTATTATTTAATTCCATATTTTATATTATTCAGTACCTTATTTCTATCACAGATTTCAGCCTCTAAGTCTTGAATTGTTTTCTTAAACGTGACCTCAGTTTCAGTGAATATTTTTATTCGCTGTCTGAGTTCCTCATTTTCCTTATTTCTCGCCTCTTCATTTTCCTTTATTAGCATACACGACGCTTGATTCTGAAAACAGTATTATTTAATATCATTTAAATCAGAATTTTAACTTAAAGCGTTTGAACGGACACAAAAATTTCGTTCTTTGTGCCAAAGTTTGCTTTTGTGATAGTAATAATACTATTTTTTATATTTATTCAATACTTTTTAATACATTCAAAAATAACGCGCGATCAGAGTTGGGATTTTACGTTTAACCGTTAGATAGAACTTGAGTGATAAACAACGATCAGGTGATAAATATTAATTTGAATGGTTTCATCTTAAAAATTAAAACCACAGATTTTAAAAATTACCATGCAAGCGATCTCCTAAAAACAAAAGCAAACTTTTTCATGTCGAGTCTTTTTTTTAAAATTCGAACTTTATGTATTTAAGTGAAAGTCAAATTTTGTGTTGACCCGTATTATTAATATCAGTAACTATATTTAATGATAATATTTCTGAAAGTAACATAACGATACTAACGATTTATTTATTACCTTGCTATTTTTTACCTTGTTAATTTGTTAATTACTACAATTAATAAAAAAATTCAATTTGTATTTTTTTTTATTAAAAAAAAATTAAAATGTGCATTGTAGACGAAAAACAAAGTGACGTCTTTGAATTTTCATTACTTTCTAATCACAGAAAACACATTTTAAGTAGTTTTTTTCAATCTTTTGAGTATTAATAGAAATTGAAGTGAGCCTTTTGAGTATTGTTATTCATTGAAGCGAGTGAGTTTAGGTCATAATGCCAGATCTGACTGAATTGCATGTCTCCCGAGCTATCGCTTTGCTTGAAGAGGGTCGAACTATGCGTTATGTAGGAAATGATCTAGGAGTAGCCCCTTCTGTTATCTACAGACTTTGGAAGCGATACCGTGAGACGGGAGAATACTCACGAAGGCGTGGTCAAGGTCGAAAGAGAAAAACTACACGTTTGCAAGATCGCTACATCGTCAACTGTGCTATACGTAACCGCACCACAACCGCAAGAGATCTACAAAATACACTAAGGACGGCTACTGGTGTAGAAATTTCCGACCAGACGGTAAGAAATAGGTTGTTGGAAGCCAATTTGAGATCACGCCGACCAGTTCGGGCTGTGCGTCTAACAATTCAACATAGACAAGCTCGCCGACAGTTCGCGCAAAATCACGCTAATTGGCAACTTCGACATTGGAGGCCAGTGCTTTTTACTGACGAATCACGATTCCGTCTAACACGTTGCGATGGTCGTCTCCGTGTTTACAGACGCCCAGGCGAGCGATAAAGTGCAGCAGCAGTCCAGGAATATGACAAATTTGGATGTGGCTCTGTGATGGTTTGGGGCGGAGTTAGTTTGGACGAGCGCACAGATCTCGTCGTTGTTCCCGGGCGCTTGTGTGCTCAAACTTACATTGAAAATGTGCTCGAAGGACGAAGATCATGTTTGGCCCGCAGCATATGGTATGGGCCCAGATTTTCTTTTAATGCAAGATAATGCCAGGCCGCATACTGCAGCCATCACGTCAGATTACTTACGACAGCAGGAAATCCGTGTAATGGAGTGGCCTTCCATGAGCCCTGACCTAAATCCAATTGAACACATTTGGGACTTGCTTGACAGGCGCATCCGGAAGCGTCCGATTGCACCTCAAACACTGCAGCAGCTCACTGAAGCGTTGATTGAAGAATGGGAGCGAATTCCACAAGAAGATATTCGGAGGATCATACGAAGCATGCCGCGTCGTTGTCAAGCCGTGATTAGGGCTCATGGAGGCCACACACGTTACTGAAAGTCACTAAAGACGAATATTCAAACGATATAAGAATATTTCTTTGATGGACCTTTTTTATCACCAATTAGTTTTTCGTCTACAATGCACATTTTAATTTTTTTTTTAATAAAAAAAAATACAAATTGAATTTTTTTATTAATTGTAGTAATTAACAAATTAACAAGGTAAAAAATAGCGTACAAGTTAATTTAAATCTAATTTTAGTTTAAGCAACAGAAAGGAGAAAAATCTTGTTCCGCTAATTGTTTTGAGCAGTATATATGTAATGCGTGGGCCCCACGTTAGAAAACACTGCTCTATTGTCAATAGTTTCCCCAGCGTACGAGATTTATGTATTTTGTTTGTATTTCTTACATTTACATTATCGCAATTTTTATGCAGATCTTTATTTTTAATTAAATAATCTATAAGCGATTATGTAGGATTCTAATGGGGAAAGAATTTTTCCAATAGTTCCAGTTTTAGACACACAACAAACATCTTAACTCTCTATAAAATCAGTATAGATGTAGACTACGGATTCCAAAACAAAAACAAACCTCTTTATGTTGCGATATAATTCCCTCCAGCTCTGTAATTTTTGATTTCAACTCTGTTGTCTCTGACTCCAGAAATCGGACATTGCACAGGCTCTTCTCAACGTTTTGCGAAATATGAGCATTTCGCAATAGTGCTTCATCTTTCTCTCGCCTTTCCCTTAAAACGTTTAAACATACGTTAGATGGGTTTTTATACCTTTGTTAGTGATTTGTTATTTTATGGTGTATTAAGAGCTTTATAGAGAGTCTTCTATTTCACTTTGCAAATAAATTATATTTACTTAATTTTTCTTTCATAAAAATCTTTAATAATAGTCTAATCTAATATATAAAATTCTCGTGTCGCGGTGTTTGTAGTTAAACTCCTCCGAAACGGTTTGACCGATTCTCATGAAATTTTGTGTGCATATTGGGTATGTCTGAGAATCGGACAACATCTATTTTTCATCCCCCTAAATGTTAAGGGTAGTCCACCCCTAAATTATAATTTTTTTAATTATTAGATAAATTTTTATGATTTTTTATGATACAGTATTAAAAAATACATACAACCCTTAATTTTCACTCCTCTACGATCATCCCCAATTTTTTTATTATAAATGATATACGTGGCAAAACGACGTTTGCTAGGTCAGCTAGTAATATATAATAATAATCTTTCTTAAAAAACATATAAAAACTATAAATCGATTAAACGTCTTTGAATTTTAATCGAATGAATTCCATGTTGACATTACAACTTTACACAGCTTCAAATACACTAAAAACAACCTTTAGTCTCAGATCTGTATTTTCTCATATTTTTTTCTAAAAGGCAAGTACGTGATCGGCCTTATCAGTCTAAGGCGAGCCGGTTTCCTCACGATGTTTTCCTTCACTGTACGAGCTAGTCAGAGAAAAAGTTTAAGGCCCATATTCCATATTTACGTTTGAGTGACGTTCTAGAATAAGGGCCTAAGCGCACAAGCACAATACCTATCTTAAATTTCTAAGTTAGGAACCAGATGATCCATACTCACTTATCAAACTTTCGTTGTATATCAATATAGTCATGTTGCATATCTGTCATCACCGAATTAAGGTGATTCACCTCTTCTTTATGCTCATCACAAATTTTACGTGACTCCTCAAGTTCTTCTCTCAACATCGTGACCATCTCTCTACTGTCTTCCAACATTTCAGACAATTCTTTGTTTTCAGCTGTTAACTCTTGTATTTGAGCCTCTAATTCCATTGTTTTATCCTAAAATACGTCACAATTTATATAACCTATTATTTAAAAAAAAAACAGTCGAATGTAGGGTGTTCGGAAACGGCTTAGTTTAGCTATAACAATATTTTAGACAAAACAAATTCTAGTTCCAATTTTGAAATTTAAATTATTTGTATCCTGTGTATTATTTTGTTTTGTATTACTCACGTAAATAACATTTATATTATCCGATTAACTAACTGGCATTATACATAAATAATTTAATAAACCGTCTCTGAACAAAGGACAAATAAAAAAACATCTACAAACCAAAATTTATTAACTATAAGCACAAACTCACAAAAAATAGTTCTGTTCACAATAATAAGTGTTTTCACGTGATGCATGTGTACTTTAAATTATCTCTGAAGCTATCTGATAACCATTAAATTATCTTCATCCATTAAGCGTGCTACCGTATGTCAACTAGACATTTGTTTAAATAAAAGTTAAGGCCATAACAGTGAATATATTAGTTATATATACAAGCTATAAGGCAGGCTATCTTAGATTTCTATATATTTAGGCAATGGGCTATTTGACAAATAAAAGATAAGAAAACTGTTATTGTCAACTGTTTGTCGTCTGTATGTCGTTATTTAAATAATAATTCATTTTTAAAATATCCATGAGTAAAAATATTGATACGTCAGTCACGTGACACAGAACGGTCACAGATTAGTCGAATCGACGATGACGTAGCACTGTAAACAATGTCTTGTTCTGAAACTGATCGGAATATGAATTTAGGAATGACAATTAACACTTTGACATTTTAAAAGAGTACCGAGAGTTTTTTACGCCGGTTTTTTCTCTCGGCCTACACCCTCTGTCTTCTTTGCCGATGAGTGGGGATGCCTACAAATTCAAATTTAATGACGTGGAATAAGTGATACATGTATCTTATGTTCCATAATAAACATATTTTATTTTGAAAACCTTGAAGTTTACATGTTTATTGTCATGGTACGTCAGTGACTGGTGTGACGCCCACTTGCCTGCGTTTTGGCGGGTTCTTAAAATTATGAATGTTTAATTTGTATTTTTGAATCTAATACTCAACAGGATTAAAAACGATTGCATGGGTTTAGTCACTCATGAATAATCTAAAATGGTTTAATATGTCAAATAGCCCATTGTGTACGCAATTGAAGACATTAACAATTGTATGTCAAATGTTAATTCGTAGTATAGGCGCTAAAATTGAATGACCTTAAGGCAAGAGTAAATACAGTGCCATCAGTGCCCTGGTGCAATGCTACAATTTAAATAATAATACAAAATCATAGGAGTACAAAATACAAACTATTGCACATAAGTACCAAATAAAATCGATAATACACTCGTGGTAGATATTCAACGTCATAAAATTCATAATCATAAAATATATTTACATACTTGGTGCCCAATTGAAGATCCTTTCCATTTAACATATTAAACAAATATTAAAATCATAATTGTTAACTGGTTTTTAGGTTTTCCTAATACTTTAAGGAATTTAAAAAAAACGAATGTGTCCAGGCGTCTTCGAGTATTGCACTTAGTAGTTTTACGATTCACTTATATTTATATAAGAAAATATTTAAGAAAGAAATGGAAGGCATGGAAAAATCTCTATGAGGTCTCTTCTTTATGATTTTTGTTGTTGTAATTTCTTTTTATACATCTTTAAATTACACAACAGGTAAACTTTATTATTAGGTAGGCAACGGGCGGATTAATCCCTAACAAGCTAATAAGGGCCAAGTGCAAGTTTATAACTAAATTAACAAAAAATAAATCTAAGCTAATATGTATTAAGATTAACACAATTAATAAAAATACTATTTAAATATTTTAAAGAACTTAAATGGGTCAGATAAATAGTACCACGAGTGGCAGTACTCGAGACTAGATAAACTACAATAATAATAATGATAAAATTTAATAAATATATAACAGTAAACAATAAAAAAATATAAACATTGTATAAAAAAAGGTTTTACTAAAATATGATTGGAACGTATACGTGATATCGTATTATGGTACGACTAATACGATTAATTAAGTACGACTAATAAATTAATAATATGTCATCTATATTGAAATCAGGTGCTAATTCTGATGTAAAGGAACGTTTACCAATGAATAATAATTTATATTCAAGTTCATATTCTCTTAGAACTTCGACTACATAAGGAAAATAATTTTTATGTGATATATATATTGATAGTATAGTATAAGCATGGTTTATAAAATGGCCACTTAAATTAGCTAACGCGTTAACACAAAAAGAAACGAAAATTCTAATGTAACATTAATCTAGTATTGTAAAGGAAATAAAATATTTTGATGTTTAACGTCTGTCAGCTGTCATCACAAAAAAATATTTTATCAACCCCATATCTTTTACCTATATAGCCGAACCTTGAATAAAATATCGTTCAACGTTACAAGTAAAAATTGTATGATTAAGTTTTTACATAACACATATCCATTTTTTTTGACGTTCATAAGTGTACATTGTGTTACCTATATAAATAAATGATTTTGACTTTTGAATCATCGCTTCTAAAATACAAGAACCGTCAAAAATGTATAAAAACATATTTAATGTAATAGATCTAATAAAGCACGTATTTTATGGATAAAACCAATTTAAATCCATCAGAATTAGCACTTCTTTTACACTATACGATCATCGTATAGGTCGTACGACGTTAAATGCTGTAGAGGCTTTGACTCACGGTAGCCCCGCTTGCTGCATTGCGCAGTGTCTTCACTTCCATGGCCAATGAATGCACCTCGCCGTTCAAACGCACCACCTGATTACGCCAAGATAGGTCTAGCGGAGTTATTTCAGGGATCGTGTAATAACTTTATATGTATTTCGTGAAAATATGCATATATTTGCGGCCTACATTAATTTACACAGAACATTTAAGGAATATAAGATACAAAAATGTGTAGGAAACACAATTTTTGTACACAAAGTCACTATTTTGTGTTTTTGTATTTTTAACCTCAATTTGCGCATTAAATATGAAATTTTCATTTATGCACTCTTTATGTGTAAAATTCTTGGAGAGTCTTTGAATTTGTTTTGTATCTGTTATTTCATTAAAGCGTTCGTAATTAATTTGTTCAAGTAACTTTTCCTGATTTATAACGCTCGTTAATCACAGAATTATACGCAAATAATCGTACGATGTAAAGCATTTAGTTTGACTGACAAAAAGTGTCAATGTATATTGACTATTGGCAAAGGTCAAATTAGAAATTAACGACCTTGATATACGAAACAGTTTAGATTAAAGTTGCTAATTTTAATGGACAAAAATTTATTCACGCATGCAATTAAGCCTGTTTTAGTAAATTATAATAAACTAGAAGCTTCACTGAGTACAAACTGAGTGCACACATTAAAATATAAATGCATTAACGATTTTCAAGTATTGATCTTTCAATTTTGAATTATAAACTGATTTGATTCTATAATATATAAAAAAATAATGATATTTACATTTTGAGTTCCTAAACACATTAACTGGCAATTAACGCACTAAAACTTGACTTTTGTTTACAAGTATGTTACGTCATGGAATTTTTAATTAAAAATTACTTGAAGTTGTTTAAAATCTTGACAAATCTGTCATTCTACTTGATAATTTACTTAATGTAAGATATTTAATACAGTAAATACAAAAGCTTACCTTAGCTTCACTATTGGCCAAGTTCTGTCTTGCTTTTTCAAGCTCAGCGGATAATTCTAGAAGATTTTCCTGAATATCTCTTTTCTCGTTCTCTACTCTTCTTCTTTCTACACCTTCTTCTCCCGCTTGGCGAGACAGACGCGCCACCTAAACATATAATGCATAAAATTAACTCAAGTCATGTGTGTTCCATAACATAAGGGTGAACATTTTAATTAAGTCTACTGTAATTATTGTTTTACCGAAAATCAAACCACGACATATATTATACATAGTGTATAACCAACAAGTCACACAAGTTAAGTATGTATTTTAGCAAAATAATAGCGTCTATAGAAAACAATACAATGTAGGAAAATATTTCTTAAAATAAGTATGGGTTTTCAATATTTCCAATTAAATCCACAATTTTGAAAATTTCTTCGTGGTATGCACCAAGTTTAATTATTTCAATTTATTGTACCTGAGTCTCAAGCGAAGCAATCTGTGCACTCCAAGAGGTTTTAACATCAGCAAGGACCATTTTGGCTTCCTGCAGCTGACGGGTTAAGACCGCCTTCTCACGACACAAACGGTCATAGTCACCACAACCCGTTAATTGCATTTCTTTATCTGTTCAATGAAAGGTCACAATAACACAATCAGACATTTGGTCAAATTTTAGTACTATAGTCTGATTTTTCATTCCGTAAAATTGTAACATTTCATAAGTGTTGCTACTAACAAAGTTCTTTACCGAAAAAGGGACAAATTCGACCCATTTGAGGACAAAAACAACAAAATGCTACGTATTTTTTTATGTTTTACCTACAAAAAGAAAAATCTAAATATTTACTTACTCAAGTGATCTAATACAAAAATAACAAATATTTCAATATCACGAACAATATATCGAATTAACTTTAATTACTTTATTTTATTCTAAAGCTGGCATCACTGCCTACCATTCCAGGTTAAGTAAACCTTTAAAAAAAATGTAAATTATCACTCGCCGTTAAACCACTTTTATGTGGAGCACCGCGCTTAATTAAACAATACATTCACTAACAAATAAAATATATGTATAGACTTCGATATTCCGACTCGTATTGAAATTGAAAAATGTGCCCGGCCAAAAAGGTTTGCAATCCCTGACATGTCAAAATATGATAGCTGTCAAAATTCTACGGAATTAAAAATCAGAGTATAGAACAATTACTGTTTGGAATTTACTATTTTAATCCTTTAAAGGGGCACGATGCAGCCAAATTTCTTCACCTAATTAATTGTTTTTTTTTGAATCGAATAATTATTACCATCATCATGAACATGGTGTTCGGGATGCGTTGTGGGTAAGGCGGCTCTCAAGACTTGTAATTCATCAGCGAGGTCTCTCGTTCGGGCGTCTGCAGCGCCCAAAGCCGCTGTGAGTTCTGCGCGTTCACGTGTCCAAGCTCGCCGAGATTCCTCTAACTCTTCCTATCAAATATTTCAAATCGAAAACTATATTTATAAAAAATATACCCAATATATAGTAATAGGTACCTAACGTCATATCATTAGCACAAAATATTGATGTAATTACTGAGTAATTTAATTAAACAATAATGACACAGTTTTATTTATATTATTTCAAGGAACAATATAACTTATAATTTCTAGTTGTGCTGCTTTCAATGTAAAGAACAAGAGTTAGATTAAAACATTAAATTTTTTGCATCTAACAAGTGATAAGGATGTCAAATATTCTATTTAGAGCTAAGAGGATGTTAATGACGAGCACTGGACTGTCAATATAAAAGTTAGTCAACATTCACATTAAAAAAAAATTGCAACTACATACTTAATATAATTTATATTTGTTAGTTACTTATCCAAAGATCCCTAATAAATTGCTTTATCAATGTTAAAAACCAAATGTATTTAACTAAAGTCTGATACACAGATTTTTTTGAAACCACACTACTCGCTGTATGTACACATATGATTAAATAAGGTTTGAACAAATATAGAGTAGCAATTATCTTACATTAAGTGTATCAAGGCGATCCTGTGCATTTTCTGCAGCTGCTAATCTTGCTTTAAGGTCATTAAGATGTCTCTGCGATTGGTCTCTTTCAAGCATAGCCTTAGCTGCCTCTGCCTGTGCTGTACGAGCCACCGTTTGAGCTGCCGATGCTTCTTCACCTAAATAAATATTCTATTATTTATTGAGACAAGTATGAATAAAACTTTAGTTTTGCTACAATCTAAGCTCTATATGGTTCTTGACATAACAATGGATCTGTCTCTCTGATTTTTTATATATCTGTATAGACAAGTAGGTGATCAAACTTCTGTGCATGATAATATTTTTTATTTTTATGATTTAGGTTGATAATCACTAAAACATTTAACGTTCATACCTTGTACTGATGCAAGAGACAGTTTCAATTCCTCAATTTTTTGCTCCCAGAAAAGATCCCTATCTCTTAATTTCTCTTCAAGTTGTGTGGTATACTGCTGATGAAGAGCTACTTGGTCTACTTGACCTCCAGTTCTGTCATTTAGGTATGTTTGTAGTTGAGGTGATATTGACTGTAACAACATAGTTGATATCATATACAATATAATTTCTACTACAGTAAAAAAATGTTATAGTAGAAAACTGGCTTCAGCCTTCTTTTATTATTTATTTTTAGAGATCCTTACTTACATCTGATGTTGTATCACCTTGTCCACCAGAACTTGAAGGGCTTGTTGTGGACTGCAATTTGAGAATATACAGTTATAATAAGATCTCTCTGGCCTTTACAAAACTTTCTACAACTACATTAATAACATACCGAATCATCACGTAATGACAATCTTCCCAAGAAAGCTCCACTTCTCCAACTACTAGTCAACTTGCTAATGTCACTTCCAGTCTCTTCTTTAATTTTGCTTTTTAGACTTGCAAACATTATGATAATTTATTTCTGCAAAATATAGCCTAGAAAGAAAACAATCAGATATAGACACCTATAATAATACTACAATGATTTATATTGAAAACTTACATACTTACACTAAAATAAATAATTATATCTTGATAAAAAACATTTCGTTTACAATATTTAACAAAATTTAAGTTTGGGTAACTTCGTTATACTAATTAGTAATTAATACAGCGTAGGTCTAATTCGTATTTGCACATAAACACGAAACTTTAGCGAAAATTTATGAATTAATAATAGAATATCGCAAAAATCTATTATTTTCTAAGAAATAATATAGATAGAAACAGAAGATTGCAGATTGAAATTGTTTTCTGCTTTTTGACATTCGTCTGACACTGGTAAGTCTAAATCAAATGTCAAACTCCCATGTCAAATTCACTTATTGATATTACAATCCGATCTTTTTGATGATCGATCATCGAATCGTGTGCATACGATACAATCTAGTCGATTTTCAGATCATATCAAAATATAATTTATTAATGTAATTTATTGTAAAATTACGAACGTCAGCAAAAAAATTACGAAGTGACTATTAATACGGATATCCCATGAGTGTCGGTCTGAAACAAAAGATTATCAGCTGTATTCAACCAGTATAAAATACACTCGCGAGCAAGCAAATCGACTCAAGCGTTATATCTGCATTCAAACATTGTTTTAAGTGAAAGTATACAACATTTTAATAAAAATAATATGTCATTTGAAAGCTTAAAACTTCAGCTTTTATGTGATGACATCATTATTAATATCCATCTATACATTTTTTTATTATTGATGTCTGAACTTAAATGGGGGAAAAATGTGATTTTGGGTAAAGGAGTTGTATTCAGAATTGACACAAATAAAACATGTTTTTTTTTCTTAAGAAGTATAAAACTTATTGGTTTAGTATTTCGTATTGTCTTCCTAGCCCTAATTACAGACTGTATTCGGTTCTTCATCGACCTTATTAAATTTTTGACGGTTTCTTGAGGAATACTTTCCCATTCCTCTAACAAAGCTGCCTTCAATTATTCAAGGCTCGAAGGGGCTGGATTCCTTGCTCGTACCCTTCGTTTGAGCTCATCCCATACACGCACGATGGGATTTATGTCTGGACTAAGCGCAGGCCAGTCCATTGTGCGCAAATCGACTTCTCGAAGAAACTGCTGAGCAAGCCGCGCTGTGTGGCATCGAGCATTGTCGTGCATAAGGATGAAGTCTTCGCCAATAAATCCTGCGTAGGGCACAACATGTTCCAGGAGAATATTTGTAATGTACCCATCAGCTGTCAGTCCTGCTCCTCGGCCTCCTCCAGGCATGAAAACGAGCTAGGTTGTACCCTCCAACGAGATACCCGCCCACATCATGCAAGAACCGCCGCCATAGGCAACGGTTTCTGCGAAACAGCCTTGGGAAAATCGCTCTCCCGGACGCATGTAGACCCAGCCTCTCTTGTCACTGCCATGCCGACACATTCTACACTTGTCAGTCAACAGGACGACCGCCATTGCCCAATGCTCCAGTTAAGATGCTCTCGAGCAAACTGTAGCCGAGCTTTCCGGTGGCCTGCAGTCAAGTTGGGGCCCGTTGCAGGCCTTTTTGGAGTCAGGTTGGCTTCCATCAGACGTCTTCTTACTGTCCACTCGCTGACAGCTATTCCTCGAACACGTCTCAGCTCGCCCTGCACGTCGACACCCGTAAGGTGCTGATTTCGCAGGGAGGTTGAAACAATGAAACGGTCGTCTCATTCAGAAGTACAACCGTGGCGACTGGTTGTTGGTCTCCGAGTGAATGTTTCAGTCTCTTGATATTGTCTGTATACTCGGGATACAGCAGACTGACTCAAGTAAAGCTGGGTAGTGACTACTCGCTGACTGAGTCCTTGTTCCAATAAGGCAACAACTTGAGCGGCTTCTTGAGGTGTGGTATCCATGGTTTCTTAAAAACAATGAATGCAGGTTGCTGAGATATGTATCGGTCAACTGTTTATAAGCGACTGATAAGGGTGGAAAGGTAACGGGGGTTTTTATAGGGGTAGAGGGTAGCGCAACTGGCTGGTAGCGTAGTGAGTAATTTGTCCCATACGCCCTAATTGCGCAAATTAACATTTTGGTACTTCTTTTATTTAATGATGTTGATATTTTTTTTAAAGCTTAGGTTTCAAGCTTTCAAATGACATATATTTAAATGTTGTATACTTTTATTTAGAACCATGTTTGAATCTAGAGGTAGCGCTTGAGTCGATTTAGTTGCTCGCGAGTGTACATTAGAGATTTTACTGTTTACATGCTCAACAATACCATTTCGCGAATCTTTTATATCAGAAATTGTAGGTCATTTATATAGAAGAGAAATAAAGGTGGTACATCCATAGTAACAGACAATCCATCAGAAGTAGTTTGTCTTTTGAATTCTACCTCACAGGGGCATGTGATCAATTATCAAATTACTTTACGACAGGTGTGGCCTACCATCAAAGAGAATTTGTATGATAATAGCGTTAGCTCGCGCTTTGTCACGTAATCGTGAAAAAAGATTTTGTCTCCAAGGTATGATTTCATTATGCCTAGCGTAAAACCAATATTGACATATATTACATGTATCAATTCTGAAATATAAGGTAAGGTGATACATTCAAGTATAAAGTCTAGAAAGGAATATCATTTTTAGAAATAAAATGCGTTTTGGATTGTGTCGTTACGATTAACATAATTAGATCGAGTTTAAATTAATTGATTACGGATAGGCGTTTTTTTTTATCCGCAATGAATTCAGACTTCAATATAACCGTTTACGTTTAAAGTGCTTAATCTGTGGCTTTATATTCAAAAAATGCGTTCCACCGACCACCATTGTTGATTGTACACCATAACAAGTCTTGAAAATTGTGTTCAAAACTTTTAACTGAACTGAAAACTTTCAATTTCAATTATTAAATTACACTAATGTATAATTTTTAAACACCATTTTTCAAGATTACTTTTAAAGAAAGACTTATAAAGCTTTTTACGAATTCTCCGTTTTAACATTTCAATTTTATTGAATGAGGCAGTGATCGATTTTTGTAACTTATAAAGAAACATTCCAAACAACTAAAAATGAGTTCACAGTTCTTGTTTTATTTATTTATTATTGGAACAATTAAGTCAGGTAATTTTCTTCAAGTTGTAAAGTGGATTGAGTTTGAAAATATTAAAATCGCTGCAATTTATGTTAGATAGGCGCGGTTTTATTGATTAATTTTCATAATGTTAATTGTGTATCAAATCACTAGTCTGGTGCCCAACTTCGGTTGTGCCAGAATGCCCCAACCTCCATTCATAACTTCGAACTTTAACCAACAAATATGATTGACGTCAGTAATTATTGTCTTATTTATTTCTAGTTATTTCGATAAACTGCTACCAATGTTCTGGAACAGATTCAGATAATCCATTTGAATGTAATGAATATTTAGACTCTGAAACAGGACTAGAACCAACAGATTGCTCATTAATCCACGATGCTCAGTACTGTATCAAACATATAGGCAGATTTGAAGGTACAACCATATCTTGAGGATATGGTGTACTAACCAAACTAACAACTATTAACTTGCTTACTTAGTTAATTACTAATTATTAACACCAATTAACAGGAAAAGCAATAGAATGTTACCAATGTAACTCAACATCAGATATGGAATGTGGTGATGGTCTTATGAACTTGGATGGAGGCATTTTAAAAGCCATATCATGTGAACAGGTGTACAATGCTCAGTATTGCATCAAAGAAATAGGTTCAAACTAACAATTTTTTAAAATATATTGAATGCACCGTTTTACTTTGCACATTGAGCTTTGTACCACAGGTAAGAAGGTTTAAAGAGGGTTTGAAGATTCACTGTCACACATAATTCTAAACTAAGCTAAATCTTTTGCATGAATTTATAGGTTGAACTCTACACTTAAGAATACAGTATATCTCTTCCTACCCTAGAGACACACAATGTAACAGCTTTCTCTGCTTTGAAGCATGGAATTGCATACCTGTCAATTAGTGTTCCATTACCAGCATGTAGTTGTTGTTTATTTATTATCTATTTTATCAGATAATAAAGAAACAATACCCAAATATATGTTTTTTTTTAATTATTTGTATGTTGTTAAAATTACAATTCAATTTCAGGTGGTATTGGGACAAAAAGATATTGTTCATCTTTGGATTTAGGTAATCAGTGTAAATACGTACAGCAGCCCGGGGATAAGCTTGAGTACAGAACTTGCATCCACACTTGTACTACCGATGGATGTAATTCTACCGTTAGTTTGAAAATGTCAGCTATAATATTAGGCATAGCTTTACTTTTATTTAAAATTATTTCTTAAGTTTTATCAGGTTATAACTACATATTTTTTTACTGATTAAGTACTAAATCAGCAATTTATGTATAATACAGTTACCTGATACTGTTTAAAACATGTTTTCTATATACTTTTGTTATTGTGAATAGCTTAATTATATTTTTTAAAGAATTGAGAGCAATAACTAGTATTCCGTCCATTTATAATATTTTTGCCAAACCAATATTTAAATGTCTTTTTTATTCTCATCATGACATTGTGATTTGTGTTACTCTTTTTACAAGTAAACTTCAAAACATAATCTGTATTTTTTTTTACTTTCTGTATAGAAATTGAGATGTTCCAGAGGAAAAATAAGTATATAAATAAGTGTAATAAATAAGTAATAAGGTGAGTCAAGCACAATTGCTTCAGATTTCATATTTTGCAGATAAAGCTGCTTGTACACGCAATAAGCATTAATAAAAATAAATAAAATTGGGAAATTATTTTAATGATAATATACACAAATGACAACATACTTGAAATGAAACAAAACTGTATATTTGAATATTTATTGAAAATTTGTGCTACACAAGCATGATATAAAAATACAATAAATATTAACATTGACTTAGCGAAACTAAACTATCTCAGCTAATATGCTATTAATACTTTCAAATGTTACTTAATACATAAATCGTTATGGAATGTAGAATATGAATCATGATTTTTTAAAATTCTAACATCAATGTTACATATAAGACATAGGTAAATTTTATGGCTATGAAGAAAATGTTTTAAGTACCTGTATAATCCATAACTGCCGTTTTTTGTTCTGGTCATAACCTAAAGATCCGACCCACTGTAAAACTCAATTATCAAATTTATTTAGCGAAAACGCGGAATCCTCAGTAAGTATGGGATTTACAGAATACTACAGTTTTTCATATGAAAATAATACAGCGTTCACCATTCTAGCACCTAAAATACAATAACTTCCCAAACCTACAAATAACGCATATGGTTCAGGTAACTTTTTTGTACAATAATTTTCGTGCCGTCCATAAGGAACTTTAAAAATGCGTTTACAGAAGGTAACGCATTCAAAGTTAAGTTAATCCTAGAGTAGAAAATCTTAACTATGATCAACTATGCTTAAAAACCAAGAGCAGATCCATTTAGGGTCATGACCACTGTTAATAATTTAGTTCAACTGACTTTGACATTGTGACCCCGCCTTGAAGCTAGATCGGCTCTTGCTAGAGACTGTATATGTTTGTCTATTAACAAATTATACAACACAACGCTAAGAAATCAGACTTGCAGATCACTAAAAACTTAAAATCAACAAAACTATTTAGTGCATATAAAAACATGTGCACTATTATGTAAATGGAAAAATATGTCATGAAACTATCACAAACTTATTGATTTAACCAATAGGCCTTTATTAGGCGTTTTTATACATTTCATCGCACACAGGAATGATAAATTTTGTTCCCAATATTAATAAATCACACAAGCTTTCATATAAAACAAATTCACTACAATAAAGTTCTTACAATAAAAAAAAACTTAAGAAAAATGCAATGCTTGCATTATTGTCATGTATTTTAACAATATAAAATTGGATACAAGACTTTTGTTTAAAAAAAAACATATCAAATCACATTTTAGAGATTTAACCCCTTTCCTAAATCAAATTCTATAAAATAAAAGAACATCAAAAATATTATATAACAAGAAATTTCAAGATACTTTTGTAACTTGTGAATAAAAGCCAACAAAGGCAGTGAAGCAAGGCGAAATTTGCTTACAAATCTCTTATGATTTCAAAAACACTTGTTGATCTCTTAGATACAACTTATTATAGCCCAAAGATCACAAATACAGCCATAAAGCAAACAACCAAAGCAGTTAGGTAACGGATAAACGATTTAACAACCAGATTTGCTTTTTCTGGGAAGACAACATTTGACCTGTAAAAGTTTGTGTGAATATAGCTACCAATATATAAACTGTTCCATCTTAATGCAGAAAAACAAATCTCATACAGACTGTGTCAACTAGAACCGATAATGTTGCAGTAGTGTTTAGTTATCTTTTTTTATGTTGATAACCCTATCAAGATAGTTTGATTAATAACCATTTTAAAACTGAATATAAAAATTTATAGTATTTAATTTTTTGTAAATATGTAACAGATATAATGCAAAAAGTACTAATTATAATACTTCCACTGCTCTCTTTCTGCAAAAAGTCTCTTCATACGTGCAATTAGATAAAGAAATATTGAAATTGAGGCTAATGGTAACATTTAGAGCCAAAGCTCAAAGTACTATGAGCATTTAACAGAAAGGAGATTGGATTCCTACTTAGAATTTTTTTCATTTTTTTATTTAAAATTAGACTTACTTTTGATACAATTTAGTAGCATTTGCAAATTTAATAAGTATTAAAAAAAAATATAGTGTATTTCAGCTATATATTTTGGTCAATGTAAATCGTTTATTACGCTACCTTTACGTGATAACATTCCTTGCCTAAGATGTGTTATTTGGGAGTTTAGCCTGAAGTGTGGCAATGTGTTGCTCGAGTTCCCTCACTCGCTGTTGGCTGTTTTGAAGTTGACGTTTGACAATACGCAATTCTTCACCTTGACGGTTAAATGCGAGACGCAACTGTAAAGTACAATTACCATTAATTACACATTACATTACTTAATTTATAAAGTTTGACATTTCAATTATTTAGTCATAAATAATCTATTTAATAAGACATTAGCAATTCATGCGTCAATCGAAATAAATTTTTTAATAGCCCAATAACTTTTATAAAGAGCTGAAAATCCTATGAAAAAAGGATGCGTATACTTATGTACGCGCGTAAGTAGTTATACTTCATTGGCATTATAAAAAATAGTTTTTGATTGCATGGAAATAAGAAAGGAGTCATTATAGCCAATAAAGTTCAGTTTACATTTGAAAAATTAAATAAATAAATATTTATTATTATTCTCTTACATTAAGTGTAACATAAATTCTATTATTATTCGAATGTTGTTTATAAATTATGTCCAATGCCGTAGCATCTTCCGTGGGCAACTTCATTCTGTTAATTTTGTGTCATGGTGCGCGCGCATCGAAAAATTTCACTCTCATCAATTTTCCATAACGCGCCTAAAGAAGTATAACTTCAAAAATCTTGCATTAAATGAATTTGTATGGAAATCGTCATATTACCAATAGAATAATGAAATACAAAAAATTATACCTCATGTTCAGTGAATACGTCGCCATGATTGATCTGCTTGTAAAGAGGCACGGGTTCGAGCTCCCCAGGTTGTTTGCCGAACATTCGCTGCAGCTGGTGGAACTTTGTGGTTTGGTTCGCGTTCGTCTTTTGAGACTTCTCCGTTACCACCTAAAATAAGAAAAATCTTAAGCGTTTACTTTGTCTTATGTTAACTATATAGCAACAGTTTAAAAAAATTATATTGTTTTTTATTTAATTCATAAAAGATTGTTAGCGCTCGGCACACTGTTAAATAAAGAAAAAATATAGTAAAAATTTTGTTTGACATTGAGTTAAAAATGTAAAAACAGAAAAATCCTTTTGAGGGTTTCCCTCAGTTTTAATGACCTCCCTTGAGATCAGTCTTAGGAACTACAGATTCGAACTAAGTAAATATTTTTGTGTTTTCCATTTATTGAGTAAAACTTGATATAGTTGGAAGTTTTATATTTTTATTTTTTGTAAAATTTATGTTCAAATAAATTGTAATATATACTGTAGAGTGTAGAAAATGCATTATATATGTGATATAGTAAATAAATATCTATTACTGCATTTTGATCATCATAACTATTCCATGTTGCGCATTCTTGGAAAATTTTCAGTGTTTTATTTGTATGGATGTATATGTGTGCAACAGTTTGCCACTCCTGAGGTCGTAGGTTTCATCCCCGGTTCTGCGTCAGTACACTTTCTATATGCGCATTTAACATTCACTTGAAAGGTGAAGAAAAACATCGTGAGGCCTGCCTTAGACACAAACAGTCGACTGCGTGTGTCAGGTACAGGAGGCTGATCACCAACTTGCCAATTAGATTGACAAATGATCATGAAACAGATACAGAAATCTGAGGCCCAGACCTAAAACGGTTGTAGCACCACTGATTTATTTATATGATTACGTGTAATGTGTAACCGTTTAAATAAATATCAGTAAGTATATGTCGTCACTATACCGTCACGTTATCGGTTTCATTGACGTGATTTTCTCGCTGCCAGGTTCCGAGCGGACGGTAGTCGGGAGTTGTCTCTCGTGAGAGGAACGCGAACTTCTTCCTATTGTTCGCATCTTGGGGTTGCAGCGCCGGAGTATCTTTGTTGTTAGTTCTCGGCTTGTGAGTGGATATTGTTACACCTGAAAATATATTTCAATCATCAAGGCTTGTAAAAATGACACACGAAAAAACGGTGTTTTAAGATAATTGCTATACCTATACTAATTATATAATAATTTTTTTTTCAGAAAACACCTGGCACTCCCTTATTAAACCTGACCTCGATTCAAACCGATACAAATTTTAGAATTATAAATGAATAAAAACATGTGTTTACTGCCATTATAAAATTAATAGAATCAGGTATTTTAAAACTGAATCAAGTCTTAAAAATATATATATATTTAAGCATGTATTTTTTTTCTAAGTTCCACCATCCTAATTTGTATCTTACAATCTCGTCTTGAGCACTTTCAAATATGTCAATCATCGTACAGGAAAAATGACATTTGACAGCTCTTAGAAACTAGAATTAAGTTTTATTGACGTTCTAAAATAGAGGCCGTAGACTCACTGTTACTATTATACAAACAATTCTCAATTGTATCAAATCATCGCTAATTTTCGTCTCATTCTAAGTATCGCGCTAAAGAAACAAGTATTTTAATACTTGTTTAAAGAATCGTAGTAGGTTTATTTATGTATATGATATATTTTTTAGGCCGACTTTGTGCTGGCGGCTTATTTTAAATGCATAAGTGATTGCGTGTGATACATAAAAAGTGGGTTAATATTTTTTCTTAAATCGAAATCTTTGACTTCACCAGGAAGAGTATACCTGTTTTAAGACTTATAAGCAAGGGTGGCGCGTTCATGCCGCTCATCCAGTCCCGAGCACTCAAAGCTGGCTGAGGAGCAGCTGTGTCCGGGTACAGATCATCCTGTTAAAAGTAATTTATTTTATTTAATAACCTAATAAATAAAAGGCAACATGCAAAACGGACACGTAATGTTTTTCTATAAAGTATAGAAATTGTGCATCACCTAAGATATAAGGGAACTAATTTTTTGAACTGTTTTTTAAATATACGAGAAATTGTGATCAGTTGAAAAAAACAATGGGCATTTTTTTTTATTGCTGGTTGGTAAGTTTGTGCGACAGTAAAGCCGGAAACACATTACGAAGTTAGTGGCATGCATGGGAAATCAGTTTCGCGAAAGTAGTTTAGATATATGTGAAAGGAATTTCGTTAAATAATTAGTGTCGTGAAAGCCACATTATCGCAGTAACCATGGCCCCATCAGCATCAAAGCTTTATTTTTCTATAATGTTTCAAGTCTTTATCATAGGAATTCAGGGTGGCATCATGTATTAGCACCAAAATACACACGTCCGCACAGCAAAGGCACTTTTGCGACACTAGTTTCACGTCGCATCTCCATCATGAAAATAGTTGCATGAACCAAAAAATCGTGCGACTAATTTGCATTCACGTAATTAATGCATGCATTACGAAAATATTGAATACCACGTGAAACTGTTGGTGAAAATAATGTCACGAAATTAACTTCATGCAACTAATTTCGGGCTTTATAAAAAAACACTAGGCGAGTTATTTCGTCTTACAATGTCAGTACTAAAAATACGTAAGCAGACTAGTAAATAAATGGCCGGCAATAACGATGGAATGGGCAGTTTCATAAATAGTTCGGCAGTTTTAGGTTAGGGTTAGGTTTAGGATGGCCCACTTGTAGCCCATTTAGCTATTTCACTGCTCAGTATTTATTATATGATCCATTTTATAATTTCTTACGAATCATTTTTGTTTGTTGCTGCTAAGTTTTAACTGCCGAACTTGTTACTTAATATGCATTTTGTAATTTTCAACAACGATAACTACTATATACAACTGCCGCGTTTAATCAGTTCCGAATAATAATAAACATAAATTTCTTGTCCTGCAGGAATATTTGCTCCTTAAGTATAATAGGAGGTGACTTATAATTGAACTACAAATTTATATTGATAACAAAAACAGTTGTCAATCGGTGGGAAGAATGTAGTCATGTGTTAGTCGATAAGATAATAAAATAATTAATTTTCAGGGTCTCATGTATAGTTTTCTGCTGTTCGGATGAATAGAGAATAGATTTTAAGATGACAATTGAAATGATTTATAGTTTAGAGGTGTAAATAAAAAAAGTACCTGGAAGCAGTCAGATTTTCTGGGAACAATCATTGAAATAGGTTCGCACAATCCACGTGACGTGTGTAGTTTGTAGAAACGGAACACTTCACATTGAGCTGTGTTCACACCTCGCTTTGGCACAAAGCCTAGACCACGCTGTAAAATATATATTAAGAGAATTTAAAAAACATGTTTTAACAGACCGGTTTATTCATAATCTAGTTTAAAGTGGCCATAAAGTATAAAAGGATGGTGGGCTTTGTTAAAAACTATTCGTTTTAAACGTTTAAAGCTATCTTTTTTTACATAACAGGGGGCAAACTGGCTCCTGCCAGTAGGCTCATCGTCTCATCTGATGTAAAGCGGTATCGCAGCCCATGGGCACATTGCCAGAAGGCTCGCAAGTGCCGGCTTTTTATGAATTGGTTCAATCTTTTCTTGAAGGTCTCTAAATCGATGTCGATTTTACCTATCTATGGTAAAAAAACCAGAGCTATAGGTGTTGACTGTATCTGTTTCTTGATCATCTTTTTATAAATAGGCAAGAGATCAGTCCTCTGTGCCTGACAAACTTATTTAAACCTATGTCTAATGTATGCAGCTACTCTCATGTTTTTCCTTTACCGAGTAAGTGTTAATTGCAATTTTAAAAAATCTTACCTGTGGGTTCCCAGAAAGAAATTGGTTGAGGAAATGGACATAGGGCGCTTCGTCTACCACTTCATAATACCGAATGTTTCCATCACCCTTGCCAGCAAGGTATACCTGCAGAATTATAATACATGATAATTTTACAAAAACTACACAAGTAAAAATTTGTCAAATTTTTTAAAATTCAATGTCTTAAAACTTGACAGGTATGTTCAGTTTGTTAGATTTTTTTTTTTAATAATTTTATGGCCTGGTAACTATTCAGTTTGTTAGATTTTTATTTACATAGAGAAATTGTATGGAAACTAATTAACTTAAAATTACAAATATATTTAGTAGCATCAAGTCTCATTTTGCTTTTTTTTTATCAAAATTAAACTAACAATTTATGTATGTCATGACGTGTGCTGTGCGTTACAGAATAAAATAAAAAAATGGTACGCACGCACAAAGTGTAAGTAAATAAATAAAAGTACACATGTCAAAGGAAACTTTTTTGTAAATTATTTACTGAGTAATTAAGCTGCCCAAATCTCATAGTTAAATTTTTCCAGTCTTTATATTAATGAAGGCTAATTAAAAACCAGAACTAAAATTAGTTGTTGTTATGTATATAGAAATACCACCATAAATATGGTAAAAATTAGCAATGGTAACAAATTCATTATTATCATAATTGTAACTTATGTCCACATTTTTTAAAATAGCCAACTGGGTCTTGGCAAAAAAGGTCTTGGTTCTGTACCCTTATAAAAATACAAACCAACAAAAAAGTAATTTGGTTACTTAATAAAATAAAAACGCTGCACATCTTCGGAACGTTCCGTAAAAATTTTACCCTCATGCGCCTAAAGAAGTTTCACTTCAAAAAAAGATATACTATATACTTACCATATTAGTATCGTAGTCGTAATAGGGAAAGACGACTCCCGAAGAGCTGTCAATGTTCTCACAGACCAAAGGCTTGCTGAGGTCATGCTGTTCCCACACTGCATACTGCCGGTCGCTGTACCGGGAGAAGCCGGTAGTGAGTACACGCCCTTGGCTGCCGAGGAAGGTGCACTTTGAAGCCTTGGTGCCTGTGTGGCATTGACCTTCCTGTAAATTAAAAATACAATTTTAACAGATTACAAATATATATTTTTATAAATTAAAAATAATATAAATTGAGGTTACATATAGTATATACAGACAATATATTTTTATTATATTAACGCCCGGTTTATATATTGTTAATTTGATATTATGTTATAAGGAAAGCTGTCAATTGACAAAAGAAGAAACATCATATGAGCGCGTTTAACTAAAATTTTTACACGAGGTTATTTCAAAACTATGATTTCTATGATATCCATTGAAATCAAAGATAATATTGTTCATGATGTACTTGGTATATATTTGGACAAGGATCATGTTTATTTCATTGTTTATGGCTGTACAAAGATTTCAACTAAAACCAGCAATTTCTGAGCGGTGCTCAACAATCAAACAATTATATTAGTATAGATAGCCGAAGGTGAACGAAACAGAAGCAAAAACGTCTGCCATATCTTGTTGGTAATTAAATTATATATTAAATGTACTCACAGATAAAACTATTCCCCGCCTCGGTTCAATAACCCTCAACTTCTTATCCTTGCAAGTGGTAGCGAGCAATGACCCATCCCTATTAAATGACATACAGTAGATCACATCGCTGTGGCAGTCAATAATCTTGACGGCTTCGCCTTTGCCTACATCCCACACGAAGATCTGAAAATTATAAAATTTATTTAAACTAGATAACCCGGCGAACTTCGTAACACCTACATATATATATATCACACCAAAGAGTTTGGTCATACTACAGGTATGAAACACAATTTTCTGAAGGAAATCTATAAATATATGACAACCAAGTGACAAATATTTTTCTAAAAAGACATCAAATATTTTCAGCTAGAAACAGGTTAAATTGGAAAATTCACTAGTCGTTTTTAGTATGTTTCTTAACTTCCTCAAAAATTTCAAGATCTTAATTAGAGACAAACGAATAGAAATTTATTTATATATATATAAAATATATAATATAATGTTATAAATAAAATAAACATAAATTAGACTCGTAAGTTAAAATTAATTTTATTTTATAAAAAAGTTACCCTATCCGTGTTGCAAATACTTTGTTTGTTCTTGATGTACTATGTTCTCGTTCGATTCCTGACGAAACAAGTGTTCTAACGCTGTTTATATATTTCCCTACACCAACGGACGTAGAAATTTGTTTATCCATACAATAGTTTAAATAAAAAATATAAAAACAACAATTCTGTTCCGGAATTTTATGCTAAATTAACATTTTTAATATTAAAACGACACCGAATGAAATTATAACAGAACTAAAGAGAAAATCTTAGGTGTGAAAGTGAGAGTAATTTATAGATTACCAGATTGTAGGTTCATTGTTCAACAAGTGTTTTAATTTTCTCATAGCAGCTTCACACCTTCATTTGTATGAAGAGTTTTTTTAACTTTTGTTAGTCAGTTTTAGCGCTTTACCAAGTGAAATAGATAATTTTGTTGGATATAAGTTATTTTGGATAAAAACTGAATTATTTGCGTAGACTTAGCAAAAACGTTTATAATTTTTACCTTCCTCTGTTTAGATTGCTTTTAAGACGATTTGTAACTTGTAACGATTAAATACATAACGCTGTATAAATTTAAAATCTTGTTTCATTTGCAATATATAACTTACTGCTCCCGCGAACTTCGTTTAGAATGTTTTTTCAATTCATCCTACCTTTTTAGTAGCTACATACCAACATATGAAACATTTAGCTATATTACCCTTATAGACTGTCCGCTTCTTTTTTTTTTTTTTTCCTTTAAACGTTTCCAGATTATTCCCCGACTATGTAGTCGTCGGTGTTAACAAGCTTACATAAATGTATTGGTAAGCTTCTTTTATTTAAACACAATTGATCACCATTTGTAAAAAATGAATAAAAATCAGTTCTATTAATTTATTTTTTGTATAGATTCTAGTTCATAAGAATGTCAATTTGCAACTGTAATATCGAGTTCAAATCTTACGTGATAAAGATATTCTTAGTAACTTTTTCAATAAATTTATAGATTTCAAAGCCTTTTTAAAGTTACTTTTGAAAGACAATTTTAATAGATCGAAAATGGTATACAGTTTATATATCTCTGATTACGAGTCCAAGGAATTATTTTCATTTCTCCTACTAAACATCTGGACCGGTTTTAAAGAATTTTTTTGAGTGTATTCAAGTGGATTCGAGAATGGTTAAATTTATAATTAAATCATTTTTTGCATTTAAGACGTGTATATAGGAAATCTGTCGGGTCCGCTAGAACATATAATTTTCTTTATAAGGCAATGTTATAATTTTTTATATAAGGTAACATTCTATATTCTCGCCCGCTCTACGCCCTTGACTTGCGAACTGGTAGTAAATGTAATTTAGAATCACTTTAATATCTTTACTGTTGACGTTCATGAGTGTACTTGTTTACCTATATGAATAAAGTTATTTTGAGTTTGAATTACTTACCAAGTAATCGAAGCCAGCACTAAGGAGTATATTCTCAGCAGTTGGATGCCATTCGATATATGCGACACGACGTTTATGGCCATGTAGCTCTACCAGCCAGTCCGTCAAATGCATAGAGAGACCACCGTCTGGGATGTGCCATAGTTTTACCTGTAATACAATTCATATAGTCTTCTAATGTTAGCACAAAGATCGATTCAATATTGGCTGGAATAAAAAGAATGTTTTGATATGGTTATTTTAATATTCGCTGCACTGATGACGTAAACTTGAAATTATGTTTTAGGTTCAATTATTTGATTGTCCGTTGAGTGAACTGACAAAAGGTCTGCTTCGTGTCAGTTCCTATGCTGTAAGAAATAGTTTGTCTTTTTTGTAAATATTTTAATCTATTACTGTTTAATGTGATGTTTGTATGTGATATAAATAGTTGCCGCATTGGAGAATTATGTAATGGTAGCTTATTTTGTTAAATCCTGCAGTTCAAAAACGCGATTGTTTTGTTCAAGTTTTACCTTAGAAAAACTTGATCTTGGAAAATTAATTGAATGAAATTTGAAAAGTATGGAATAGTAATCACCTACTTTGTATGAAAAACATATTAGGGGGCGTCCATAAATTACGTGAGGTGTTTTTTAAAATTTTCTGTACCTCCCCCCCCTGGTGAGATGTCGTGAGATTTTATTCAACCCCCTCCCCCATCCCTCAATCTCACGTGAGATTTTTCAAAATGTGGGTTTCTTACGTAAACGCGTTGGATTGTTATTGTAAAAAAAAAATTGCTTTTATTTACGACTAAAACAAAATAAGTGAAATGTTGAGCGTTTAGGTATGGAGTTAGCGGGAAGTTGCAGAGATGGCCTTTAGGGTCAACCGTTTTTCTAAGTTGTTTTTTCAATCAGAAAAAAAATTTCGTGATATTTGCCGAGACCCCCCCTCTCTCCAACCTAAGATTAAATGAGATTTGACTCGACCCCCTCCCCCTTAAACACCTCACGTAATTTATGGACGCCCCCTTAAGAAACAATTGCCAAACTCATACTACAAAATAACGTCAAATTGAGTAAGCTAAGCACTTAGTCTCCTATATGTCAAAAACGTATTGGAATTTCAAAATGATAGTGCTCAGTCTAAATTCTAAACAGTTTCTACTTTAAAGAAAAATCTGCAAAAACGGTATAACTAAAACAGTCGTTTAACAGTAGTCTCACTCTCACAAATGGAGTTTACGCTATGATGAAAGGAGACGAATAATAATATATTTCAGATCCCCATTTACTATGAAAACGACGTATTATTTAATGCTATTTTAACCTTGAATATACTTTGTCCATAGTATGACATCACTAGGATTATCAAGAAACATTAAATTTGTTAGTAAATATATTGAATATGTATTCAATATCATGCATTTACACAATAAATTGTTGACGATAAGGCACCCACTTGCCCTTCTTATTATTTTTCGATCTTTTATTAGGGCAGTGATGGCTTAAGCGTGTGACTTTTAAACCAAAGCTAAGGTCCAAAGTTCGAACCTCGCCTGTGCACTAATAGTTTTTCTAAGTTGTTTTTTCAATCAGAAAAAAATTTCGTGATATTTGCCGAGACCCCCCTCTCTCCAACCTAAGATTAAATGAGATTTGACTCGACCCCCCCCCCCTTAAACACCTCACGTAATTTATGGACGCCCCCTTAAGAAACAATTGCCAAACTCATACTACAAAATAACGTCAAATTGAGTAAGCTAAGCACTTAGTCTCCTATATGTCAAAAACGTATTGGAATTTCAAAATGATAGTGCTCAGTCTAAATTCTAAACAGTTTCTACTTTAAAGAAAAATCTGCAAAAACGGTATAACTAAAACAGTCGTTTAACAGTAGTCTCACTCTCACAAATGGAGTTTACGCTATGATGAAAGGAGACGAATAATAATATATTTCAGATCCCCATTTACTATGAAAACGACGTATTATTTAATGCTATTTTAACCTTGAATATACTTTGTCCATAGTATGACATCACTAGGATTATCAAGAAACATTAAATTTGTTAGTAAATATATTGAATATGTATTCAATATATTTACACAATAAATTGTTGACGATAAGGCACCCACTTGCCCTTATTATTTTTCGATCTTTTATTAGGGCAGTGTTGGCTTAAGCGTGTGACTTTTAATACAAAGGTCCAAAGTTCGAACCTCGCCTGTGCACCAATAGACTTTCTTATGTGCGACTTTAACACTCGCTCGTACGGTAAAAGAAAAAATCGCGAGGAAACCGCCAGCGTAACACAGTGTTACGATACCAGATAATTCGGCATCCCAAGGTATATAGTCCCAGCAAATTAAATCACATACAAAGACGTGGAGACATAATAAATTTACTTTCATGTTATAGAAGAGGTATCAGTGAACTAATAAAAAAAACACATGCTTTTAAGAAAATGAAACTCTGAAAATGCCTGTTTCCATTAAAACAGTTCAGGCCTTTAAGACAACAATTCGAATAACCGAAATCTTTATATCATAAATTGCATTTGTTGATCTGATCCATCTTTTTGCTGTCTGTACCTAATTATCATATAAAATATAAACATTCATTTGTTTTTCTTTAGGCTGTTAATTTAAAAAAAGAAAGCATAAATCCCCAATTTTCTTAACCTTTGACCTTCAATTTTCAAAGCGTTGGAGACTACCGTCAAATACCGTTTCTTTTGCTAACATTTGTTTGCAGCATCTTTTGACGCCCTACATAGAAACAAAACACTTTTAACAATGAGTTAATTAGAGCGTTAATAAATATGTTTAAAATTACCGTGCAGTCATCAGAACAAGAGGCGATGATGTTGTCATTGAACGGGTTCCATTTGATGTCTAAAACGGGGCCTTTATGGCCCGTTACACGGCTAGCGTTGAAATCAAGACGTCCAGTCTGAAAACATTGAGTATATGTATTACAGGAAATATGCAAAACAGGTCCAAGGTTGGATACACCCATGTAAGATAAAATATGTTTATTATGGAACATAAGATAGAGGTATCACTTATTCCACGTCATTAAATTTGAATCAGTAGACATCCCTACTCATCGGCAAAGAAGACAGAGGGTGTAGGCCGAGAGAAAAAGCCGGCGTAAAAAACTCTCGGTACTCTTTTAAAATAGCAAATCATCATACAAAATGACTATGTCAAACAACACTTATTTTAAAACAAATATCACACAATAATTAGAAGTACTGTCCAACACTAGTCCCAGGCCCTTTTATTAACTAGATAATCGCCCCTCAGCATTGCAAGTGTCCATGGGCGGGGATTCGGGATTGCTCCAGACTCAGGCTATGTTCAGATGGCAAAAACTTGACGCGCGTTTTCAAATCGCGCGACTAGAGATTATGGTAATTTTCATACAACTGTTCACATGTACGCGCGTTAACGCGCGTTAACGCGCGTCAACGCGGCGCTCAGAGAAAAAGTCTCTAGACGCAGGTGATCGCGCGTTGACGCGCGCTTTGATATTAATGTAATGTCCGTTTGCTGTTCAGATGAGCGCGCGCTTTCATCGCGATCGCATGTAATTTTATTAATTTTCGTAATTATATTTTGTTCTCGCTTTTAAAATGAGTGAAATTGAAGATATTGACATCGACTTACTAATCGATGAAGTAGAAAAAAGGTCAGCAAGTTGGAATATAGCAAATTTGTATAAAAAATATAATATAAATTGTATTTTTTTTTTAAAATTGGATAAACCCAATGTGTACGTTTTCTTTTTCTATATTTTTCTTTATAATATAACCACAAAATAATAGCCTCTTCCACGTCCATTTTCTACGTTCTACCGAACTAGACTGACGAGTACTCTCGCAACGCGCGTTAGCGCTCATCATCTGAACGCTCTTCAAATTTGATCGCGCGTTGACGCGCGTTACCGCGCGTTACATGTGAACATAGACAAAAAGAAATGGAAAAATATGGAGGAGGCTTTTACCCTAAAAGGGGCCAAACAAACACAATTACTAGAACACTAACACAACTAATACTTATATTAAGAAATGTAAACTAAACAATTGTTGTATGGATAATAAAAATAATAAGGGCGGCGGTTAGAACTATTCAAACTCTAATAAAAAAAGAAAAATCAACAATTAACAAAATAGTTATTTGTGATACATATTAAAAAGTAAAGATAAACTTATTCCAACTTGTTGTTATATATGTTAGAATTAATCGTAAATAAATTAAACGTATACGCTTGAAGTGGTAACGTTATTTCGAGTTCTTGAAACATAATCCTACATATACGAAATAAAGAAAAACGTAATATTACACAACGCGATGCTGTCCATCCAATTCGTGGAATATGCGTGAATGATGAATAATGAATCGAACCAATTAGTGCATACGACACGCTTATTACCAACCAATTAACCAGTGTAATTACATAATATTACAATTCGATACAATGCTTTGAGTTACAGTTATTCTTGAGTGCCAAACGGTACAGAGCCTAGATACTTTTTAATATGTAAACGTTTATTTTGTCAAACGGTTATTTTTGACGGAAAATATTTGCAGTCTTAAGGGGGACTTGCACCAACCCCCGTTAACTAAGAGTTGTTTTACTATCTCTAGATTTTCATGTTTCTTTAAAATGCATCTATACATAAAATTCTCATGTCACAATGTTCGTTCCCATACTTCTTATGCATATTCTATATCGGCTACTATCTACCTTTCAAACCCCTGAGTGATAATTGGTGTCCACCCCAAATTTAATTTTTTGGGTAAATTTTATTTTTTTATGTATGCAGTATATATGTGGCACTAAAAAATACATACAACCCCTTATTTTCACTCCTCTACGATTAACCCCTATTTTTTATTATAGTAGTAGTAGATAGTTATTTTTATTGAACTAAAAAATATTTCCTAGAAATAATATACATGGAAAAACAACGTTTGCCGGGTTGGTCGGCAAAGTATATGTAAATTTTAGTTATATTTAAGAATTGAATAAGATTTAGAAACCAGACTTAGCGTTACGCCTGACTCCCCTACGTAAAAATGTATTAGATTTAGACATACGGAAGTCATAGTTCGCGCTGTCTCGTTTTTTAATCCTACCTTTATAAAGTACTAAAACTGTGTATATTTTCCTTACATTCTATACATGCGGTTTTGAATTATGAATCGCGGATGTTACAAACATATTTTTTTCTGTTTATAATATTAGTATAAACTTTATTGTTAGAATAGTTGTGTATAAAAAAGTATTTGTAGTTGGGAGATTTTATAATTACAGAATCGTTTAAAAATTCAATACCTACTTTATTAATTTATATTCAATCAAACGTACGAATGTTATCCTTTATAATCTTAATGAATTACAAAAATCTGTGTAAAATTGTTTAAAATGTATTCTCATAATGCTTTCTAGTTTCTACTCACGTATTGAACATGCAAACAAGTGTTAAAAATGACACATTACTTGATTACGATAATATGTAAATGTTTTGCTTTATAGCCAGTACGTATAACGGACAAGGTTGATTGCATTTGCATGGCAATATCATCTAGCAGACCCGACGTGTTCAATTTCATCTCGGAGGTAATCAATCAGCATATGCATATTTTATTAATCAACGGTTGATCGCAATAACTATTCAGATATCTTAATATTTTTATTTTTAATTGCTTGAAGATGAGTACTACCAATCAGGTAAAAAGCCATTAGGGCTAATTTTTAAATATAAGACAAAGAATTATTTTTTATTTGTTTGTTGTTTTTGTACAAGCAAAATGACATTAAAGTTTTAAGTAAGCATTGTGGAAGATGAATGACATTTGACATTCCGTTATCGCGTTCTACAATTTCTAGTCTTTGGGGATTAATGGCGCCAAAATATTCACACAACACAACAATATTTATAGAGGTATTACAACTCCACAAAAGTAAAAGTATGGAAGGTTGTTAAATATTAATATATTTAAGGCGGCACATCAAAAAAGTATTTTAAAACGTAGTTTTAGAAAGATAAAAGATACTTCAAACACAGAAATATTTTCACGGCTGTGTCTACACATTTGCATATAACGCGTGAATTGTTCGAGTTACTTTATCAGATAAATTAAATCGATGTCATAGATATATTCTGAAGTGTCACAAATACCTTATCACCCCTGACAAAGCTAATAAGGGCAAAATAACTTATACCGTTAGATTAACCAGACTGGTAAATATTTGTGAGAACAATGCCCATTAAATTTTCGTATGTGCCTTGATTTATTTAGGTCACGTTTGTTAAGACTAAATTGGGACACGTAATAGTTACATTGGACCCCTATTATATAGATAGAGGCACTTCCACTGAGGAAGGAACTAGTGATTTTCTAATTAAGACACACTTTAAGCAATTCATTGTTTATTTTTTATTAACTTATGACCGATTCAAGTAATTTTCCGGATGGTAGGTAGACCAAAAACAAACAGACATGACAATGTGTGCCAACGGGACTTCAATGTATTTTATTTACACAAATTAAATCTATACTAATATTATAAAGAGGAAAGATTTGTATGTAAGTATGTTTGTAACGAATTGGCTCAAAAAGTACTGGACTGATTTTAAAAACTCAACATTTGAATGCTACATTATCTCTGATTAATAAAGGCTATTTTAATTGTGAGAAAAAATAATGATATATATTCTAAACCTCAGTGAAATGTTATAAAAATTACCCGTTGATGTCATTTATTCTGTTATCATTTTGTTTTCATCAAGTCCCGTACCCAAAGGGAGCCAGCGATACACTATTGCTAAATACATTTTACATTGTACATTATTATTTAGGTATGTCCGCATTTACTGTACGTTTATTGCCAAAATGTTTAAAAATAAATATCCACCCGTGCAAAGCCGGGATGGGCCTCTAGTTTAAAATAAAATATAAAGAAACCTAGTCTAAATAGACACTGGTATTGACAAAACAGTTGAACAGAAGTAGAACTGTAAAAAAAAGAATCTGTGTTTATTACTTACATGGTCCAAGGGTAGAACAAGGAAGGCCCCACCGCCTGCGACTTCAGTAACAATCGCAACAAACTTGGGGTTTACAGCACAAAAGTTGGAATCGTGTGCATTCCTCGTTATTTTTATGTTATCATAACAACGTTCCCTTTTAAATGGCACACCGTACACATGGCGGAATTTAGAGCTTCTCACGCCACGGAACCATACCTGGAAATATTTGCACGACTTTAATACTACAAAGCTTTCACACATGCATAAATAACAAATATGGGCTAAAAAGTATTTTTATTAATAATTTATTTTTATAACAATACTTTCAATTGAAATTTATTAACAGCATTAGAACTGTGTTGCCTGAAAATTTAAATAAATAATACAATAATAATTTTTGCAAACAATATAAAAAAATTCTGTGGATAATTCTTGTTGATTGCAGTCTTCTTATAACCATATAGATGTGTATATACTAACATATAGTTAGTGCCTAAATAAGTTATACGAGTTACGAGAACTCTAAATTGGTTCAATTAGTATTCTAATACATGGAACCAGCCTTTTAGCCACGAGAGTTCACAGTATCTAAATATAAGATAGATAATTTAACAAACCTGGGAATTGGTCATGATGGCTTCTCTACTTCAAGTGATATTGTAAGCATGCACTACATGTATCCAGCACTCAAATACTAAAAAAATTGTGCATTTTATAAAACAAAAAGTACATAAAGATATAAGCCAGTCGCCCACATCACGAGCTGCAAGGGGTACACTGAAATATTTAAAGAAAACAAAAAAACTAATAAACCACTGTGAAAAGGCGTGAAATTGTGCAAATTATCTCAAAATTCTACATTAAACTCTCTGCTTTAGTTTAAAAGACAATTATATGTGTGATTATTGCCGCGGTACGAACAAACGCGTGCTGCGAGCGGGAGGCGAAAAAAAAGTGAAAAGACTAGCCAGACGCTGAGAGAAATTTAAAATCATTGTACTATTAGTTGATAGGCAGAGTATCAATTAACTAACTACTGAGGTAAAATAATTTATTGCACAAGAAATGTTACATAACATTTTAATATTGTTACTTTCATAACGGCATAAATTATGAATACCACTTTTAGGTCAAATGGCTTTCAAATTTATAACTGCTTAATTAGCTTGGAAAGCTTAAAAAATCTATATGTTTTCATAAGCGAAATCTACTATAAAACTCCTTATTTCTTGATAATATTTAACTATGTATATTTATTAACAAAAATAAATATACTCTAAGTAAATTAAATACCTAATAATAAAATATAATATAAATAATACAAAATAGAATAATTGCTTAAGCTATGGTTGATAGTATTAAATGCTTAATGGTTACATTCTAAATATTGCATGATGTGCATCAAAGCATTACTGACATCACTTGCTAAAAGTGGTTAGATATGAACCATTGTTATATCATTCATGATATAATTACTAAACACTTTAGACACAATGAGTGAGATTTCTTAATTTGTAAAACCAATACTCTTAAAAAACATTTATTTCGATTTATATTGATTTTTTCTTTGAATCATTTTGGGGCATATTGGTATATTCAAATACAGTGTATAAAAACATACTTACATTATGTATTGTGAGAGTGTTTTAACATTTATGCTGTGGTTGCATACAACTAATAATAATACAGTTTAAAGTTGAAATGAAGGGTAAGATCAGAGTCTACACTTAATGTAAAGTATGACCACGTGGAAAAAAATCTATTGGATTGTAACATTTGGGAGTTCTTATGTTATCTACTTGAACCTCAAAGTTTGTTCCTAACAATAAGCCTAGCGTAGCCTAAGTTTAAGCCTCATAACAAATGTATAGATGTCTTTCTATAGAAACTTCACGTCTATAAAATATTAAAGTCACTTACACAGTTAATTATTATGTGATTTTTTTTAGAATTGTATAAAGCTAAGGCTTTTTAAAGAATACTATTAGATTAAATGAATTTAAAATATTGCACATTAAAAAGAGAAATCTCTTTTCCTTTTTAATTAAGGAGATGCTATTTAATCAAAGGTTTTCATCATGTATCAATTTTAAATGTTTCTTTTATCAATAATTTGTTAATAATATGCCATATAACGTGGTAATTAAGGGATAGAATTCAAATATTTTTTAAATGGCTTTAATAAAGATTTGTGACAGATCCCTGTGATGTTCTCCACGAATTCAGGCAAATGTAAAAACAATATAGGCATACAGCAAATATATAGAACAAAAATGGGAGCGATCGATAATTACTACAAGTACAAACTCGTGCAAGTTAAATAACTGTTAAGGGTATTCAATAACTTACCTTAGAAGCAGGTTTATTACAGGCTCTTACATCGACAAGTGCGCTGTTCTTTGCTGGACTTTTTTCAGTAATGCTAATATCTAAACAATTAATTTCCCTCAACATTTCATCTTTAACGGGAGGCATGTCCTTAATAAGATTAAGATTTTACACTAGATACTATAATGCTTGATCACTTATTAATAAATAAAATTAACACTCATTAAGATACAACGAGGGAAACATGAACAATGAACGTGCATTAACCAAGAACTCGAGCCCGATGTGAAAAAAAACTTAAAACTGAAGTCCGAAAAGCGTTACACCGTACGCGGTGCCGATGCCCTACGAAACAAAATATAGGTATATCTGTGTCTGTCATTTATCACTTGCCGTAGAAGTCGACATCTGACAGCTGTTTACAGTGACGTTAGAAGTTATTAGTCGTTGTTTTGCGCTAGGGATTGCGTATACTCCTTAACTCCTTATAAGTAATCTGTGCTTAACTGTCTAAAAACATTTACGTAAAAAAAGTTGTACGAGTATATTATAGTTTTAATAATGGTTTTGTTTAATTCAATTGTCAATTGTTTTTATGTTCTGAAATTTTAAAGGATATAATGGTTAATAAACCGTTAAGTTTACTGAATTAATTATAATTTTATTATGAAAACCTTTGATCGATATCTTAACTACAGTCAAAATCTATTATAACGACATCGAAGGGACTACTCATATTTGGTCGTAAAAACCGATAGTCGTAATTTCCGATGACGTTGTTATTAAGAACCTAATACATAGAATTCAGTCGGGACCTATGATTTTTGTCAATATAACCGGTAGGTACGTTATTCTAAACGATGTTGTCATTAACGGTTTTGATTGTGTTTTAGTATTTTTTTAGTTTATTCTGCCTTATGATTGTTATTTACTTTCGAAGTTGATCATCTATTGATATCTTCACTTTTGTAAAAAAAATGTGTCTTGGTCTAAGATCCGGCTGCAGGATTAGTGTGCTCATCGGTAATTTGCTAAAAACCAAATTTTTATGTATATCTACCAAGTTGCCTAATAGATTTTTGGGAACACATTTCGTTCACTTGTTATTTAAATAAAATATCGTCTACATCACGGCAATTTACATAAAGATTTTAAAAATTACGGGTGCCGTTGCCCACCTGGCGGCACTTCTTCGTAGTTAGGTGTAAACAGGTATGAGTTCGATACATTTATACGTTCATAACGTACATTTATTAATTATATATCAAATTGAAGCTATTTTTTTTTCTATGTATTTTCGTGTATGGGGACCTAGTTCAATCTGGCCGCAAATAAGGGTTACCTGCTGTTAAAGATGATAAATATTTCAGGTAGGTAGAGAGAAAGAGAGTTAAACGCATAACATCATTTGTCAGACGAGGATAGCGAATGCCGCCTATGCGACGCTTTAAGCCATTGCGCATGCGTCGAATGTTAGTGTTCTCAAACTGAATAGGTGCAGCATTTTTATTCTAACATAAAAACCACGCTATTTTAGAGTTCGTAATAAGCGACGAAATAAGCTACGTCGCTTATTACGAACATATTTTGATATGTGGAATAAATTATCTAAAATATATTTTGAGCTACCATAAAACGCCTGATGAATTTTCTTTAACTCGTTCAGGAACGTCGATAGTATTCAAAAATTATAACATGATAAATGTAATTGTGGTTTTCTAGTTAATTATTTACGACATAATAAATAGGTACACAGCGTTATAGTTAAATATATATATATACGATTGAACAGTACCGTTTCTAATAAAAATACAGACTTATTTCTTTTTTTTTCAATTTTATATAAATGAATTTATCGATAAAAATGTACGCAGCTCATGGATACTCGCATTGTACGAAATTTCGTGGTCTCTTATTATCTTATTGATAAGCATTTCTTTAGATCAGTTTTGCCCTAGTGGCATAACCAATCCATGCGACTTTCAACTGTGAGGAAATGAGTTCGAATGAGTTCGAAGCACCAGTGGACTTAAGGGTGATTTGACAACGAAAAAATCTAATAGAAAATGGTACCACGGAAGATCTTGGATAGAAACCCCGTTGGCCGGCGAAGGCGCGGCAGGTGAAAGTTACGATAGCTGGTTGGTGTTGAGCAGGACGTCCAAGCCATGGTAATCACGAATTCGAAGTAAAAAGCACAAAACAGTTGGCGGTTCATGCTTGACTAGACCAAGGCCCGACGATCTGTCCTAAATATGATAAAATGCATAAAAAGTGAGTAAATATAACTCCAAAAGGGTTTTAGAAGACAATTAAAATAATCAAAATTACAGTGATTTTTAAGCAGCTTTCCACCTACCGTACTAAATATATGACCATTTAGAAGTTTGATTGTGTAGAAAGTACTTTATAAGATAGACATGCACATTACACACTTGTGTATTAGTATATTATAATAAAACACATTCGGTTGATTCTTTGTATCTTTAAAGTAGCATTTTTTATGAAATCTTTCAATTTGGTGGATATTATTAGGTGAGTTATTATTGCAGGAATATATTTTGGATATTTTTAAATAGGTAAAAGAAATTAAGTTAATCTTCTATATTCTGTGAAGCATATAAAGAATACTTTTCTTATTATAAGCAAAGACAATTAAATTATATTATAACTGTATCGCTGGTATTTGTAATATGCCTGTTAAGTTTCCTTATTGAATAAATGAATAACTTAATAAATTATTTTGCAAAAAACAGGCACCTAAGAAAATTTACGTTCTAAGGTCGATTTCAGTTAATTATGTCAAATTTAATTGTCTGACTATCTATAGGTACTTATAATCGTGTAAATTAATACGCGTGAAGTGAATTCTGGCATTTTTAAAATAAATTTTTGATGAATCTTTAAAACCGATGTACACTGTTTATATATTAAACTAATATTAACTATAAATCTTTTCTTTCTATATTAGCGTAGATTTATCATGACAGCGATTTCGCAAATGAGTCCACGTTATGTCGATATTCTATATTCCAGAGAAAACCAGTTACCAAAACATGCTTGACTTGTTTCCCATAAACACTATTTAAAGGTAAATAAACAGACCAGAAATAATAATAATTTGTTGATTATTAGGAAAATATTAGTATTAATATTAGTCCCTTAGAGGTGTCTCAGCCAAAGTATGTACTACATTTATCTTTTTTCGCAAATGTGTTGAAACGGTGAAGTATTATAATTTAAACGGAGTGTGTGTATATTGGCTGATTAGTTTTTATGTAACAAGAGGTATCTATCAAATAATAATAAATTAAAATTTCAGTAACAAAAAAATATCTATTACAAAAGTACGTATTGAGATAAAACTTTCGCAAGCGATTCGGTATGAACAAGTTTTATTTGGATTAAATACTAGATAGTTGAACAACAGTATTGTAAACAATTAATCTTTGGTGTTACGATAATATTTCGATAAAATTTGCGAGACAAAATTAATAACATTCCACGACGGCATTAGTATCACAATAATTGAGAGTCATTCGCTATACATTTATTCAGTTGCCTTGTGTGATCGAACGTGAATAGTTGTGTCAATAAAATAAAATGCCAAAAATACACAATTTTGGTGCCGGCCCGGCAAAATTGCCTGAGGAAGTAAGTAAATATGAAACATTGCTTTCTAATACAATATATGTTTTCTAAAATAAGATATTTATAGGTGTATGAAATTATAAGGGACGAGTTAACGAACTTTAAAGGAACTGGAATTAGTTTAATGGAAACAAGCCACAGGACACCTACTTATTTGAAGTTTAACACCGAAGTTCAGGATATTGTAAGAAGACTTCTGTAAGTATTATAGTAATAAGGCGCTTAGCTTGCTTATCGGAATATTTTTTATCAGTATCATGACGTAATATACGAATCTATTTACGTTTATTAAATATTCTTAAAATTAATACCTACCGGTTTAACCACCTGATTTGTATAAGATTTCATTTGTTTTTTACCGCGTTTAAAATTTAGGTTAAGGTTATGTTTTATTACAATACAATGATAAGAACTTTCGTTTTCTTAATGGGGCTGTGTATTATGAAATATTGAATAATGTTTTAGAAGTGAACTATTTAAGCCATCTGAAGAGTGATACTATGATTGATAAAAAAGTTGTTAAGTAACCTTTCCTTGTTACTACTAGTTTTATCCTCGTACTTCGTAGGATAATGTTCTTTGATGAACTTAGTGCATTTTTCCTGTGAGGATGTTTGCTTGCAATTCGCACAATCATACTATTATATCTTCAGTTGTTTTAAATGCAAAATGATATATGATTTCGTATTTTTATTTGTAAAGTAATTATTAATATCATATTTTTATAATTACGTTACATAGGCGATTACAGAGTAAGTTCAGAAAATGTAATATCTCTATAACGAACCTAACTTCACAGTTTTAAATTAAAATGCATTAATTAAGTATTACAGTTATCGTATTCCGAAGGCTTCTGAATTGTAAATCGTGGGAATGATATAAATAAACTAAACGCATAATAAATGTAAATACATTCTATACTATTTCGACTTTAATAGAAAACAGAAATTTTGAGATATCTTTTTCCATAGAAATGTACCAGCCAACTACAAGATATTATTGTTGGCGGGAGGTGGACAAGGCCAGTTCGCGGCTGTTCCTCTCAACTTGATATCGAGAACTGGGACGGCTGATTACGTGGTCACAGGTATATTGAAATTTATTAAATAGTTATACTACAGTCAAACATGGGTAAGTGACAACTGGGTTAAAACGTTACGATGCGGGGCGGGGATTGAATTACGCGTTATTGTTAATATTATTTTCGACTTTCCAGTACTTTACACCACACATTGGTAACTTTTAGGTATAAAGAGTCACTGGGTGGTCACGAAACGTTAAAATGTTGTAAACTATTGGGTACAACATTTTAAGTTCGGGCATTTCATGTTCGGGCGTAAATTAGCACTAGAAATTTACTTAGATCTTATATGTCGTGTTTTGGGATGTTCAATATTACTATTGTGTTTGTTTTTATTAATAATAATCATGCTTTATTTGCACGAAAGTGATATAGGTACCATGTTACATACGTAGATCGCGTATTCTGCCAGTCATAATGGCTTGCAAATTTTTCTTAGATAATGTGGTTAAAATATAAATTACGTACTAAATTTGTCGATTCGAGTTATGCTATAGACTACTTATCAGTCTAATCCAGATAACTAAAGATTAAAATTAAATTTATTAAATCTGCAGGTGCCTGGTCAGCGTTAGCAGCCAAAGAAGCGAAGAAATATGGCAAAGTCAATATGGTTGTGCCAGCTACAGACAAATATACAGGGATCCCTGACCAGTCTACATGGAACCTTGATCCCAATGCATCATATGTCCATATTTGTGGAAACGAAACTATCCATGGTAAGAGCTGTAACAGTATGTATTTATATAGCTAGTATTGTTAAGCTTATATAACTTGGTACTGAAACATTATTACGAAATTTTCCATATTGTCAGAAAATAGTCAATAATATTTTTAGTTTTTGACAGTTTGTAATTTGTCATAGACATAATATTTATTACTAACGAAACACACACAAAATAATAATAATAATTATAAAAAAAGAAAAAAAAACCAAAATTATGGAAAGAAAAAAAGGAATAAGGTACGTTTTATTAAGGTGTGTAATAAATAATTAATAAATACATAATTAAAACAAATTTCAAACGTTTGGTTCCTGTGCCAGTGTACCTTTAATGCTGGCAGCATTTCCTCGCTGTATTGTGATACTTATTCCTTGAGCAAGAAAAGCACCAGCTCTGGGGTCCGGCACTATCTACCAGGCGCCAACTTAAATCTTTAATTAGTGCCTATGCACTTGAATCCCACGGCCCAAGAGTCTCTACTTCAAAGGAAATAAAATCAAAGTTGGAGGATTAAATCTCTTATAATATTTGAGGCGTTTATTATTGCCGCGCAAAAAATTTAGAGAAAAAAATTAGTTAAGATAATTAATTTAAGTAATTTATTCAGTCATGATTACAAGTAATGATTTTGTTTCGATATTTCTGTTTTGCTGAGCACAATTCAATTTTTCATACAACGTATGACGTATCTATCAGGTCACTATTTTATTAGGGCACTGATTAAGCAATACCAGTTTTGCCGATGGCCCATTCAATATTACTGAAGCACTAATGAATTATAGTTTATGAATTAGAGCTACTAGCTAGAGTGTTCATTTAGTTGTATTTGCGTTCATTCAAACTATTTACGTACTTTTATAAAGCACTGAGGTTGATTAAATTATAAGTTAAAAAACTAACATTATTTTCCATTCATCTGTATTTTTTTTCCAGGTGTTGAATTCGATTTTATCCCTGATACAAAGGGAGTACCTCTAGTGGCTGACATGTCGTCAAACTTTATGTCAAAGAAATTGGATGTTTCTAAGGTAAAATTTTCTTTTTCCAGAAATTCTAAAAAGTGACATCATATATGCTCGCCCCGGGAAATAATGTCGTAAAGCACTGTTACGACTGGGTGATGTACTATAACTGTAATTTTTTTCAGCATTTTTCCAAAATTAAAAAAAAAAAAACCAAGATGTCTTTATTCTACAGAAATGTTGTGCACAATAATAGTAATACACGATTACCTGATTTTACTTTCCTGAAATAGACCGCAACAACCATAAACATAGATTTGGTTTAGATTGTAATTGTACCAAATAATCATAAAACTTAATGCGACAGTTTAAAAACAAATAAAGAGTGGTAATAATATATCTCTGTTTACCATGGTAATAAATTTTACGCGAAAAGAGTGGTAGTAAATTATAACGTTCTAGATATTAATCAATATTACCGTCGTAATGTGTGGTTACTGTGTCATCCGTAATTATGTTTAAATAGCAAACGCTTTTGCTCTTTAGTCTAAGTATACAAATTACTGTAATAACAACAATGTTTAAATCGTAAATAGCAAAAATAGCTTTCATTTGATACATTTATTTGTATAATATGTAATGTATTTAGTGTCCTATACTAGTCGTAAACTTCTATTATTTTTCCTGAAAAAAAAATTGAATTTGTTTGTACAACTTTGCTTCCCGGGGCAAGCGACATGACTTAATAATTATTTCCAATTAAAGTTCTATAGGTTTCGGAGCTAATTGCAAAGTATAACAAAAGAAAATATATTGCATACTCGTAGATCGGTATGGTTCCATGTTAACACTAAAATATTCTATACCTACAGCAGTAGTACTTGTTCTTGTTATAAGATTTTAGGTATTTCACGCAACGTTCATGATAGCTTAACAATATGTTATTGTTATTAGACATTCGATATCTAACACACTGATAAGGTTATTGATTCCATTATAACAATAATTCTAGCTATAATATATTATTATTAAGCGATCATTTTTTTTATTTCAATAAGTCACTGAAATTTTTATCGTATTAAAAATTCAAGTTAGTCAAATATTTTATGTTTTTATAATAAGATTATGTTAACATTTAAAATATTTATAAATTTTTCTACGTCGACAACCATTGTCAGTGACAAATCCGGAGTCGCCATATTCATATCCTTAATATTAATATTAAATAATCCTTATATATTTCGTACTGTGACCGTTTGTGTAGTAAAGACGTCTTTTTCTTCTTTTTTAAATATTTGTAGATCTTTAAATTTATGAATAAATTGAAACTATTATGGTTTTGTCCTATTCTCATTAAAGTAAGCCAGAATTGGATTTATATTATCTGAAATGGGTAACTAAAAATATATGAAATGCCTAGGAACACATTCATTTGTTTCACAAGTTTTTATCGGATTTTAGTTTGGAGTAATATATGGCGGTGCCCAAAAGAACATTGGTACATCTGGTGTAGCCCTGGTCATCGTCAGAGAGGACCTTCTGAACCAGGCTCTGCCCATTTGTCCAATTATTTTGGACTGGACTGCCAATGCAAAGGCCGATTCTATCCTTAACACACCACCTATGTTCGCGTAAGTTTTTAAATAAATATTTTTTTTCATCCCAATTATAGAACTACTTTATAAGCCTAAAATTTAAAAAAATCTCACAATTTTTAATTGTATTATATTTCAATGTTTACTGACCGACTTCTTAAAAGCCAGAAGGAGTTCAATAAATTTTTTCCAATTTCTATAGATTAATAATTGAAATAAGGCGAATTAATTATCGAATCGCAGATTATTTTTTATTTATCTTTACGCCGCAGTTTTGTTTATTCTATTACTAGCCGTTTCGCGCCCGCTTTGCTGGACGAATTAAAATAAATTTTATGTTTCATTATTTTATTTTTTTTCATATTTTTATTATTCTTGTTTTTAACTTCCCGCTAAGAAAATTGAAATATTTCGAAAATCGAGTTTTTAACAGATGTTGACGTTTAGAGGTTCTAGGTTTCCGCGGTGAAGTCCGTATGGATAAATTTTCATAAAAGTAAAACAGCAATAAAAAAATGAAGGAACGTTGGAATTTAATAAATAAATAGCCATAAACCATCTAGGATCTCGCATCGAATGGTGGTAGTTTCATGTCGATACGATCAGTGGTTTAGGCGTGAAGGAGCCTCAAACGAAGACCATTTTCCTTTTATATATATAGATTGTATATTTGATGTAAAAAATGAAAATCTTTTTTTAATTTGTTAGAAGACGTAAACTGAATTGGGTATTTTGCCTTTTTAATTAATACCCTAGTGTCCAGTGTGAAAATGAATAATAATTGTTTCACTATTATAGGTTCAGATTATGTTTTCGAATAACAACTATTTTAATTAAAATTAAAAAATGATTGATTGCAGTATATACGTAATGGGAAAATGTTTAGAATGGATCGAAAGGAAGGGAGGTCTTGATAAAATGGCTGAATTGGCAAACATCAAGGCGTCACTAATTTATGACCTGATCGAGCAGTCGAATGGCTTCTACTATGCCCCAGTTGCCAAAGACGCTAGGAGTAAAATGAACATTCCGTTTAGAGTTGGCTCAGCTGGTGGGGACGAAGCTTTGGAGAAAGAGTTCTTGAAGGGTGCAGAGGCGTTGGGACTTATACAATTGAAGGGACATAGGTAAGAATTTGTCAAAGTATGTATATTAATTGTCATGGCGTTTGGTCAATTTAGTTACTACATAAATCGACTTGTGTGATATAATAATTTTTAAAACATATATAAAAATGTATATTTAATTTTGTTATCAGTAGCTCTTTTCTGCCTTTACAAGATAACTTTTCCTATCTGTTTGTGATAACATTTGTTGCTCACAGGTAATTCGTATTGGCTGAATTTTGACTGGTAGAAAATTTACATAATTTTTTTAGTTTCTTAAACTATTCCACTCATATGTTCTCTTGTTATTTCTTTCTACTGTGAAGGGTTTGCCCTGCCTTTGTTAAAATTCGTAGGATATCATAAATCCAAACAATAAATATATCATGACAATTGGTATTATTACCATCACGTCGCGTAATTTGGTAATAATAAATGCGAAAATTACGCGAGTCATGCAATTTTTTAAAATATTATATATCAATATTTTTTGTGCGAATTTGTGATACATGTTTTTTATGCTGTATCATGATATTGTCAGCTTTTTTTAATGTCTAATGTTATCATAAACTCTGATAAATAGTTAAATGCCTTATGAAACGATTTTTTTGTATTTAATTTTATTTTTCAAATTTTCCACAAGTTTTACCGTAATTCACGGTCAATGTGATATCTTAACTTAACTTGAGTTGTAAAAGCCGTTGTGAGTACGTCTTTATTATTCTTTCCGGTTTAAAACACTGATATTTTGTAACCTACAATGTCGGATTAACAGCTAGCAACTCATAGTAATGATTATGATCGTGAAGAAAGGAGTAAAAGTTTCCTGTCCTTTAACTTCTTTAGGAGTAGTATGGGAGGAACCAAGTTCATCAATAATTTTAGTAAAAAATAACACTCAATTAGACTTTCGTAGTTTTGACGAAAACATTTTTTAACAGGAGCGTGGGCGGCATTCGGGCTTCGATATACAACGCCGTGACTGTGGATGAGGTGGAAGATCTGGTCAAATACATGAAGGAGTTTTACGAGAAGCATGCCAAGTAAACAGTCAAAACATTTTTAACTGTCAATTTGACAGTTGTCAAAACAGTGTCTATTGGCGGTGTAACACCAGGTGGTCCTTTTGCCCCGTTTATAAAGCTATAGTGATTGGATATTCTTTACATAGGAATTGTGTGATATTATAATTGGAATTAAATGTGATTTAAACGATAAATAATCAGATACTCGTAAACAAGATGAATACTAAAGTACATAGTATTTTATTTTTTATATTTTAGCTAACTAGGGATTCATTTGATACTATTAAGTCTATAATATTATTTATAAATAACCAAAACAAAATACATAGTCCAAAAATAAATATAGTAATAATATCCCATTGATTTATTATCAAATGTCTTGATCTTGGTTATTGTGGTAGAGCAATTTTCTATATGCAAGGTGAAGTTCAAATTGGTTGTAATAAAATAAAGAAATTAATGCTAATTCTGATCTATATATGCCTAAGTTAAATACCCATACCGGTAATATATTAATAATATTTCTTTATAAATTGTGGTTCTATTGAAATTACCGTCTATTACTATAATCCAAGTTAAATAAGATTTCAGTTATATATCAGGATTAACGTTATTTTATATCTTTTAGATAAGCTATGTCTCGTGTTAAATACTTTTATATTTGTTGAAAAAATTGTAATAAAAATAAACACATTGAAATATATATTTATTTTATTTTTGTTACTTGTTACTAACGTGGTAATTGTGATACAATGTGATGGAATACAGACCACTAAAACATGATGAGTATTAAATATGATGTCCAAAGAGAAGGCGGGAAATATATTATATCGTTGTCAATCTAGGTAGAAGATACAGAAAATAATAATTAATCTACTGTAAAGTATTCATGTTTGTAACTAAGACTATACAACCATTTATACAAACACGCTGCAAACACTAAGTCCACATTACAAAAATAAAATTTCTTAAAATACAATTAGTATTACAATAATTCGATGTACAAAACCTACAAATGAATGGTCGGTATTAGACCATTATAAATATACAAATATATTTACACAATGTAAAAATCAATCTTCATTAGAATGTCACATCCGCCCCGTCATTGATATGGCATTATGCGCCTAAAATATTTGAGCATTCGATCGAAATTCGAACATCAACACATTCACTGTTTTTGTAATTTGAAACACATATTTGTGACGGTCTCTAGAATAATATTTGGTGGGGTCAAACAGTGAGTGTGTTAATACACATTGCTTATTAAAAATTAAAACTAATTATAAAGCTAGCAGAGTACAAAATTCTACACCTCGACAATTTTCATAGATATAGCCCATTATAAGTTTATTTACAGTCAACGCAGAATAATGAAATAGAAATGCAAAGCACCAAAGGTGTATTTAATAGGAAAGCGGAGGTATGTGTGGGAAATACTGGAGTATATCTATTAAAATTGTTCGAGGAGAATCAACTATTATTACGTAAGTTTGACCAGAATACACCGCAGTCCGTCGCTGTTTACTGACCCTCACTGTCACTGTCGCTCTTATCTGTGGATAAATTGCATCATTTGTTTTTAATGATGTAACGATATTATTGATAAATTAATCAATGTCGTAATATTGAGGTTAAAACTGACGAATTCAGACAATGACGAAACAGACCAACTATTTTTCATTTATTCATGATTATTTCAACAAGATTTTAGAGATTAAAGATTACATTTCACCAATTTAAAATGGGGAGAGGATCTTTATGCCCGTCTCCAATGTTATTTACAAAAATCCAGCAAAATTGATTCAGCTGTGTGAGAGATAAGTGCGGTTGGAACAAGTAGCACATTCCACTAAATCAACCAGTCAATAACGTTCGAATTCCATATTAAAAACACAAGTAATTGCGCCGTATCGTGGATTTTTTAAAGCATATAGTTTTTTTTTAATATAGAACCCGTTCGCAAGTGACATACTAAGCTGAATGTCTCGTCTAGAGAACTGATCCAAGAACTAGAGCAAGCAACTATAAACTAAAGTGTAACGCTGCGTAAGTGTGTAATATGTGCATCGGTGCTCCAAATACTGACCTTTCTTACCAGGGTATGCGTGCCTTTTTAATCTGTCATAGAGATCCTCCTTTGTCCCATAGATGCTGGCGTTGGACCGCGCTAGGCTATTCATCTTCCCATTCATCCCGTTGTGTAAGCTCTCTTTCATATATGTCTCGTTGTAGAAATTGGGCATTTCCCAACCATCTTCTTCGTCGTCATAGTAATGTGCGTATGTGGAGTGGTGAGATGGAGCGATTGATTCCGCGTACGGCGTATGCGCACCGTAGTAGAAGTTCACTTGTGAACCATTTTGATCAATAGCTGGTGTCAATGTTTTCTTTGGTTCGCGTTTCTTGGACGATCTGCGGGAAAGAGTTTATTAGATATATTATGTAATATAGATTGTTTTCCTTGAAGCAGATTTCTCAACAAAGAAACGATAGTAAAGACAATTAAGTGCAATAAGTATGTAGCAGAAACATACTCTATGAATTATTTGTCAAAAATCAGAGGCTTGAGGCAAATTTACTTTTCGACAGGCGAGACCCACGAACGCCAAACGAATGCATGAAATGCCTGTCGAAAAGTGATTTTCTGGTCTGATAACAAACCATATATATAGTCTGTAATATTTAAAAATACTTCTACGACTTTCAGATCTACTAAAGAGTAAATGATAATCGATCTTACCTAACGCAGATCATCCATACGAGCAGTACTAAGAATATGATGAATATAACTCCTCCCGCAACTCCACTAGCAATGTACGCGAACTCGCTCTTCTCCCGGCAGTGTCTGCCCGTGAATGAACCCGCGCACCTGCACGAAGGCTCGCCTCTTCCATCCTTCACACATTCACCACCGTTGTCGCAGAAGTCGATACAAACATCTGAAATGATAGAAGCATATTTAAACTGTAATTTGCCACATGACACATGTTCTGCGTTTGTTGAATTGAAGATTATCTCTGTCAAATAAAAATAAGAGACATTTGTGCATTATTAAGCTCTATAAGCGACTTTTTAAATGCGTCAAATTTAAGCAATTTTTTTTTAAATAATATTCTGGCTCAAAAGCTTACATTGAATTTAGAATAATATTGCTTTGACGCTGATGGGGTCATGGTTACAGCGATACTGTGGATTTCACGACACTAATTTTTGTACGAAATTACTTATATATCGAAACTACTTTAGTGAAACTGATATCAAAGGCATGCCACTAATTTCGTAATATAATTCCGGCTTTAGGGTGAGTTTCAGAAAAGAAAATTAGCGCAAACTAATTAAGAGTTTCAATACATATTTAACGTACAAAATCAGACTAAGCGCTAAGTTAAATTTTTGAATCCTAGCAACACTAAGATCTGGTGATCTATAACAAAACTGTTTAGATTTACCAAACAAAAAAATCAAACTCGTTATATCAGTAGAAGAAAAACGTAATAAATAAATATACACAAAACATTACATGTATGAACTAACAAACTGAAAGCATAGAATAACATTTCAGCAAGTTTAAATGTTTGTGGAATAAATAATTGAGGTACAAAGGTATTTGGGTTGAAAGGTTCCCGAATGATTATCGCGTGTTGATATGCCAACATGGGTATTTAATTAACTGAAATTCCATTCAAGTTTAGAGTTTCTATATATTGAATAGGATGAAGTATTGAGAGAGTTATAGCTGTCTTCAAACCAATTGTAGTTGTATTTGAGTTTGAAAGTTCGGAACTGAAATTTGCAAGACCATATTTCTAGTTATAATTGGTTTGGTGTAATTAATAAATGTACCATCAAATAATATATGTAGTTTATATATTTATCACAGCGATTTAAGAGGGCAAACGTTTAAAAAAAACTTGGTTGAAAGTGGAAACAAACGATGTACCAGAAGTTTTTTTTCGAACTATTTTCATAAAAGTTAAAGGTAAGAGCTGACGAAAGTACCGCACATTCTTAAAGTTTTTTAACTACAATCTGTGTATATAAACGTAATTACATATATTAGTACGATATTAATTTAAATATATTTATTTATTTATAAAATCTTGCCCACGCTCGGCACACTTATACTTTGGTGAGAGAAAATTAAAGAAAAGATTTATAGTAACAAGCACTTATAGCCAAACATTACAAACACAAAGAAATAAACAAAACAAAAAAGTAAATTATAAAAACTAAAGGAATATTCATTTCAAAGTGTGAAGAGAGCAACTATGGATATCCAGACCTAGCTGAGAATCGTATCAGAATGCTCAATCTGGAAATCGATGAGTTTTGGTCAAATCGCGTTCTTCTGAAAGGAGGGACAAAGAGGATATAATAAAGTATATTTTTTTTACCTGTACAAACTTTTCCAGTTCCGTTGAATCCAGGCTTACATTGGCACTTGAACTCATTAGTTTCCTGTACGAGCAGGCAATACGCGTTAAGGTCACAATGCATTTCCGGTCCATTCATGTCACATGGGTTTGTACATTCCGCTAGTGATACCTGTGGAAAAAAAAAGGATTTAATATAAAAAGATTTTAACGATAATCACAACAGTGTTGGCCTCGTGGCTTTAGCGTGGGACCGTCAACCCGTCGTGATGAAATCACCGAGGTCGTGTGATGGAATTACGGCACCCGTGGACTTTTCTTTGCGCGTATTTAACACTCGTACAGTGAAGGAACACATCATGAGGACACCAACATATCATATATCTAAAAAACTACCACGAGTGTCCAGAAGGCTGATTACCTACTTTTCTATTATAGGAAACAGATACAGACATCATATACATAACACGTTTCTTATCAATCGATGTATTTTCAAGCTAGTTTCCCGGGAATGTGAACGGTCCAGTGAACACGTAAAGTATCCAAATAGGGTAGTAACTTAAATACTTTCACGCATAATTGCAAAGAATAATATCTTAAAGTAAATATATTAAAACCTTTAGAAACTGGATTGATAGTATTTTAC